CCCAAAATACCTTTCTGACCGCATCTCGGCCTATGAGCCCACGAGGACCTTGAGATCGTCTGGGGAGGCCCTTCTCTCGATCCCGCCTGCCTCACAGGCACGTCTGGCGGGGACGAGGGATAGGGCCTTCTCGGTGGTGGCCCCCCGGCTGTGGAACACCCTCCCTGTAGACATCAGACAGGCGCCCTCCCTTATGACATTCCGCAAGAGCCTAAAGATGTGGTTGTTTGAGAAGGCGTTTGACTAAGTGCTACAACAATTGGCAATGATGATTGGAACGGAATATGGATAACGAGATTGGTTTATGATTCTACGATGAGACGGCGCGGATGATTTAGTGTAATTGTATTATTGATAGTTATGTTGATATTTTGTTGTGATATTGCCTTATTGTAAACTGTTTTTTATATGTTGTACACCGCCGTGAGTCGCCCTAGGGCTGAGAACGGCGGTCAACAAATGCAGTAAATAAATAAATAAATAAATAAATAATGCAAAAACAGAACATCTGAACTGTTCAGAGTGGTCAATGGGCTCCTAAACCCAAAAGCAAAAGTCAACCTATCTCACACAACAGATCAATGTGAGGACTTCGCTTGCCATTTCACAAATAAGATCGGACAGATTCGGGATGATTTGGATGCCCCTATTTATGAAACTCCAGTGGATGTAGCCAGTGCAATGTCTTGCCTGTTTTAATGGATTTGTTTCAGTTGGTTTTGGCTGAGGAAACTGACAAAATCTAGGGAAAAGTGAGAACCATCACCTGTTATTTGGACCCTTGTCCATCCTGGCTAGTAAAACAGGCCAGGGGGAGCATGAAAAAAAGCCACGGAGAGACCGCTTTTGAAAAAGCAATCCCTTAATCCCATCAACTTGGAATGCTATAGGCCAGTAACAAATTAGCCTTTTATCAGGAAGATCTTGGAACGGGTGGTGGCTGATCAACTCCAAAGATTTTTGGAGGACACTAATTTTCTAGATCCATTTCAATCCGGCTTCAGGCTGGGCCATGGGACAGAAATGGCTTTGGTCGCCTTGGTGGATGCTCTTCAGGGGGAACTGGACAGGGGGAGTGTGACCCTGCTGGTCCTCCTAGACCTCTCAGCGGCACTCAGTGCCATCAACCATGGTATCCTTCTGGAGCGCCTGGTGGGGATGAGACTTGGAGGCACTGCACTGCAGTGGTTCCGGTCCTTCCTCTCAGGTTGTACCCAGAAGGCGGTTCTGAGGGAGTCCTGCTCGATCCTATGGCCTGTGGGGTCCTGCAGGGCTCATCATTATCCCCGATGTTGTTTAACATCTATGAAACCACTGAGAGAGATCATCCGGAGTTTTGGAGTTCAGTACCATATGTATGCAGATGATAACTATACTACTCCTTTCCACCTGAAACCAAGGAAGCAGTTCCACACCTAAACTATTGCCTGAGGGCGGCAATGGACTGGACGAGAGCAAACTAATTGAAGCTCAATCTAGACAAAATGGAAGTACTGCCGGTCTCGCACAAGATCAATCCAGAGGGTTACAACTTGGAACTGGACAGGGTGATACTCCCCCTGAAATCTCAGGTTCACAGTCTGAGGGTGGTCCTGGACTCCGCCTTAAATCTGGAAGCCCTGGTGGCAGCAGTGACCAGGATTGCCTTTGCAATTGTGCACCAGCTGCGCCTGTTTCTGGAGAAATCTGACTTGGCCATGGTAGTGAATGCTCCGGTTACATCCTGTTTGGATTGCTGCAACATGCTTTGCATGGGACTGCCCTTAAAACTTCAACTGGTCCAGCATATGGCAGGCAGGTTGTTCATTGGAACAGACTCCAGGGAGCACACCCCCCCCCCCCCCCCCCCCCCGCTGAGACAGCTCCACTGGTTTTCTATTAGTTTCTGGGCCCAATTTAAGGTGCTGGTTTTAAGCCACAAAGCCCTATACAGTTTCAGTCCAGGATACTTGAGATAGCATGTCCTACCATATAAACCAGCTAGACTCCTAAAATCGAGGAGCAAAACACTCCTCTCCACTCAGCTCAAGGACAGTTGTCACTTAAAATTGCCTAGAGATGGCACCTTCTCGGGTGTGGCAGCTAAGCTCTGGAATGCTCTGCCAGAAGTGATCAGAGCAGCTCCCACCCTCTTGTTTTTTAGGAAAAACCTGAAAACCTTCCTGAATGGAATAGCTTTTTATTAGGGTTGACAGACTCTTACGAATTGTATTTTTAATAATGTTTTATCTTCTTGGGTTTTTTTTTAATTCTATAATTGTACGTCCGACCAGGACTGAGAGGGATTTTCTAACTTTTTAATGGTTTGTTTTATATTTATGCTGAACTGTTGTTGTAAACCACATTGAGTCTTTGGAGAAAGGCAATTTCCCAAGAAAATAAAGAAATATGCAGCAATATTTCTTTCTTGATGAATGTGTATTAAGAACCCATTTTATAACCACCAGAAAATTTAGCTCTTTTCTCAAGAAATATTATAACCAAACATTAGTAATCCATGACAGTAAATATGTTGAAAGCAAGTGGTTGTGTGTTTTACCTTATGTAAAGTTTTGGATAATTACTCTGTATGAGCACAATAGGAAAATTCTGAGTTTATACATTATTGCAAGCCATTTGTGGGGCAGAATTTAGAAAAAAATGAATAATCAATCAGTCCATAAGTATGCAGATTGAACTCCTATATACCATCATTAAAATGTGTTTATTGATGCTTTGCCAACTTTTCTACTTGCAGCAGTATGTGCACATACCATACGCATTCTTGGCTGGCAAGTTACCATATAGCCTCATGTATAGATCAAAAGCAGGCTTGGGGGACACTATACTCAGAGAAGGGGGTGGTTCCTTTTTTGATTTAAGTACTGCTACTCACATTGACCCACAGATGAGTTGACCTGGGTTTGGGTTGACTAAATATTTTGGGCTTATATATAAGTATATAATTTGTTATTTTGTACTCTGGTCATGAAGTGAACAACAAACTGCATGCTTAACTGATTCTGACTCTGTGACATTTTGCACCATGTGTCTGTTAAAGTAAAGCACTTACATATTCATTTAAGTAAATCTTCTGCACATCTGTTTTTAATTTGACATATTATATGGTCTACTACAGTGTATGGTTTATTTCTCTTCTTGGAAGCCCCTTATAATTATACAAAACAAAAGGCAATAAAGGAAAAATATATTATTTCTGTTTGTTTTCATTTTTACCCCCTCACCTCTCCAGGGGTAGTGATACATTTTGGCAGAAGGAATATTCAAGAGAAAGATTTTACTTCTGCCTATTGACTGCTGTTTAGAGCAGAATAGAAGAATTAAAATTGTCTTACTGGCCCAATCTGCATTTTCAGTTTGAGCAGAATACACAGCTTTAACACAGTGGTTTAAACCACCAGCTATAGAAAATCTTGGCAGACTGACAGTTCAAGCCTGGGTTGGGGTGAGCTCCCACTGTCAGCCCAGCTTCTGGTCACCTAGCAGTTTGAAAATAGTAATGTGAATAGATAAATAAGTACCGCTTTGGCAGGGATATAATAAAAGGCGCCCATGCCGGCAATTTGATAGGGAGAACGTCTAAAGACAACAAAACTCCTTGGTATGGAAGAGAGAGCAACAGCATCCCCCCCCCCACAACCCATGGCCAAAGTTGAGGAGAGGCTCCAGATGTTGGAGATGGAAAAAATGGAAAAGCATTTATCTCTGTTTATGTACTGTCTTCATTAATTGTATAACGACATTGAATGTTTGCTGTATATGTGTACTATAATCTGCCGAGTCCCCTCACTTATCGTGGGTGTTATGTTCCAGGACCACCCACGAAAAGTGAAAATCTGCTAAGGAGGGATGCTATAGATGTATATCGAGTTCCGAGGATGAGGCAGAAGCGAGGAAAGATTTAAAGGCACCACACACTTTTTTTTGATAGTTATCTCTGCTTTGCTTTGCAATCTCTTTTGATTGGCTGCCTCTCTCCCGAAGGGGAGGGTGAAACCCCCTTCCACACTCCATCATTGCCAGGAGGCGTGGTTATAATGCAGCTCTGGGCAACGGCAACCATTCATAAACTGGGAGGCAAAAACCTGCGAAACAGTGAGTCCGCGAAAAGCGAACCATGAAGTAGTGAGGGAACACTGTAAAGTATATAATTACTATTATTATTATTATTTGAAACACAACAAGATGAGTCCACAGCAGACAAGATCACTCTGCTGGCTGTTGTATTGGATCACAATTTGGACACTTCCCAAGTGTCTAGGATTGTGTGATGTATCGGCGAATAATGCATGCAGATTCCAGTAATGGCAGATGGCAGATGGTAATGTTGTCAGCGCTGATTGTGTTTAAGTGCAGGCCAAGGTCTTTAGGCCCTGCACCCAGTGTGCCAATCACCACTGAGACCATATTTACTGCCTTGTGCCAGAGTCTTTACAGTTCGATCTTTTTCTAGCTTGTGATCCCACCAGTTCTTTGTTGCAGGCAAATGGTATTTGTGGCACAGGTTCCAATGAATCATGAGCAATGGTGTTATGCCTCTGCTTGTAGATGTCTGCGCAATCTTCTTGCAGCAGCTGAGGATGTAATCTATTGTTTCATCTGCTTCCTTGCAGGGTCTACATTTGGGATGTGTCAACTTTTCAATTCTGGTTTTGATGGCATTGGTTCTAATGGCTTGTTCTTGGGCTGCCAGAATCAGACCCTCCGTCTGCTTTTTCAAAGTTCCATTTGTGAGCCACAGCTATGTTTTTTCTTTGTCAATTTGGCTCTCAATTTTTGTCAGGAACTCTCCATGGACAGCCTTCTTCTGCCAGTTTTCTCTTCTGCTCTAGATTGTGTTGTTGTTGTTGTTGTTGCTATTATTATTATTATTATTATTATTATTATTATTATTATTATTATTATGCAGAAGTTTGCTCTCGGATATTACTGGAACATGCAACTTTCACGAATTCTAGTTTATATTCCAAGTTTGATCAAGAAACACCACAAACACAAACTGAAGAATCCATTTAAGTTTACTATGAAACTTTCAGATCAAAATGTTACCTCCAAACAAAAGGAATTCAAAAATTAGAATATTAGATATCAATTTAGTAAAGAATTACCAGTTTCCAGAATTATGTATATCATAATCAAACTGTTCATTTAAAAAGTGTTATATTCTGAATTCAATATGTTCAGAAGGGAAAGCACAATTAATATTACAGTTAATTAATAGAAACAATATGATGTGCTTAAAGATGGTTCAATATGTTAACTGAGGAAAAAGATAATTCTGTTAGATAAAAGCTAGGATGCAAAGAAACACGTAGCTAAATCCGCTCCCCTAGGAAAGCTCTGAATTTGTAGTAGTACTCCAACCTTCCCCATGACATCAAACCATATTTGAAACCAAGGAATTTCAAATCATATATTTTCAACAGTTATATGTGTATTTCAAAGAAAACAATAATTAGATAAGTCCAGGACTTTTCACCTGTTTAAAATAACTCTCTGGATCCAAGCCAAAACAAAGAGGGTTTTCTTGACTCTCTATGAAAGATAATCTAAGACAGAAATGAAGTTATGGAAGAATGTTCACCAAATGAATAACACTGTATTAAATTTTCCTACTGACTTTTTAATTCTAAAAAATCACAAGAGGAATAGGAGATCAATGCCTTGTTTTAATATGTTAATATTTTAAAAATAAATTTAAGATGGACTGAAATCAGGGTTTGTAATATATTGTGCTGCTCTTAAGCGTCATAAACAATTGTAGAGTATCCCAACAACTAATATTTTATCAACTTTACAATAGTCTAGACTGATTTTTGGAAGGCATTGCTGAAATCTCCATTAAACAGAGACTCCTGGAAAGCTAGAGTTGATCACACGTATGCAGAAGACCTGTACCCATGCTACTTCCAACATCTAGTCCCAGCCTAGTTTTTAAGAAACTTGATTTTCAAGTCTTGACTGCATCTTGAATTGAAAGTGATTCAAAGTTTCGCTTTGCCTGGTTGAAGCTGTAGATTCTGTAGCTTCATAGCCAAGCCCATGTTCCCAGCAACCTTCAATTTGCCTTGAAAGAAAGCCTGGAAGGAAGGAACAAATAAAAAGAATTAAATCACACTATTCTGGAAGGTGCTACTCACTGCTTCAGAGTGAATTTTCTCCCACTTCAATCATTTCTTCCAAAATCATAACCAATGGTCATTTTGTGTTGTCAAAGGCTTTCATGGACAGAATCACTGGGTTGCTGTGAGTTTTCCGGGCTGTATGGCCATGTTCTAGAAGCATTATCTCCTGACGTTTTGCCCACATCTGTGGGGACCTCACAACCTCTGAGGATGCCTGCCATAGATGTGGGTGAAACATCAGGAGAGAATGCTTCTGGAACATGGCCATACAGCTCAGAAAACTCACAGCAACCCAATGGTCATTTTGATGGCCAGAAAGAAAATTCTAAATATATTTAAGAGCAATTTTGGGTTGATTCTCCCCTCCCTCCCTGAAGGCAAGACAGTTTAAAAACTATAAAATGAGGTCTTTGGAGCTCCACTCTTCTCTTCTTCCTCCTTTCTCTAAAGAGCTCAATTTCAGCTGTTTTAATCTTTCTTGCCTATGGAGAAAAGGAAGGGACAATCAGCCCAAAATGTCTCAGTGACTTTTATGCTAGGACACAAAAATACCAATTTTGCCACCCCAAAAACAGGGGTGTGACTATTATGCAGTGGCAAATATTATGTAATGAAATATGGTAATCTTCACATATCTCCAAAAATCATGTGACTACTGAGTGCAAATGAGAACTGTTTCTTTTTTCTTTTAGTTTTTTCAGGCTAAAAATATTTTGTCAATTTCTTGCACTTGAAGTACTCTTCGATGACATCTTTTGCCTGAGATTCTTTGCCATAGTCTTTCACAACCACACAACTGCAGCCCACAACTTTTTGGGGGTTTCCTTCTCTGTCGATCTTGCCTACCCACTCTCCCAGCTTCTTGTTGTCATCAACCTTTATTAGGTTGATCTAATGTTCAGCACAAAGGGCTTCAACCAGTGACATACATGGGCTCGTTGCAATTGGATGCAAGAACACAAAGATGGGTTTGGCGTTTGTCTAAGGCTTTGGCAGCTTCACAAATTCCACGGGCCAATCCATTGTGGATGAGTGTGGTCTTCAATACTTCTTGAAGGGTGGTGTTGACATCCAAGAACTGTTTCATCCCCATCAGCATAATTACTGGTGTTGTTGAGTTCAACTTATGGTGCCCCCTGAGTGAGAGATCTCCAAATCACCATGTCATTGAGCGCCCAACTCAGGTTTTGTAGACTCTGGGCCATGGCTTCCTTTATATTGAGTCTATCCAGCTGGAATATGATCTACCTTTTCTACTGCCTTTTACGTTACCAAGCAGTGCTATCTCTTCTAACAAGTCATGCCAAAGTACAACAGTCTCAGTTAAGTCCTTGGCTTCTAGGGAGAGTTCAGGTTTGATTTAATCTAGGAGCTATTTATTGGTCTTTTTAGAGATACTCAGTATTCATAGAGCTTTTCTCCAATATCACATTTCAAATGAGTTGATTCTCTTCCTGTCAGTTTTTTCTGCTGTCCAGCTTTTACAACCATATATAGAAATTGGAAATACAGTGGCATGGACAGTCTTAACTTTAGTGTTCAATGATATATTGTTAGACATCAAGACCATGGTAGTTCTTTCTGTAGTTTCCCTTCCAAGTCCTAATCTTCTTCTGATTCTTTTATGACATTGTCAATTCTGATAAATGACTGAGCCATCGTACAGAAAATCTTGAGCCATTTTTAATGTCTTCAGTGTCTGTTTTAAAGTTATGTAAATCATCTGCGACTATTTTCATTAGTTATGCATCGAGCCAAATAATAAAAGTTTATTCCAAATGAGAAAAAAGCCAGTCTGTGCTTAAACAACAGCCAGCTAATACTTTGCCAAATGCTCTGGAAGTATATTAGTGGAAACAATCTGTATTTGTAATCTGTAGCCATTTTGAATGAAACAGGTGCTCAGAAGCATCCAAAGAAAAATGAAGGGAAGGGAAAATTGACTGTTTTCATTTGTTGCTCTGCATAAAGTAAATATACAGATAACATATATTCAAGTTGAATACAGTATCAATTGTGCTTTACTTACTGTTTGCGGATTCATCTTGCCAGTCATCAAAGCCAGCAAATCAGAATCAGCTATGGTAACTGTACAGTCAGCTTTTTTATCTGTAAGCAGAAAGAAAGATCATGCACATTAGCTTCACGTTAGAATCTTAATAATGGTCACTATTACAGAATAGCCAGACCTATTCCCCTCTCCTAATGCTTTGAATAAACATTAATTTATTAAAGCAGTTCTTTGAACAGATACTATCTTTCAGATCATAATTTATACTAGTTCAACTGATCCTAGATTCAAGGACAATCTACTAACAGATAGCACAAAGTTCAAAAGTCAACAGAAAATCTGTAATAGACATTTCCTTAAGTATAGAAATTACTTTTCAATTGATACTTTTTGTAGAAGTATGAAGCAGCAGTCACTCACCTGTCCCAAGGTCTTTCTTCAAATTAGAATTTGTTTTGCAGAAAGGCAGTAATTTCCCAGTATATAAATCAGGATACTCTATCATGTTACTGGAAAAGTAGTGCTTACCCCAATAAAGCATAAATCTTTGGCTTGTATGTATGGTAACACTAAATAATAATAATAATAATAATAATAATAATAATAATAATAATAATAATTTTATTTATACCCCGCCACCATCTCCCACAGGGACTCGGGGCGACTTCCAAAATAGCACACAAATATGCTATAACTAAAATAGTAAAGGTATTCTGGGAATTTGTGTTCATCTCCATTTCTAAGCCAAAGAGCTGTTGTTGGCCACAAACACCTCGAAGGTCATGTGGCCAGCATGACTGCATGGAGCGTCATTACCTTCCTGCCAAAGCGGTACCTACTGAGCTGCTCACATTTGGATGTTTTCGAACTGCTAGGTTAGCAGAAACTGGGATTAACAGTGGGAGCTCATCCCACTCCCTGGATTTGAACCACTGACCTTTTGTTAGCAAGTTCAGCAGCGCAACAGTTTAATCTGCAGTGCTACCGGGGGCTCCATACATAAAATAAAATACATCAACATGAAAACAATAATAACGTTACATAGTTTAGTATATTTGTGCCCAAACTGAAATGTTTCTAAATAATGAGATAGATTCATAAAATCCCCCCCTTCCTCTTCTCCGCCAAATCCTTTGCTAGACTTTGCTAATCCTTACTTTCCGTTTCAGAGGATCATGACCTGGTATGAAGTACTGTACAAACATTCCCATATTGAAATAAACTCTGTTTTTGAACATAGTCTGTACATTACAAGCCAGTATTAGTGCTACTTTCAATCAAAAACACAATGTTGAGTTATGAAAAAATAATGAGCATGTACTGGATAATGCCTTTACACCAGTGACGACTGAGAAATGGCTTATGTTCTTTTGTCAGCTTTCAAATTTGGGCTGATTTGAACATTTACTGCTGTTTTAATAGATGAGACGTCCCCATGTTCCATCAGATCAATAAAGGAAAGCTAGTTTCCCTTTTAAATAGCAAAAGAAATGACTGCAGCACGGCAAACGCTTCCCTCCAGATGTTATTCATTAATTTAAAGCATTTCTACACTGCATTTCCATTTTAGAGGCGGCCAGGGTATCTTCCAATTTCAATGCAAAAATAATTAAAACAATATGATCAAAACAGCTGTAGAGCAGCAGAACAAGAGAACAGTTAAGTCAATTGACAATATTCACAGAAGTAAGCACTTTTCAAAAGAATGGCATGTAAAAGATAACTGAAACTGATTTCAGGCTTGAGTGCAAAGAAAGAAAAAAAGAAAAAGGTAAAGGTTTTCCCCTGACATTAAGCAGTCGTGTCCAACTTTGGGGGTTGGTGCTCATCTCCACTTCTAAGCTGAAGAGCCAGCATTGTCCATAGACACTTCCATGGACAATGTGACCGGAATGACTGCATGGAGCAACATTACCTTCCTGCTGGAGCAGTACCTATTAATCTACTCACATTTGCACGTTTTCGAACTGCTAGGTTGGCAGAAGCTGGTGCTAACAGCAGGAGCTCACCCCACTCCCCAGATTTGAACCGGTGACCTTTCGGTCAGCTAGTTCAGCAGCTCAGTGGTTTAACCCATTGTGCTACCAGGGGCTCCTCAAAGAAAGAGAACATTCCATAAATCACAGTTCTGCAACTTACCATAGGGCTTTCCCACCCAACCTGCCTGCAGTTTCCTTCCTCACATCACCTCCCTTGTCAGCAACATGGTTTCCAGAACTCCCCAATTGGATCCTCTGGAAAGTTTTTTCAAGCCTATAAGCAGCAGGGAAGTGATTTCAGCAAAATGATGGGTCACAACTAGTGGCTTCCATGGAAGATTTCATACCCTAAACCTAAATGCTGTGGAGGTGGGAATGGGGTAACAACAAGTGCATGAGAGGTCAGGGCAGTAAAAAAAGGAGGAACTCTGCTGCTTTTCCCTCTTCACACTTAAAGACATACCAGGGACAGAGTCAGCGTTCTGCAGGAAAATGAGAGACTGAGCGAGGATTCTGCAGGGGAAAAAACCTGTCTTCTGAAGGGTTCCATGACCAAAAATGTAGAGCACGCATGAAATTGTAAAAACAGACAGGGAACATGAGAGCTTTTGATATTGTTTATGCTCCCTGGAATAATATACCTAGTGAACCTAGCCTTGTGTTCTTTAAACCCATTCTTATTTTGCAATACTGCCTCCAGTGCTTAAAAGTCTATACACTTTGATCCCCACAACATAATAAACATCTACAGTATGAAAGAGCAGCACTCACCTGAGTTAACATCCACGCAGCCTTTACCATTTTTCACATCAACCACCCAAGTTGCTTCTTTACCTCCAGGGCCCTCTTTTACTTTGAAGGCAAAAATTCCACCAATTTTCTTGACATACTGTTCTCCTTCCTGGAAGAGTGATGTAGCAGTCACATGTCACAATTAAAGCAAAAAGGATCCCCATTTATTTACACACCCAAAGTTTTCAAACTCTGCTAATTTTAAACTTTCCTTGTTTCAGATTTTACTCTTAGTCTTGACTAGGGTAGAATCAACACAGGTAGGGGAAAAAAAACACCTGGAAGCCCATTTCCATGAACAATTTTCAATGCACAGATCCAAACATGCTCTTTTCCATACACAGTCTATGGCAATACAACCCAAAGGCAAATTCACTATATACTTGGGTAACTTGTCTTAAAATATGAGTGTGAAATAAATGTTTCTGATGTCTAAAGGTTAAGGTACAGGCTTCCCCTCGACATTGAGACTAGTCGTGTCTGACTCTGAGGGATGGTGCTCACCTCCATTTCTAAGCCAAAGAGCTGGTGTTGTTCGTAGACGCCTCCTAGTCATGTGGCCGGCATGACTGAATGGAGCGCCGTTACCTTCCCGCCGAAGTGGTACCTACTGATATACTTACATTTGTATGTTTCTGAACTGCTAGGTTGGCAGAAGCTAGGGCTGACAGCGGAAGCTCACACTCCCTGGATTCGAACCACTGTCCTTTCAGACAGCAAGTTCAACAGCTCAGCAGTTTAACTCGCTGTACCACTGGGAGCTCCTGATGTCTACACATGTTAAATTTGAAAGCTCAATTATGGATGTAAGGGGAGGAAATTAATCTGAAAATTATAGGCTTTTCCAGTATTTGAGCTCGAAGGATAGGAAATCCCACAAAATCTTTCCCCTCATTGCTCCTATCATGTTGCAGGTGGAGCTCAGATATATCAGAACATGAAGGAGGGAGACAATAACATAAATGCCAAAAGCTTGAAGTGCAAATTGGCACTTTAAAATGCAGCATGAAAGAGAAAGAGATTCTCAACCAGCTGTCAAGGCAGAAGGAAAACTGAAAGGGAAAGAGAACAAGGAAACACTTTCAATCTCTTGCTTTGATCAGCTGGCATTAGGCAATATCCCAGAAGTTGCGTGTTGCTTCTTCACCCCCCTTCAGAATAAATAAAAATAATAATTGTTGGGTTCGAGCACTAAGTTTTTGTTGTTACTGATCAGAAACATATTTAGAACCAAAGCTAGAAGCTGAAAATTCTAACTTGATTCATCTCTCAAGCAAACTAAACACTGGGCTACTGTGAGTTTTCCGGGCTTTATGGCCATGTTCCATGCAATTGGCCACCTTGATTAGCATTGAATAGCCTTGCTAATCAGGTTAGCCAATTGAAACATTCAATGCTAATCCAGGTGGCCAAACTGCAACACTTACACTTGCCTCAAGTACACAAGTTTTTTCTCCCACCCACATTCCAAAGATATATAAACCCCACTTCCCTAGACCTGAGAATGCCTGCCATAGATGTGGAGAAATGTCAGGAGAGAATGCTTCTGGAACATGGCCATACAGCCCGGAAAACTCACAGCAACACAGTGATTCTGGCCACGAAAGCCTTTGACAACAAACTAAAAACTGCACACAGAACTAGCTCAGAGCCAGGATTGAGAGGGCAATTTATGCTTGGATTTCAAATGAAAATAGAGGGCCAATTTATACAAGACACACCTTGTAGCATGATCTTTCATAGGTTTTCTACTATATCTTTAGGTTCAAGGTACAATGCAGTAGTTTGGTCCTGCTATTATTTCAAAAAAAAAAAAATGTGCCCAAAACCTGACTGTTGCCTTGGGAGATAATTTGTATCATTCCAATCTCTTCTTTTTAATTTTGAGAACCAGTGTAAGGAATATACTTATATATTTACAGGTTTTTGCTCTTAGCGTGTTTTCTTATCTTATGTACCTCTTGAAGTTTCTTTTCAATTTCTTTGAAGACAAGATCTGCCTTAAATCCATCCACCTCTGCCTTGGTGGGAACAGCTTGGATTTGCCGATTCCTGAAATGGGAGAAGGTCACATAATGCCAGTCACATCAGCAAAATGGGGATTTTTCTTCACTTTACTGGAGAGACAGCAGTGAGAGTTTTATATATTTTATCCAAGGAAGATACAGTGAGGATATCTGTCCTTGCACTTTGCTCCTCTGTTGCAGCTGAGTAGCAAAGCGCAAGGGCAGTTGTGCTAAAACAGTGCATGTGGCTCTTAATGAGACATGCCTCATTATCACAGGATGTCGATGCCCTACACCACTGGAGAAAGTATACTGCTTTGCCAGTATTGCACCACCTGACATCCACCAGGAAGTACCAACCAATAATGAAATGACCAAAGCATTGACATCTCTGGCCCATCCTCTTTTCAGATATCAGCCAGTACACCAATACCTTAAGTCAAGAAACAGCTTCCTAAGATCTATAGAGATACCCACAGGAACACCTCAGCAAGTGAGAGTCCAAAAGTGGCAGACTAAAACCTGGAACCTCAAGCCATGGCTGATACTGGATGAGAGATTCCCCGCAGGCACACACAAGACTGAGCGACTTGGAAGGCACCGAACAGCTCTGGCACCAAGAGATGCAGAGCCAATCTTAAGAAACGGGGCACAAAGTGGAGTCCACGACATGTGAGTGTGGAGAAGAGCAAACCACAGATGACCTATTACAATGCAGTCTGAGCCCTGCCAAATGCACAATGGCGGACCTCCTTATAGAAACACTAGAGGCACTCCAAGTGGCCAGCTACTTGTCAAAGGACATTTTGTATAATGCCAAGTTTTCAAACTTTTTGTGTGTGTGTTTTTTAAATACATTACATCCAACCGTGTCCTTGGTTTGCTTCTGATATGGTAAATAAAAAAATCCAAGGAAGACTATATGGCTCTCTGAAAAAGCAATCTCTGCTACTATTGACTACATTTACTTTACATAGTATGAATAAGCTGTGCAATTTAGTCCTATAAGATTTTTTTCATGTCAGGATCGACTTGAGAAACTGCAAATTGCTTCTGGTGTGAGAGAATTGGCATCAGCAAGGACGTTGCTCAGGGGACACCCAGATGTTTTACCATCCTGAGGGAGGGTTCTCTCATGTCCCCCCACGAGAAGCTGGAGCTGACAGACGGGAGCTCACCCCACTACCTAGATCCGAACCATCGACCTTTCAGTCAGCAGTCCTGTCGGCACAAGGGTTTAACCCACTGCACCACCAGGGGCTCTCCTGTAAGATTAATTAGTATGATTTTTCAGTCTCAGCACAATATCTTCAACTACAGTCAGGGCTGGCTATCAGCAACAATAACTGTGGCATTTGTGAGATGGAACTGATGAAACACAGCTACCTTTACCCTAATTACCCAATCTATCCACTCCCAGTTGTGTAACTATGCTGTATTAGCAGCTCAGATTTTAACAACACAATTTTGCAACAAACACAGCCACTGTGTGGAAGGGGGGGGGGGGGGGGGGGGGTGGGGGGGGGGGGTTCAAGCAAAATCGATTTCTGTGCCATGAAAAGGAGTTTGAAGCAAAGTGCTCTTTGAACCGAGGGAAAAATCTCTACTCGGCTAAGCAATTTACATTGGACAAGGCACAATCTTTAAATCCACTGTTCGAGATAACTGTGAAGATAAAAACAGAATATACATAATAAAGCAACCGACTCTAAGGACTTACTGGGGAAAAGCTCTACTTAAATGGTGAAAAATTGAGGAATATAGCTGCTGTTTTTACTTTCCATGCAACTACAAGCAGTCCCCAGGTTATTGACAAGATAGTGTAACTTCAGCCATATATATATATATATATATATATATATATATATATATTGGATAGCACAAAGAAGGGTAAACACCCCTATGTTCTTTGTCATGCTACCTGTGCCCCTGTTCAGAAATTTTCATTTGACTTTCTGTTCCTGTGATAATTGGACTTGGAAAAAAATGGCTTGTTGTGGAAAGAAAGATTGGTGAGAAAGCTACAGCAGAAACACCTTTCCCCCATGATAACTCTTTCAGGAGTAAATTTTCCTTCCTACTAGGGGTAGATTTCCTATTGTCTCACCCCCATTTGTAACTAGGAGTCGGATGTAAGTTGGATGTTTGAAACTCAGGACTCTCACCCGTTGAAGTGTTCCTGTGATTATCTCTGTAGATCTTAGAAAGGTGTTTCTTGATTTAAGGCATTGGCATGCTGGCAGGTATCTGAACAGAGGATGGGCCGGAGATGTCAATGTCTTGGTCCTTTCATTACAGGCTACTACTTCCTGGTGGATGTCAAGTGGTGCAATATAATTTCTCCAGCAATGTAGGGCACAGGCATACTGTGATAATGCAGCATGTCTCATTAAGAGTCACATCCACTGTTTTAATGTGGTGAGATGTATCCCACACTGGGCATGCGTCTTCAGCAGCAGAGTAGCAAAGCACAAGGGCAGATGTCTTCACTGTATCTGGTTGTGATCCCCAGGTTGTGCCAGTCAGCTTTTGTACGATATTATTTCCAGCACCCACTTTTTACTTGATATCCAAGCATTGCTTCTTATAAGTCATAGCACAGTCCAGGGTAACTCCCAGGCATTTTGGTGTGCTGCAGTGCTCCAGTGAGATTCCTTCCCAGGTAATCCTCAGGGCTCGAGATGCTTGCCTGTTCTTAAAATGAAAAGCATATGTCTGCATTTTAGATGGATTAAGAATCAGCTGGTTTTCCCTGTAATAGGCAGTAAGAGCACCTAAAGCTTTGGAGAGCTGCTGTTCAATCATTTCAAAGTTCCCTGCTTGAGTGGTGATGGCACAATCATCAGCATAGATAAAACTCTCTGTCCCTTTTGGCAGTGGCTGGTCATTTGTGTAATTGTTGAACATGAATGTAGCAAGCATGCTCCCCTGAGGCAGGCCATTCTTCTTTTTTGTCACTTGGTTCTCTGACTCTGGAACTCAACAAAAAAGCTCCTGTTTTGTAGCAGATTTTCTATGAGTCGGGTGAGGTGGTAGTCCTTTGTGATATTATAAAATTTTCTCAGGTGATGATTTACAGTACCATATGTTGATGACAGGTCTATGAAGGCAGCTCCTGTAATTTGCTGACTTTCAAAATCATCTTTTATGTGCTGAGTCAGATTCAACACTTGTGATGTGCAGCTTTTCCCTTTCCTGAAACCAGCTTGCTGCGGAATCATAAATGGGTCTATTTTTTCCATAGTTTGGTGCAGGGTGAGTCTCTCCAGAATTTTGTAAAGTTGGCACAGCAAGGAGATTGGTCTATAATCTTTTGGATCATTACGGTCTTTGCCTGGTTTCAAAATAGCTATGACTCTTGCTTTCCTCCAAATTTTAGGAATCTGACAAGATGCAATGCTGCTGTTCATCAGCTTCAGCATCCAGCACCTTACTTTTGGGCCAAAGTTATTAATTTTTTCCAATACTGTGTGTTTGATATAGGCAGTCCCATTGATTTAGTTGCACGATACTGTCGCTCACAAACAGAAGGTCTGGGTTATATCCTCAGTGCTATCTCTCACTGTTGTAGGATGGTGGGAGCTTACTATCATGAATAAGCAATAGTTTATGCAGTTCATCCCAGGAAAGGACACCTCTCAATTTTTATCCTCCTGAGCATAGCCCCATATGTCGCTATGGCTGTTAAAGTCACCAATTACTACTGCCCTTTGGTACCTATCAAAGTTCTCAGGAGAGAAGAAACAACACTATTCATTTGGGGGCTTGTACATAGAGGTAGTCGTGATGTTACTAAGCTCTACTGTAATAACCTCTATATTGTTTTCTTCATTGTTATGGGCACTGCTGACTTGGAGACCTGGTTTTACAAAGACAGCACTTCTATACGGCGCATGTAGTTTTTCGGCCACTAAGACCATTCCTGGGACTTTTGGTTGTTTTTGTTGTTTATCCCTGTGTGTTTCTTGGACTCACAGCATGTTCATAAATCAGCTGTTCTTTGGCAGCTGACATGCCTTTGATTTTAATTGAAATTTTTGTCATGGTTGGTCCTGAAAAGGTCAGTTTGCTTTGTTTGTTTGCATATTGTAAGTCGCTTCTGATATGAGAGAATCAGCCGTCTACAAAGATTGTGTTTAATTACTGAAACACAGTAATTAAAAGGAAATGAAGACAAGCTTAACTTAATGTAACACAATTTTACTGTATTATAAAACTGCTTTGTGGATGCAGTATGCAATTTTACTTTTAAAAATTGCCAGGTGCTTGAGTTCTGGTTAATTGAGAGTCTCCTCCATATATGTATGATGTGCCCAAGCTATATTACAACATGCCTTCTCAAAGAATCTCATAAAACTAGGGCCATTTGGGACTCAATTAAAATGATGATAGCACAAAAGTCAAGTTCTGCATTTTGTTTGGCTGGGGATGAGAAATTGACTTGCTTTAGACGACAAAGTACTTCTGCAGAAGAAAATCCTGCCAATCAAATATTGAAAGCACTGTTTAACAAGCCAGCTTAAAAGCAAGTTAGAAAAAGATCCCAATGGAACTATGCATTTATTGAATGCAGTCTGTTGTATGCCTAATATGAGCAAAGGCACCTTGGGTAAGAAGCTGCAAAAAGGTATCTCTAAATTAGACATTCTAGCACAGTGGTTCTCAACCTGTGGGTCCTCAGGTGCTTTGGCCTACAACTCCCAGAAATCCCAGCCGGTTTACTAGCTGTGAGGATTTCTGGGAGTTGAAGGCCAAAACATCTGGGGACCCACAGGTTGAGAACCACTGTAGTGAGTTACAAATACACCCACACCACTCCTGTAACAAGGCAGGACTAAATAACATCTGTTGTGCAATACCTTTCAATTATTTGATAATTATCAGAGTTTCTTATTCATAGTCATATGAATTAAACATCTCTCAAGATGCTGATCTCCTTTTGTGGAAGTTCATCCCTACTTTAAGATTTCTTATTAAACTTAAAGACCTATTAAAGACCAGAAAGGCCTATTTAAGACCCTTTTAAGAAATACTCCAGAAAAGTTAAAGGATTTAAATTAAACTCCAAGGTAGGCCAAAAGTCATATCTTGTAGTTGAGTTTTAATAACTCCTTTATTTTTAGTTTTTAATTTACAATACCATAGTATCATACACAGTATATATAGGAAATATAGTAAAGGTAAAGATTTCCCCTTGACATTAATTCTAGTCATGTCCAACTCTGGGGGGGGGGGGGGTACTCATCTCCATTTCTAAGCCAAACAGCCGGTGTTGTCCATAGACACCTCTACGATCATGTGGCCAGCATGAATGCATGGAGCGCCTTTACTTTCCCGCAGAAGCGGTACCTATTGATCTACTCACATTTGCATGCTTTTGAACTGCTAGATTGGTAGAAGCTAGGGCTAACAGCAGGAGCTCCCCCGCTCCCCGCATTCGAACTGCCAGGCTTTCAGTCAGCAAGTTCAGCAGCTCAGCAATTTAACCCACTGCACTACTAGGGGCAAGTATATACATTACATAAAGTGTAGAATTTAAAAATACTTTTTCAAAAAGTTATTGAAACATCATAACTTCTGTGATTTTTAGGCCACTCTGTACTACTTGAAAACCATTCCACATGTCATCAAACGAATGAACTAAAATTTACAAATACTGATTTTCCCCCCTGCCAAACAAGACATCTTTTGACATTTTTTAAGAAGTTAGTCAACAGGTTTGTAACAAAATGGCATTTCTAAGTAAGAAAATGACAAAAGAAAATAAGAAATGAAAGAAATGTTTCTGTTTAGTAGTTAGAAATTATTGCTTGGATGCATTTTTTAAGTTTCATACCTCTGGCAAACACTACCAAGGTTTCTCCAGAGGGAAAATAAAATAGGATTTCATGTCTGAGAAGCATGAAAGTCACTTTTGTTGTTTGATATGCAGAATGTACGGTGAAATTTCAGAAATCTAAGAGCCTTATTTCTTTTAGTTCACTTTCATTCCTTGTGTTGAGTTTTCTGTGGAAAATGCCAACTCTGCACATTCCTTGAACTGTTGCTTACATTTGTTTTTATTATTATTATTGACATGGAACCAGACTTTGGAAAAAACAATTAAGTCCTCTATCCACAACCAAAACCACAAGGAGAGTTTCAAGTAACTAAAGAAACCAAAGTAGTTATCCCTTGAAAAAAAATGCTGAGCAAGTGTGTTGGAGTCAGAATTAATAATCTTTGTGCTTATAAAGAAAATGAAGGAAAGGGGATTCTTGGCTGCCTAATTGTGATTTTAACAAGAATGAAAACAGGAAATGTTTACGTTTTACTAAAGGGGAGTGTCAAGGTGTTTAATCATGTATTGCAATCGTAGACAAAGCAATGACTGGCTAATTTCAGTGCAATCCTGGTACGGATGAATGCACAGGGTGTGTGTACAAAAAAAGGATTGTACTTACCTTGCAGCTTCAGGAAAACCCATTTTGTAAAGGGAGACCACAACCGCACCGCCGAGGCCCAAGTTGTGCTGCAAGGCTACCTTTGCACCAGGAACTTGTCTCTTTGCAGCTTCTCCTCTGAGCTGCCAGCAGAGTTCGGCACACTGAGCCAGACCTAAGGCATCAAGCACAGAGAGCACAGATGGAGCAAGAGTGCAAGCGCATGTGCACAAGGAAACAAGCACAAAGGAAGCTGGGCGAGCGGGAGACTATTCCCTTTGCACAACTGACAGCTTTGGCTAACCTAACCCTGAAATCTGCACTTTGCACTGGAGTGACTGGAGAAACCTGTTTTTCCAAATTGCTCAAGAGGCAATTCTGGTTGCACCACTTCAGTGTTCCATCAACCCAGGGCCAATTCTCGGCTGACTGACTTTCGGGTGCATTTACACTGTAGAATCAATCCAGTTTGACAACGTATTAACTGCCATGATGCTAGAAATATTTTATTGTGTTTTTAATGATATTTTGTTTGAAACTGCTGATGATTTTCTAAGGCTACATCAACCCTATAGAATTAATCCAGCCTGACACTAGTTCCACTGCCATGGTTCAAGGTTATGGGATCCTGGGAGTTGCAGATCAGTGAGGCACCAGCGCTCCTTGGAGGAAAAAGCTAATGAACTTGTAAAACGATAACTCTCAGTATTCTGTAGCATTTAGTTAAAGTGCTGTGTTCATTCTACAATGGGGAATGAACCTTTAGATGTAAAAGCCACCGTGTTCAAAAGTGTAGACTGCAGTCTTAGGGTGCATTATTCTACACCAGGCAAGGGCAAACTTTGGTCCTCTGGGTGTTTTGGACTCCAACTCCCACAATTCCTAACAGCCTCAGGCCCCTTCTTAGCGGCTGAGGGGGAACAAGAAGGGGCCTGAGGCTGTTAGGAATTGTGGGAGTTGGAGTCCAAAACACCCAGAGGGCCAAAGTTTGCCCTTGCCTGTTCTATATCATCGAATTACAGTAGTTTAATACCACTTTAGCTGTGAAGGCTCAATACTATGGACTCCTAGGGGTCTAAAGCCTTCTCTGCCATGTAGGACTGGTCCCACAAAATTACAACTCCTGGGATTCCATAGCATTGAGCCATGGCAGTTAAAATGGTGTCAAACTGCGTTACTTCAACTGTTTAGCTGCGGCCTTAGAGAGAGAAAAAAGCACTAATCATAAACAGTTTCAAACAACACACCACAAAAGAGGGCATAAGAAAATAACTCTAAAAACTAAGCAGAAAAATGCAAACCTCTGCAAGACTGGATTCAACAAGCTTTTCCAAATGTTTTCCTAAAAGGAAATGTTTTCTAAATTTCTGGTGCAGAGACAAGCTTCTATTTTAGAATATAACATTGTGACCACAGTTTTGACTGTAACTTAGTATTTCCCAAGCTACAAGTGAAGGGTTGGCAATTATTTTTTCCTCAGTGTAGCAGGGACTGGCACCACATTTGTGCCCATTGTCTACATTTTCCTTTCCTTTTCTGGAAATTCAACAAGATCCACAGTCCTTCCCTGAAATGCAAATCTCAGTATTCTTTAAGATGGATACACAGCAGCTACATCTTAATCATAGTTCTACATCTGTGTAGTGTGATGAGGCCTCTGGTCTCTGATTACACTATGCAACACAATTTTTGTTCCTGAGTTATAAATGCCATTTCCTAATTGGTTCATTTCATAATTGGACAATTATGCTGGGGAAAGTGGAAGGCAAAAGGAAGAGGGGCCGACCAAGGGCAAGATGGATGGATGGCATCCTTGAAGTGACTGGACTGACCTTGAAGGAGCTGGGGGTAGTGACGGCCGACAGTGAGCTCTGGCGTGGACTAGTCCATGAGGTCACAAAGAGTCGGAGACGACTGAACGAATGAACAACAATTGGTTCTAGCATAAAACATGGAAAAGGTTTATTAAACTGCAAAACTTTGGGTTGTTGTAGGTTTTTCGGGCTGTATGGCCATGTTCTTGAAGCTTTCTCTCCCAATGTTTCGCCTGCATCTGTGGTACGCATCCTCAGAGGTTGTGAGGTCTGTTGGAAACTAGGAAAATTGGGTTTATATATCTGCAGATGGTCCAGGGTGGGAGAAAGAACTCTTGTCTGTTGGAGTTAGGTGTGAATGTTTCAATTGACCACCTTGATTAGCATTTGATGGCCTCACAACCTCTGAGGATGCCTGCCACAGATGCAGGTGAAACGTCAGGAGAGAATGCTTCTAGAACATGGCCATACAGCCCGCAAAACCCACAACAACCCAGTTATTTTGTTTATGAAGGTCTTCGCCAATGCAAAAAACTTTGTTTTTACAGGACATCCTGCAGCACATTTTGCTCTAGTTTTTCAAAGAATATCTCATAAGAGTCTCGACCAATTCAACATAGTTTGTGGCAGCCTTGAAAACAAGTTTTCTGGAGTATAACAACTACTTCTAAAGTAAGTACCACACAATTAAACAGGAAATAAAACTTTCAAGCCAGGAACGTTTTGTTTTGTTTTTTTCAAATTTTGCTACATAGTGTTACAGCTACACTCCATTGATGGAAACTGACAGGAGGCCATTTATTGGCAGTAGTCATAGTGGAAAATTCCTCAAACAGACAGGATCCAATTCAAACATAGGCAGGAAATTACATTTCATGGACGATCACCATCTACTCAAACACCACCACCCCAAAAGATGCATGTATTTACACAAATCAAGAAATCATGTATTCAGCATTACCCCACAATGTTAAATTCAGGAGAAAGAGACTATCAGACTCCTTTGATATTATTCCCCAGTACCTCACAGCCTTATGGCACAAGAAGAGCCTGCAGACAAGTGTGTGTTAAGGGTCACAGCAGAGATGAATTTTATACAGTAGAGTCTCATTTATCCAACATAAATGGATCGGCAGAACGTTGGATAAGCGAAAATATTGGATAAGAAGCAGGGATTGAGGAAAAGCCTATTTTACAAATTTATAACCAAAACATCATATTTTACAACAAGTCAACAGAAAAAGCAATTCAATACATGATAATGTTATGTTGTCATTAATATATTTACGAATTTAGCACCAAAACATTGCAATGTATTGAAACGCCTGTGGACCCAGGAGGGAGGCTGACTGCCTTGGATAATACAGAACATTGGATGAGCAAAGATTGGATAAGTGAGGCTCTATTGTATATGTTTATATCCCAAAAGTCCCTGTATGTCAAGTGACACACACCACAGGGAGAGAAGGGATGCATTCATACATCAATTTTGCTTTATCACTACATTTAAAAAGACTAAAACCCAAAAACCAATAGTCAGATATGAATGAGTGAACAGATTCTCTAATACAGAATATTTAATTATTCTGAACAATCAGCACTCTGGAAAGAAGGCTAAAGTCAACCAAAACACTCACATAACATGTATCAAACCTTTGTTTGTACAGACCTGCAGGACCAAAGTCTAGTGTTCTACATGAAGGCAGAGTCCTTGACACTCCAACGATTAGATTTCAAAATCATGATTATAAGACAGCCCAGCAAGAATTCACATAGTTCTCCATGCTGGAGAACATTACAAAGAGCAATTCTAGGTAGCTAATGACTTTACTCAAATGTCGGATTCAAGATTTGTAAGAAGTGGAATTTTAACTCATGGATCTTGTAACTTCTCTTTAAATATGAGATATGGAACTAGTAGAGTACATCATGAGTGAAACAACTGCAACTCAATGAAAGTAGAAGCACAATCATAATGCAAAATATTAAATTCTCTTTGAGGCTGGAAGCTAGAAATATGGCTTGGAATATTGCTGAGGCGCTACAGTAGCGCAAAAATAATTGTGTAAGCAGCTGCATTTTCTCAAGAGTTATACAACACCAGTCCCTAGAGGAGCCAACTATTTCTCAACTTTGCACAAAAGGTGGGCTCAAAGCTGGTGGTGTCACTGTGTCCCTGGCTTCATGCCACTAGGATTCAGTATAACTTCACTGGCCATGTGAAAAGTGTATAGGATCTTAGTGATAATCATGTAGAGTTTCTTGAATATGTTTAAAAAGTTAATATTAAAATTGTTAGGAACAATGGTTTTATTTATTTACAATTACTATATTTATACCCTGCTCACCTCGAAGCGGACTCAACCACCTGTAGTGCTCTAGGTCACACTGCAATCTAAGTCATTTTGTTTAATCCAACTTTTCAGGATTTAATCCTGTATATTTTCCAGCCATTTCAAAAATCCTGTATATTTTCCAGCCATTTCAAAAATAGAGTTAAGTGCAATATCATTCATCCAAAATGTCTAAGGACAGGATAAACAAGATGGCAATCTAAAAGGTGAGCACCAGTGTGGTGTAATTGGACTAGTCCAATTAAAATTAAAAACCTTCTCGGTCATTGAAAAACTTCTGGGAGACCTTTGGGCAAGTCACATTCTCAGTTTCAGTGGGAGGCAATATCCTCTTTGAACAAAACTTGCCAAGAAAATCCTGAGACAGGTTCATATTATTTATTTACAACATTTAGATCTTGCCCTTCTAACCCCAAAAGAGGACTCAGGGCGGCTTACATAACTGACATTATTCTAGGTCCAAACAACAACAATAATTAAAACAATTAAACAACAACCCCACTAGGGAGGGGGTTCCACAGCCGAGGGGCCGCCACTGAGAAGGCCCTGTCTCTCATCACCACCAATCGTGCTTGCAAAGGTGGTGGGAGTGAAACAGGGCTACCCCAGAAGATCTTAACCTCCGTGATGGTTCATAGAGGGAGATGTGTTCAGACAGGTAAGTTAAACCTGGACCATTCAGGGCTTTATAGGCCAAAGCCAGCACTTTAAATTGTACTCAGTGGCAAACCAGCAGCCAGTGGAGCTGGGGCAACAGGGGAGTTGTGTGCTCCTTATACGCCAATCATTAGGATCATCATACATTTAAATCTACTTGAAGGCACAGTAACAACAATCTAAATGGTATGATTGCACCGAATTTTTGAAAATAGCTATAAACAAATTATTTTCTACAACTTCTCAGTTTACAATGATTTTCTTTGTGGGGTTGCCCCTTTTTAATCACATCTAGGATGAAAACTGCTCTGAAATCAATAGGACCTGCAAATGTATTCACCATTGAAAAGTCAAAGTTAGCTCTGTGGAAATTAAAATGACATGATTTAATTAAAAACTGGCTCCCTGCCATGGAAGTAAGAAAACAATAAGGGTGGTGGCCTGAAAAGCCTGCGATTAATAAAGACCAAGGTGAAGCAATCATAATGGAAGAGGCAGGACTGGAAGGTAACCATGTAATCACCCTCCAGTTATAGATCAAAATTATTAATTCCACAAAACTTGTTGTTATGTGCCTTCAAGACTTTCTGGATTTATAGGGATCTTACAATTAAGTCTATAATTGGGTTTTCTTGGCAATATGTCTTCAGAGACAGTGTGCCTTTACCTTCTTCTAATGCTGGGAGAGAATGTGACTTGCCCAGAGTCACTCAGTGGTTTTTCATGGCTGAGAGAAGATTTGGATCCTGGTCTCTAGAGTCATAGTTCATAGTCATAGTCATAGTTCAGCAGACTGAAAGCCAAAACCAAAGTTACAACAACATCTGTTATAGAACTCCAGTATGCTGATGACAACGTCGTCTGTGCGCATTCAGAAGACGACCTACAAGCCGCTCTAAACACCTTCGCAGGAGCTTACGAGAAGCTCGCCCTGTCATTAAACATAGAGAAAACCAAAGTGCTCTTCCAGCAGTCACCAGACAATCCCTCTCCAATGCCAGAAATACAACTTAATGGTGTAACATTAGAAAATTTTGTCCATTTCCGCTACCTTGGCAGCCACCTCTCCACAAAAGTCAACATTGACACCAAAATACAACACCGCCTGAGCTCTGAGAGTGCAGCTTTTTTCTGAATGAAGTAGAGAGTGTTTGAGGACTGGGACATCCGTAGGGATACGACGGTGCTTGTTTATAGAGCTATTATCCCCCCAACCCTGCTATACGCCTGCGAGACGTGGACTGTCTACAGATGTCACATGCAACTCCCAGAACGATTCCATCAGCGCTGCCTCTGAAAAATCCTGCAAATCTCTGTGGACTAATATCAGTGTGCTGGAAGAAGCAAAGACCACCAGTATTAAAGCGATGATCCTCCCCCATCAACTCCGCTGGACCGGCCACATTGTCCAGATGCCTGACCACCGTCACCCAAAACAGTTGCTCTATTCCGAACTCAAGAACGGAAAATGTTGGTGGACAGGAAAAGAGATTTAAAGATGGGATCAAAGTGAACCTCAAAAACTCTGGCATAGACACTGAGAACTGGGAAGCCCTGGCCCTTGAGCGCTCCAGCTGGAGGTCAGCTGTGACCAGCCATGCTGTCGGGTTTCAAGAGGCACGAATGGAGGACGAAAGAGAGAAACGTGCCAAGAGGAAGGTGCATCAAGCCAACCCCGACAGGGACTGCCTTCTACCTGGAAACCGATGCCCTCACTGTTGGAGAAAATGCAGATCAAGAACAGGGCTCCACAGTCACCTACGGACCCACCGCCAGGACACTACACTTGGAGGACCATCATCCTCAGACTACGAGGGATAGCCTAAGTAAGTAAGTAAGTAAGTAAGTAAGTTCATAGAATCATAGAGTTGGAAGAGACCACTTGGGCCATCCAGAACAACCCCGTCATGCAGAAAAAGTTCAATCACAGCACCCCATCCAGCTTCTGTTTAGAAGCCTCCAAAAAAGAGTCCCCGCACACTCCGAGGCAGAGAGTTCCACTGCTGAACAGCTCTTACGGTCAGGAAGTTCTTCCTAATGTTCAGGTGGAATCTCCTCTCATATAATTTGAACCCTCTGCTCAGAGTCCTAGTCTTCGGGGCCACAGAAAACAAGCCTGCTCACTCTTCCTTAAGACATCTTTTCAAAAATTTAAATTTGAATCCAGGGTTCTTCAAGTGTGCCAAGAGCATGCTAAAGGAAATGTTTGTACCCCTTTGATATAAACAGAAACCCATATTGTATTTCTGAAGTTTCTAGATGGAATGTAACTTTTTAGAGGAAGATGCTAAGGCTTGAGGGAGCCCTGATAAATTTAGAAACCTACTTAGCAAAGAAGTCAAATGTTCTTTAGCCAGTATGAATGGAAGCATAGTTTAAAAGTTGGGAGAAGTCACATGATATTTTGCACTTTTTTTCGTGTCAGGAGAGACTTGAGAAACTGCAAGTTGCTTCTGGTGTGAGAGAATCTGCAAGGACGGCGGGATGTTTTACCATCCTGTGGGAGGCTTCTCTCGTGTCCCTGCATGAGAAGCTGGAGCTGACAGATGGAAGTTCACTCCACTCCCCAGATTCGAACCATTGACCTTTCAGTCAGCAGTCCTGCCAGCACAAGGGTTTAACCCACTGTGCCACTGGGGCAATTCTGCACTGGCCAGTCATCGTATGGAGTACTGGGTTCATGTTTGGGCAACTCATTTTAAGAAGGATACAGACAAGTTGAAGCAGGTTCAAAGAAAGGCAAGAAGGATGACAAAAGGTATGGAGAACAAAACATATGAGGAAAGGTTGAGGGAGTTGGACATGTTAAATTTGGCAAAGAGAAGAGTTAGTAGGGCTTAGAGGATTGCCCTTTTTAAATACCCCAAGGGCTGTCACACAAAGGAGAAGACAATTAACCATTGTGAACCACTCGTGTAAAGTGCCATCTACACTGACAACACTATATTAATACAAGATAATAATCACAAGAACCACACACACACGGAGCATCCATTTGCCACATGAAGATGCTGGATTCGTAAGAAAAAGAGCCAAGGAACTTACCTGTGGCGCCCAGTGGATGTCCTTTAGAAATCAAGCCACCACTTGGATTTATCACCCATTTCCCACCATAGGTATTGTCTCCTCTGTCAACCAGCTCACCAGCTCTTCCTTAAAAGAAAAAAGGGGGAGGTGATTACTAATTATTAATGATACTAAATGCATATAAGATCCTCCCCACTTCTGGTAAATTGTTATGAACAAATCCTATAGGCGCTGCCAGCAGACACTATTTACTTGAAAGGCATGCTTTTACTATCCCTGGACTTATAGAATCATAGAATACCGTATATACTCGAGTATAAGCCGACCCGAATATAAGCCGAAGCACCTAATTTTACCACAAAAACTGGGAAAATGTATTGACTCAAGTATAAGCTGAGAGTGGGAAATGCAGCAGTTACTGGTACATTTCGAAATAAAAATAGAAACCAATAAAATTACATTAATTGAGGCATCAGGAGGTTCAATGTTTTTGAATCTTTACATAAAACTGTAATTTAAGACTGTCCAACTCTGATTAAACCATTATTCTAGTCTCCTTCAATGTAAATGTTCTTACGTATCCTTCCAATAATAATAGATCAAAATAATAAATGTAATAATAACAATAATAACTAGAGTAAAATAATAAATGTAATAAAAATAATAGAGTAAAATAATGTAAATGTAATATCAATTAAAATAGAGGAAAATAATAAATGTAATAAAAATAAAAATAGAGTAATAAAATAAATATAATAAAAATAATGCTAATAACAGAGTAAAATAATAAATAACCTTAGCTCGAGTATAAGCCGAGGGAAGCTTTTTCAGCCTAAAAAAGGGGCTGAAAAACTAGGCTTATACTCGAGTATATACAGTAATTATAAAATAATAGAGTTGGAAGCCATCTAGCCCAATCCCCTGCCATGCAGGAAAAGCTTACTGAACACATATGACTTATTGAACACATATGACCGTATCTGAACTTACACTTTCTGCCCTTTTTTATATATATTAAAAGAAATCCTGGGAAGGGAAGATTTTTTTTTTAAATTAAGTACTGTAACAGGAACTTCTGAATTGAATTATGATGGACTGGCAATATGTCAAACAGTTGATTCTGTCACCAGCACATTTGTCTTGGAAACAAAACGTAATCTGTTCCAGTTGACAGAAGATACTTCCAAGTAAGTTAGATTACAGCTTCATTAAGGAGAAACAGCTTTAGGAGCAGGACGGTGAGAACGTCTTCATCGACCTTTCCCTAACTATCCCAAATTGTACAAGGAAGAAAGATGCAATAAACAGGTAGACAGGCAGGTTAAATACTCCTCAATCCAAATTCACTTATTCCCAGGACCCATTTTCCAATAAGCAGCTTCGCTGAAGGGAAAGCAAACACCATTTTTTTTTTTGTTTGAAGGACTTATGTGAAAGATAAATTGAGATTGCAAACTCAGGGTCAGGGCTTTTTATAGGTTCCAGCCCATAAAATGATCGAATTGACTACATTCCCAAAGTAACTGGTGTGAAAATGGATCAATGAGTTGGTCAATGGGAAATTACAAAACCAAAGGTTTTAAGGTAGCTCTTTTTCAGGCTTAATAGATATTATTAAAACCATGTTAACAAGCACCCAAAATCTACAAGCTTATGGGAGACAGGAGAGGAATTTTAAAAGACACACTGAACTTTGTAAACAAAACTAGCTTCATGTTCATGCTGATTTTTCCCTTGATTGTCAAGTGCCCATATCCTTAAGTGAAATCAAATACCCTCTAGTGGCATACAGAGGAATAATAATTTCACAAAATATGATTGGCTAGAAAAGGAGGATCAGCCTTAAAATGATAGGAATGAAAAAATCAATAGATGATATTTGGACTTGCATTTCTAAGTGGAAATCTTCCTGGTTCCAATCCAATATTCTACTCGTAACACTATGCTGGCATATAAACTAGCATACATTGCTTTTTGATTCTTCACTAAAGGTACTTCTCTGAATCCTAACTGCACCCTAAACTCATCTCAGTTCCAACTAATGCTTCAAACAATGTTCTTTTTACCCCATTTTCTCCTTCCCCTTATATTGCAAACCTACAGATAATTCTCCTTTCTTTCACATGGCAAATCTCTGAATGAATGCCACCTACACACCTAGAATCATAGAGTTGTGAGAGGCTACCTGGACCATCTAGTCCAAACCCCAGGAAAAGCACAATCGAAGCATCCCTGACAGATGGCCAGCCTCTGCTTAGAGGCCAGCCAGTTGCCCTAGGGAAGTCCACAAGAAGGACTCCAACTTAAAAATGACTTCAAGAGCTATCAAATATCTTTACTTTTATAAAGATTGCTAGAGCAGGCTGAAGATACATCAAGTCAAGCATCCTGTTTCCAATACTTTTGGAAACTTTCACAGCGGGTAACAGACTGATTCCAGTTATTTCACTGGTTCTGAACTTCTTATTCCCCTGAAGTTCTATTTAGTACACAAACTGGTTGATCTTTCTAAAAGCTATTTAACCTATTATGTGATTTCCCTTTTCTTGGAGGGGCTGCCCCCCCCCCCAGTCTCTTGGATCTTAGGAAAACCCTGTTTCTTGCTTCTCCTCACTGCTAAAGCTATGCATTTATTCCCTCTCTGTGTCCCTTTTTTTTTTTTGAGGACCACTGAAATAACCTGTTCTCTTATCTCATGACTGACACTTTTATAAAGAAGGGTGACTCAAGAGGCACATTTGCAGAAACGTGTTGAAATTCTGTGTTACGACACATGAGTTCTAACAAACTGTCCTTATTTGTACACGTTGAAACTGTCAAAGAGATTCCAAAGGCCTGGCGAGAAAAGACGTCCAGAAATCACAATGATTTGCCTTCAACACCATGTGCACTTTCTGTTCCAATAGCCTTTTCTCAAAACATTATTATACATGTTTAACTTGTCTGAATAATAACAATAGTAATAAATAATAATAATAATACTTTATTTATAGACTGCTCTAACTCCCCAAAGGGACTTAGGGTGGTTTCCAACACATATGGCAAACATTCAATGCCAGCAAAAAGAAGAAAAAAAAGACATATTAACAAATTGCATCATACCATTTATATGCATTTATATTTGAGTAATGCCACTTATAAAACTTTGACTAAAAACTCTAAAAAGTTTGTGGTTTTCTATGGGCCTCTTAAAAAGAAATTAAATTGGATGGACTCTGGTCCTTTCATGATAAGATGGGTTTTAATGACAAACTTGCTGATTTTGCTGCAAATTCATGTTTCTTTTTCAAGTTATTTAAGAATACTTCAGCAAATGCCATTTTGCCCCAGAGAGTTCTAAGTTGTAATTTGCCAATTTGCTCATTTTTGTCACAAGTAAAAGAATTCCTCTTATTTCATCCCTGGTAATAACTGATTCAGATACAGGTCTCAACAGCATCTTCACAAAAAATTTTTGTCATGTCAGGAGTGACTTGAGAAACTACAAGTCGCTTCTGGTGTGAGAGAATTGGCTGTCTGCAAGGACATTGCCCAGGGGACGCCCGGATGATTTTGATGTTTTTATCATCCTTGTGGGAGGCTTCTCTCATGTCCCCGGATGAGTAGCTGGAGCCCATCCGCCTCTCCCTGGATTCGAACCTGCAACCTGTCGGTCTTCAGTCCTGCTGGCACAGGGGTTTAACCCACTGCGCCACCGGGGGCTCCTCCTTTCATCTTCACAATGAAAGTTAATGAAAGCAATCCATTTAACCCAGCCAGCTTCCTGCTGCAATGCAATTAAAAATGTGATGCCTCTCACCTTTACAATTTGATTTTCAAATTCCCTCTTGCTTTCTTTATTGTAATCTTACACTTGTTTTCAGAGAGACTATGCTCTTTTGTTTTTTTAAAAAAATTCCTACATTTGGGCAATTATTCAAGAATTCAGCCAGAAGTCCTTCCAATGTCTTAATTAAATCTAGATGTTTTTGCAGTGTTCTAGAAGAGCAACTTGGTAGGGTGGTGCCTATGTAACTCTAGCATTGGCAAATATACTGCTTTTATTTTGTTGGGAAGCAGGGGTAGAATGACTCACCTTCCCTCAGAAGTCATCTTTGAGGAGTTTATTGGGGCTTAAAACATATTTAATTTTGGGTTGACTTTTAGCCAAGATGTTTGATGTTTCTAATGTTTAAAGAATACCTTCAGGACAAAGTCCCAGAGCTTCATATGTAATTAATTCATTAGCAGAGAAACAGTCGTGTAGTTCTATCACATCCACATCTTCAGGTTTCAGCCCAGAATCGGAAAAACATCTTTTTGTAGCCTCCTTAGTCATATCATACCCAATCTATGAATAAGATATAAGCAAAAGCTATTAGAATAGGAAACTATTTCCTGTTCTCTTGACGCTAATCAAACAGCTTGCTCAGAATAGCAAATAATCATTTCTTTTACAATGTAAATTACCAAAAAAACCCATACATTTTAACTTGTGAATTTTAACTTGCATTTTATTGGGGTGGTCTTGTGTGTGTGTTGTTATAATAATAATAACTTTATTCTTGTATCCCACCACCATCTCCCGGAAGGGAATCGGAGCGACTTACACACGGTACAAGGTGTCTTAAAACAAGTTATACGTATTTTAATAAGTGTTGTTTTTTATCTCTCTATCTTAACCCTGTTGTACCCCACCTTGAGATGCAAGGAGAGGCAGGTAATACAATTATGTTTATTCAAAGTCTTATACATGCAATTGTTATTAAGGACTAAGCAGATTAGAAGAACTAAGCATTAGCAAGTCTACATTCTCTGCAGAACACAAGGACTTCAAGTATCTGTCAAGAAAAACAATCTTCAAGTGATGCTACAATACAGGAATTTATCCAGCCAGCTTTGTATTCTGCTAATGGAATATACACTAAGCTGTATGCAATAATGAGCTGTGCACATCGTCTTGAACACATTCCCATGTCTCTATGAACATTCTGAATTCAGCTTATACCAAAAAGCTGAATGCAACTCAAAACAAAAGTGAATAAATTAAAAACAATAATCCTCCTATTTGATACATTAATTCAGTACTCTGTTTTGTTTGCTGCTTATAAGGCTTGTACTTCCAGACAGAGCTTGTCTTTATCTTTTATGCCTTTAGCAAACTTTTTAGAAAATTGTTAGAGACTCTGTAAAACATGAAGCTACAGTTCCAGAAGTTGTGGAAGTTGCCATTACATAATTTAAGGAATGAACCCTACCATTTTTATGCAACTGTTCTCTTTAAAGGTGCTTGGAAGGTCAGTCATCATCTCCTGGGCCACAATTTCAACCGCTTTTGCCTCTAAGTTGTTCTTCCTCACAAACTCTTCACTAGCCAGTACTGCCGCTGCTGCACCGTCAGATGTTGGACTAAGCAAAATACAGAAATTAACATTTTAATAACGTTTGTCTTTTGCTCAAAGAACAACAAAAAGGGAATGGGGTAAAAAAACAAAATACAGAAAACAAATGTCACTTATTAAAACAGACTCAAGAGACACTAACAGCACCATGCATTGAAGCTCAACTAACATTAACACCCACAGATGAAAAAACAATTATTTTATTTATTTATTTATTTTACTGTATTTTTATCCTGCTCTATCTCATCCCCGAAGGAGAGTCAGAGCGGCTTCCAAACTGACAATAATTCAATGCTGCATTAAGACATAAAAACATACAAAATACATTGTGCATTAAAAGCATAAAACAGTAACATATAAATTAATTTAAATAAGCAGTTAAAAACACAGCCCATAGTCCCGAAACCATAGTCCAAAAGCCGTTCCAATCACATTAACTTCGTAGCTGCATATTGCACTGTAACTACTCTCCAAATGCTTGGTTCCATAGCCACGTTTTGACTTTCTTTCTCAAGGACAGGAGGGAGGAAGCCAATCTAATGTTGCTAGGAAGGGAGTTCCACAGCGGAGGGGCCACCACTGAAAAGGCCCAGTCCCTTGTTCCCAGCAGCTACACCTGCAAATATTTTGTCTTCTCAGGCACAACAAAAAAAGGTCTTAAAAGTGTGCATTTTTCCTGGGAGAGCCAAACATCTGCAGCCATTAACACTCCTTACTCAAAGAAAGCTGCTTGTAATAACAACAAGCAGCTACAGGTCCTCCTTATATCTAAATTTGTCAACATCAAATCTACCCTAGTTAACATCTATGCTTCATTAGGAAAACTCAACTGAAACATTGAGGAAAGTGCAATGATTTGAAAATAGTAGGAAAATGTTGTTGTTGTTTTTTTAAAAAATACCAAGCTAACAGATTGAAAAAAACATGAGTGTGTAAACAAGCAAGCAAAGGGAAGTTCATTTCAAACATGCAATTCTTACCAGCATTGTAAGATTGTCATGAAATCATAAACTTTGCGGGACTGTAAGATTTCATCAAAACTGTACTCTTTTTGAAATTGGGAATTTCTGTTACGAGCAAAAGGAAGGAAGCATCTTAATTAGTACAATATATATGATAATGAAGCAAAAGTACCATATCATTGTCTTAATTTCTACAAGATCAAACTAAGAGCCATTTTCTCCAGTATTTGTGTCTTAAGAGTGCCTTTGAATTACAGAATCATTGATTTGGAAGAGACCTCTTGAGCCATCCAGTCCAACCCCCTGCCAAGAAGCAGGAAAATGGCATTCAAAGCACCCTGACAGATGGCCATCCAGCCTCAGCTTAAAAGCCTCCAAAGAAGGAGCTTCCACCACATTCCTGGGCAGAGAGTTCCACTGCTGAACAGCTCTCTTTAAACTCCACTCTAAGATTTAGAAAAACCAAAACATAATTGGATATGTAGCCCCTATGTTTTAGGCTATGAAAATTTAACATATGGATGTCTTGGATGCTAAAACTTGGCCTTCAGGTTTTGTACTCTTGTCAAAAAGGCCCTATGAAATCTAGAGGGTTGCCATAAGTTGCTGGGCAACTTGAAGGCACATATACACACATTCAAAGGAAGGTGCTTCTTGTTAGCATATAATATATAATTATTTACTTACGGATTATTAACCGAATGTTTGTGATTCTTCCATGCAACTTTTGCAAAGTGTTCTGGTTTTGTCCCTAAAAAGCCAATTAAATTAATTAAAACCCTCATATTTCAAAATCTTTTCTAGGCTAGTATAAAATATGTCTATGAAATGCAGATTTAATTATAACCCAGACTTATCTGAATCCAAGCAAATAAAGTACATAAGGTCAGTCACATATGATCATAAACCTATGGAATCTCTTCTGCATTAGAGAAAAGCTGTTTGCAACTGCCATCAAGTTGATGCCAACTCAGAGTGGCCCTATGAATGAAGGAACTAAATACCCTTGAGGCACCAGATCTTGCTAAGCAGTCTCTACCCTGGCTCATACTTGGGTGGGAGACAAGCAATACCTGGTGGTATAGGCTATTTCAGAGGAAGGGGCATGTGAATATTCCTTGTCAAAGAAAACCCTATCAAATTCATAAGGCTGCCAGAAGTTGACAGGTAACTTGGAAGGCATACTCATCTTTTGGCAATGCAGGTTATCTACGGAACTCTGTTCCTGCACATTTGAAGTGACCTTGATCTCTATCAGCTTGCATCACCATACATAGAAATTGAAAATACAATGGCATGGACAATTCTGCCTTTGTTATGCAATGATATATCTTCAGGACCTTCTCTAATTTTCATAACTGCCCTTCCGGGTTCTCAGCTTCTTCTGATTTCTTGACTGCAGTCCCAAATTGGATTAATGGTTGGGCCTAGGTATAGGAAATCTTTCACTATCTCAATGTCTTCATTGGCTACTTTAAAGACATGTACATTTCTTTTTATTATTATTTTTGTTTTCTAATTGTCCAGCTGTAAACCTGTCTTTGTACTTTCTTCAGCAGTTGTTCCATTTCTCCCCTATTTTTTTGCTCATAGTGGGGTGTCATCTGCAAGTGCATCCATTTTTATGGCTTAGGAAGTCATGAACCAGACAAATTCAGAACTTCAAAAAACCATGCATTGCAACTGAAATTCTGACTCTTCAAGGGTTCATATTGCAAGACATGAATCTTTGGACAGTCATTTGGCACATAAATAAACCCATTATTGCTATTTAGAAAACATCTAGGCCCGGGGGGCTAGATGCAGCGTGCTTGCCTCAGGCCCTCCTCATTTTCTCTGTCCTCTTGGCTTAAAGCCGCAGCAGCGTGTAACATCCTTATGCAGAAAGGATGGGAGAGGAAGGTTATGCAGCAACTGAGATCCCTCTGGAGTGCTCTCAGCCACCGTGTGTCTTGCCCTCCTCCTGGCATAAGGATGGTGTGAGCACCCCTGTCCTTATGCTGGGAGGACAATTCAAGGAAAGCACGCAGTGGTTGAGAGCCCTTTGGAACGCTCACGGACATGGCTGTCTCGCCCTCCTGGCATAATGCTGAGAAGACAGCCCGAAGATCAAGGAAGGAGTACAGGGGAGAAGGATCGGAACCGCCGCCACATGTCTCATTTTCCTCCTGGCATAAGGATGGGGTGAGCAACCCTGTCCTTGTGCCAGGATGACCTGCCCCCTCCTGGTTCCGCCCTCTCTCTCTCTCCCGGGTCCATCCCACCCAGCGTGTGCCTGGCCACCCTCTTTATAGGCCCGGACCCACAATGCGGCCCCAAGGTTAAAAAGTTTGCCCAAGCCTGGTTTAGGGGAACATTGATTCTTCTGTGGGTCAACGTAAAAACTGTGGATTCTGATCAGAATCATATTCTTCATAGTTATAATACATTTGACAACCCTTCGTACCATATTTTTCCATATGTTCTTTGCCAGCATTTCCAAACATCTGTGGTGTAACTGGTGCTGTCGCTAGGCCATATTTGTTTACCATCAGTTCCAAGTGCTTGTCTATTGGATTCACCCTGTCCATGGACTAGAACAAATGAGTTGTACATGTTAGCCAAAGCAAGGCAATACAAAACAGAAGGAATGTTTCTAGTATGCTCTCAACTGCTAGTATGCAGATGTTTTCAAAACATCATTTCTATTATTATTATTATTATTATTATTATTATTATTATTATTATAGTGGAAGATTGAAACATATTGGGAACATCTTTTGTTCTACATTTAACATACAGAAAAGTCATTCAGGAATATAATTCATTTGATTATCAGTAGTACAGTAACACTGCTATGCAAGAAGATGACAAGTTAGGGGATGACCATGTAGTAGGTAACTAACTTTAGTTGCAAAGATGCAAAATACTTGCTCCTTGTAACGGACAGATACCAATGCTTCACCAAATACCCTTTTTGTTACTGGGCTGAAATATATGGAGAGAACTGGAAGTGTTTTTAAAAAGTAAGTTTTTAAGACTGAGCCAGAAAAGGCTGTGTTTCATGTAGTTTAATATATTTTAAAGTTTTATTGGCTTCTACTATGTATTTTAATAGTCCTATATTTAATTCAATTTTAATGTTTATATGCTTTAGTTTTAATTTACACATTGTTACAATTTTCAGTTAGCTACTTTGAGTCTTCTTTGGGAGAGAAAAAGTGGGGTATAAGGACAGTACATATAATAATGATGATAATAATGATAGTTGCTTGAGAAAGCCACGTTTTTTCAGAAATAATGATGATTGTGAGTGTTGGATAAATGCAGTTCCAACATGGGAGGAAACCCTTTAGAGATACCTTATTAACAAACACACTGTCAGGAACAGAACATGTCTGAATAATCTAGTGTCCCTTCGATGTTATTTCCTTACAAAAACAAGTTTAGATACTCACGGCACTTGATGAAAGGGGTCCTTTTGCCATCTTCTCAAATCCAAGAGCCAGGACACAGTCAGCCAAGCCTTAAATATAAATTTCCGGACTCTTAAAATGTATGATTTAATCAATGTATTAAACTTGAATATACTGTATATTATAGACTTTAATTCAGACAAGAACAGAGCAGAAAGTTGGCTTTTTAAATATATATATATATATTTATGATTTTAATATGTGACATTGCACAGTTTATTACATTGCATAATCCCTACACAAATGCAAAATTGTTTCCAAATGACAAAATTCAAACTTGCAGCAAAACTGACGTGTTTGGGGAGTGGAGGAAAGACAGAAGTGACAATAAAGTTTCGTTTTATTTAACCATTAGCACTGTAATTGTTTCTGACAGAGCTATGTATATACGTATGATATGTCTTAATATCAGTTGATTTTTGGGCTATGTTTAAATGCCCACACTGGGGTAAGGAACAGGCTTCCTGTCGAGATCTGGATTGAAGCAATGGATATAGTCAAGGTGGAAAGAATTATGGATATGGCCCCTGCGTTTTCTTCTTCTTTTGATACAGAGAGAATAAAGGGAGATATTTTTGCATTCAGACATTCTCCTTTACTACTGTATGCAGTTTTACAGCTGTGGAGAGTGCAGGACAAAGGAAATCAATCATCTGGAGTGGTTTTAATGCAGAGTAGGGCAAATAAATTTGTCACAGAATAAATGGATAACATCATTTTGTACATATTTGGTAGAAGCAAGCAACACAACTCACCTCCTCGTATTAACTGCCTGGCCATGAACAATGCTGTAGATCCAGTTGAGCAGTTGTTATTAACATTAATAATAGGAATGCCCGTTAGTCCCAAGTTGTGATAAATAGCTCTCTGGCCACAGGTTGAATCACCTTTGTGTAAAGAAATCAAAGTGTAGAATCACAAAGCAGGAAAAGTTATATCGTATTCCCGATTCTCCTAAGAAAATGGGGAAAGTATTCAACATTTGTTAACACAGTGATTGGTAAGGTCAATACCAGGCGTTCTGAGTTAGAGGTTGGAAGAGCCATCCATATTCTCAGTCAAGGAGAGAACATATATCTATGACTGTTTTTTCCAACTATTATGTTTATTAATATCCCTTCTATTCAAACCTTAATGATATTGCATCCTATATTCCTGCATGTGGTCCAATTTGTCTTACATAAATTATGAATTAACTACTGCATGCATTTGCATTAATCAGCTACACAGAGTTAATTCAAATGTCTGTGTTATTTTGAATAAAAGTACTCATAAAAAACATACATGTTTTATATCAAATACCAATAATGAGATATAGGGTTGCTGTGAGTTTTCCAAGCTGTATGGCCATGTTCCAGAAGCATTCTCTCCTGATGTTTCACCCACATCTATGGCAGGCATCCTCAGAGGTAGTGAGGTCTGTTGGAAACTAGGCAAGTGGGGTTTATATATCTGTGGAATGTCCAGGGTGGGAGAAAGAACTCCTGTCTGTTTGAGGAAAGTGAGAATGTTGCAACTGGCCTGCTTGATAAGCACTGAATTGCCTGGCTGCTTCCTACCTGGGGGAATCCTTTGTTGGGAGGTATTTTCAACTTTTACTTAGATTTCTTTCACACATCTACAATGACTGAAATACCTATATTCCCCTGACCAACCCTTTGAAAATGTAGGACAAGGGAAATAATTTGGATTTTTTTTCTGGATCCTGTTACATACTTTTCCACTCTAACTAGTATATCAACATACTTTGTAAACCAAAGCTTTAATGTCACTCTGGACTGCAGAGTGCAGAGGTTAAGAAGTGGGTTTTATCTATAAAAGCTCATGCTAAAGCACAAACCAGTTCATCTTAAAGGTTTTTTCCCCCTTCACATTCTTTTCTTTCTCTGCAACTTCCTCATTTTATATTGCAACATGCTAATAAAACAACTATATCTTGAATAATTTGTAGACAGAATATTAATCTAGCAGGCACATAAATCACAAAACACTCAGGAATGTTGACATATACTTTTCCTCCATACATCCCAGTTTAGGGTACAGTATATCTGGTGAGTCCAGCAGTTAATGTTAGAGCTCAGCATTAAGCTTCTGAGTTTTGGAGAATTGTGTATGTGTATACACTCTCTCTCTCTCTCTCTCTCTTTAGTTTATCATATCTATGGATGCCTGGCCATCTGCCTGGAGGGCTTAGATGGTGTCTTGTTGCATGGTAAAAGAGGGTTGGACTGGATGGCGCTTGAGGTCTCTTCCAGAGCTATGATATCTGTCGTGTGTGTGCGTGTGAGACCCAGCTCAATATGAAGGGACAAAGAATCACGCACAGAGAAAACTCCAAAGCCTTAGAGCAGGAGCATTACATACTCACCAAAAACATAGCCCACACATGCTTGTTGCACAGCAGAATACGGCACACCTGCATCAGCAAGAGCCTTTTGACCTGAATAAATAAATTAAAAAAATAGAAACTCCTTATTAAAAAGCATTCATGAACCCTCCAGCAATTATGATTATTTCTTCAAACCCAGTTCAGACAAGAGGCCTGATGTTATTATTATATTTCATTACACATAGATGAATGCATCACGCATTCCACCACAACCAATATCACATATGTGGTATTTTAAAATAAGCAATGCCATTGTGGCAATTCTTTTCAAGCTGCTGTAATCCTGAAAATAGGGCCAACAATATGGCAACTGCATATTTGACATTCTGATCAAGTTTAATAAGGCTGCCATGTCTTAGGGGACTACTTGCCCAGGGTTTGTCCAGAGTAAGAAATGTTAATTGATACTCAGCCCTACACAGAATAATATTCAAGCCAATTGGTTCCCTTTCCCTCAATAGACATGAATGTATTAGTTAAGCAAACCTTAAATTGGTTATTTGAATGTATGCATGAAAAAATGCAGTCACTCAAACTGGTTTGGGGGCATTCAGGGGCCCATGTGCAAAAAATGATATGACCAAAAACTGTGGGGTGACAATTAAACTGCAATTCCCATCAGTCTTAACCAATGAATTGCTGGATTTTTTACATGGGAACATAGACCCTTCCATCTTCTCCTGAAATCTACCTCAATCAAATTTGATAAAAGTGAAACACCTTTACTATTATTATTATTATTATTTTGTTTGTTGTTGTTTTATTTGCTGTTATCTATCCTCAACCAAGTTTGAGAACAAACAATTGAAACTAGGAGAATTTGTTTCCCACCCACCCTGTAGTATTAGTCTTTCAAGACAGTGGTTCCCAATCTTTAGTTCTCCAGATTTTTTGAACTTCAAATCACAAAAACTTTATTTCCCAGAAGGTTGTGGATTACTGCTTCAGGCATTAAAAGGAAAACATTATTAGGCCCTAGCAAACTGATAAGCAGTTAAATAATAAATAAAAGATCTATGATGATAATTCTGCCACGTAAGGACAATCTAATTTCTGCAAATTTTAGCAACCCTTTATGGCAGGAATAGGGAAAATCTGGCCCTTCAGATTTTGGATTACAGCTCCCACAATCCCATATGTAAAAGTAACAATTTTTCCCTGACATTAAGTCCAGTCGTGTCTGACTCTGGGGTGTGGTGCTCATCTCCATTTCTAAGCTGAAGAGCCAGCGTTGTCTGTAGATGCCTCCAAGGTCATGTGGCCAGCATGACTTCATGGAGCACCGTTATCTTCCCAATGGAGCAGTACCCATTGATCTGCTCATATTTGCATGTTTTCAAACTGCTAGGTTGGCAGAAGCTGGGGCTAACTGCGGGAGCTCAGGCCACTCCCCAGATTTGAACCTGCAACCTTTTGGTCTGTAAGTTCAGCAGCTCAGCGCTTTAACCCACTGTGCCACTGGGAGCTCAATCCCATACCATTGGCCAAAGATGAAGGTCAAAACACCTAGAAGACTAAAAATCATGCGAAATTAGAGGACTCATAAAAAATAATAGAATTTATAATGATGCGGAAAGACATGGTTGTTTACCTGTAACCGTGTTTCTCTGAGTCTTAGGCGATCCCTCGCTTTCCAAGGATGATTGTCTTCCAATATTCTTGTGGGTCTGTATGTGGCTGTGGAGCCCTATTCTTGCTCTGCATCTTCTTCCGCAGTGAGGGCATTGGTTTCCAGGTGGAAGGCGGTCTCGGCCGGAGTTGGCTTGACACGCCTTCCTCTTGGCACATTTCTCTTTTCACCATCCATGCCTCTTCAAATTCTGCAGCACTGCTGGTCACAGCTGACCTCCAGCTGGAGCAGTCAAGGGCCAGGGCTTCCCAGTTCTCAGTGTCTATGCCAGAGTTTTTAAGGTTGGCTTTGAGCCCATCTTTAAAACTCTTTTCCTGTCCACCAACATTCCGTTTTCCGTTCTTGAGTTCGGAGTAGAGCAACTGCTTTGGGAGACGGTGGTCGGGCATCCGGACAACATGGCCGGTCCAGCGGAGTTGGTGGCGGAGGACCATCGCTTCAATGCTGGTGGTCTTTGCTTCTTCCAGCACGCTGACGTTTGTCCGCTTGTCTTCCCAAGAGATTTGCAGGATTTTCCGGAGGCAGCGCTGATGGAATCGTTCCAGGAGTTGCATGTGACGTCTGTAGACAGTCCACGTCTCACAGGCATAGAGCAGGGTTGGGAGGACAATAGCTTTATAAACAAGCACCTTGGTATCCCTACGGATGTCCTGGTCCTCAAACACTCTCTGCTTCATTCGGAAAAATGCTGCACTTGCAGAGCTCAGGCGGTGTTGTATTTCGGTGTCGATGTTGACTTTGGTGGAGAGGTGGCTGCCAAGGTAGCCTTGGCTACCTTGGTTTCTCTGAGTAGTCATTTGTGAAATCTGCACATATGGTAACTATGTGAAGGAGAAGATATGATTGCTTACCTGTAACCATGTTTCTCCAAGCAGTCATCTGTAAAATCTACACATACAGTAGGAATTACCATATGTGCACATTTCACAGAGAGGAGAAACTTAGTTAACTTCACATTTGCTTCTATTCCCACTCTTCTGTAGCCAATTAAATATTTAGGGAAAGAGAACCACACGGAGTCTTGCCAGTTGAAACTTCCCTTCCTCCTTGTTGGTGTCACAAGCAAACAATCCCTAATGCTCAGGCACACCTAAATTTGTGAAACTCGGCGGTGGTGCAACTGTTTGTAGGAACTGGCCAGGGTTACAAGACTGGGAAAACAGCCCAGCAGTTGGTTTATATTCTTTTACACAAAGTATATCTGATCCTTACCTGCTTCTTTAGCCATATCAGGATAATCAAAATTGTCACGAGTCCCCGGCTTTTCAAACTGTTGGAAGAAAAAAGGAAAGTAGCAGTCTCTGCTTGTGAGTTATTTCCCCTCCTCCCCCAAATCTATTCCTGTTATCTTATATTGTGAATGCGGAGGTGCTTCTTGATCTACACAGGAATGGATAGGACAAAGGTTTGATGTTGCATAATTCCTGCTGTGCCTTGCTTGAAAACAAGAGTATTCCCTTATGCTAGATATTATACTAACAAGGTTGGGAAAATCTGTCGTAACAAATAGGTGGCAAGCATTTGTTAATTGCCATCAAAATATGCATCTACACTGTAGAATTAATGTAGTTTGATGCCACTTTAACTGCTATGCTTCAAAGGCATGGGATCACAGGAGTCGGAGTTTTGGAGTCTTTGGTTTTCTCTGCCAAAGAGTTCTATTAGTAATATTAGAGTGAGGCACTAGAACTCTGCCAAAGAGTTCTAGTGCCTCACTAAACTACAACTCCCATGATTCCCTAGCATTGAGCTGTGGAGGTTAAGGAGGTGCCAAACGTCATCCATTTTACAGTGTAGATACATCCCACATGGACTTTGATATATAATTATTTATGTAACTTTAAAGGACTTATTCAATAGCCCTGCTCTAGGCTTGTAAATCAGGGTTGCTGCTTCTACTGCAACATGGTCACCATTCGATTATGGTGACCCCATAAATACTTAAGAGGTGGTTTTGCAAGTTCCTTCCTCTGAAATATAGCCTGTAACAATAGTATCCCATTCAAGTAATAACCAAGGCCCCTTCTAAAAAGGTACAGGTTTCCCCTTGACATTAAATCTAGTCATGTTCAACTCTGGGGGTGGTGCTCATCTCCATTTCTAAGCGGAGGAGCCGGCGTTGTCCATAGACACCTCCAAGGTCAGGTGGCCGGCACGTATTTTATATTATTTATAATATTATTTTATATTTCATGTAATATTACTAATAATATTACAGTATAATAGTATAGTACAATATAGTAATATATAATACTAATATAGTGCTATGATAACAATATAATAGTATTTACATATTACTTGTAAGCCGCTCTGAGTCCCCTTCGGGGTAGGAAGGGCGGCATATCAATGTCATAAATAAATAAATAATGACTGCATGGAGCTCCTTTACCTTCCTGCAGAAGCGGTACCTGTTGATCTACTCACATTTGCATGTTTTCAAACTGCTAGGGTTGGTAGAAGCTGGGGCTAAGAGCAGGAGCTCACCTCGCTCCCTGGTTTCGAATCGCCAACCTTTTGGTCAGCAAGTTCAGCAGCTCAGTGGCTTAATCCGCTGCACCACCAGAGGGTCCTAAGGCCCCTTCTACACTGCCCTATATCTCAGGATATAGATTATATGGTAGTGGAGACTCATATAATCCAGTTCAAAGCAGATAATCTGGGATCGGATTTTGGGATATGTGGCAGTGCAGTTTCAGCTCTAGCTGTCTCTACTTAACTTCATTGAGCATTAACACCTTTTCCAGGATAGATTCCGGCTCCTAGTGAGGGTTCATATTCCAAACAATACAGCCTGGTGTGGTATTTTGCCATCATTTCAACCTAGGGAAAGGCAGGTTCCTCCAGGTATGATCGTACTGCAAATTCCACCAGGAAATTATAAAAGACAGTGTAAAGCAGTGTTTCTCAACCTTCCTAATGCCGCGACCCTTTAATACAGTTCCTCATGTTGTGGTGACCCCCAACCATAAAATTATTTTTGTTGCTACGTTATAACTGTAATTTTGGTACTGTTATGAATTGTCATGTAAATATCTGATATGCAGGGTATATTTTCGTTCATTGGACCAAATTTGGCACAAATAGCCGATACGCCCAAATTTGAATACTGGTGGGGGGGAGGGTTATGTCATTTGGGAGTTGTAGTTGCTGGGATTTATAGATAACCTACAATCAAAGAGCATTCTGAATACCACCAACGATGGAATTGAACCACACTTGGCACACAGAACTCCCACGATCAACAGAAAATACTGGAAGGGTTTGGTGGTCATTGACCTTGAACTTTGGAGTTGTAGTTTACCTACATCCAGAGAGCACTGTGGACTCAAACAATGATGGATCTGGACCAAACTTGGCACAAATACTCAATATGCCCAAATGTGAACACTGGTGGAGTTTGGGGAACATAGACCTTGACATTTGGGAGTTATAGTTGCTGGGATTTATAGTTCACCAACAATCAAAGAGCATCCTTATCTCCACCAATGATGGAATTGAACCAAACTTAGCACACGGAACACCCATGACCAACAGAAAATACTGGAAAGGTTTGGTGGTCATTGAATTTGAAGTTTGGAGTTGTAGTTCACCTCCATCCAGAGAGCTCTAAGGACTCAAACAATGATATATCTGGACCAAACCTGGCACAAATACTCAATATGTCCAAATGTGAACACTGGTGGAGTTTGGGGGAAATAGACTTTGACATTTGGGAGTTGTAGTTGCTGGGATTTATAGTTCACCTACAATCAAAGAGCATTAGATAGAATTGGGCCAAACTTCCCACGTGGCAACCCCATGGCCAATACTGTGTTTCTGATAGTCTTTGGAGACCCCTCTGGCACATTCTCATGACCCCCACAGGACTCCCGACCCCAAGGTTGAGAAACACTAGTGTAAAGGACTATGATCCCTATTCCTTTTAGTCTACGGGAAACCCAAAAGAAGTAATCAAAAGGCAGTAGAGAGGTATAGTTATATTTCCTATGGGTCTTTTAATAAATCTCCCTCAATACAGCCATGCAGTCATAGGGGTTCCTTGTTTAGTTCCTTGTTAGGAGAGCAACTCATTGTGAGGCTATGGGTGCATCTACACCGTAGAATGAATGCGGTTTGACCCCACTTTAACTGCCAAGACTCAATGCTATGGGATTCTAGGGTTTGTAGATGGGTGAATCACCAGCATTCTTTGGCACCGATGGCTAAAGACCTTGTAAGACTACCAGGGCGCCAGACCCTTCCCATTACCTTGGTCATGCCGACTCCCACCACGAAGACCCTCTTGAGCTGGGATGGAGCCATGGCCCTGAACCGTCCCTCCGCGTGGGGCGAATAATGCAACTGCTGCCGGCTTTTCGCTCAACTGCAAACGCCTTCCTCCTGCTCTTGTGAAGCTTCTTCCCCGGGAAAGAAAACACTGGGAAAAGGTCAAAAGCTTGGGCAAGGCTGTTTTGGAGCACTGTCGCTTTAAGGGCGGAGGCGGGGCGATGGAGCTCAGCCTCCGCCCTTAAAGCAACAGTGCTCCAAAACAGCTTTCCCCAAGCTGGTCTCCTTATGGACGAGGGTTGAATGAAAAGTAATGCCTCTACCTTCCTAAGTCCTCAACAGGTGGCAGTACTAGTATGCGGCAGGTACTGGCTTGTTCAGTAGACTCTCCTCTACAGTTCCATTTTGGTGGGATGGCTTAGCATTGAACGGTTGTGTTGTTAAAGTGCAAAGTATGGAACTCTGCACAGACGGTCGGTCAATGCAACTTAAGCAGAAGGTGTCACCCCAAAGGAGATTCATCAGAGAATGCAAGCTGTTTATGGTGGTTGTGTTGATGTGAGTACTGTGCGTCATTGGGTGAGTAAGTTTAAAGATGTTGAGATGGGAACATCTAATTTGTGTGACAAACAAAGAGTTGGACGTCCTGTGACAGCAACCACCGAGTTTCACAAGCAAAAGGTTGACAGATGGATTCAGGATGATCATCGTATCACTCAGAGAGAAATTTCAAGTATAATCGGCATTTCACAAGAATGTGTGTGTGTGACATTATTGCTTTGCTTGGCTATCAGAAGATCTGTGCACGATGGGTACACAGCAGAACTTCAGAGACTGGATCTCACCACTGGACGGCATCCTCCATACAGTCCAGATTTAGCACCATCTGACTTCCATCTGTTCCCAATAATGAAAGAAGATCTACAGAGACATCATTATGCTTCTGATGAAGATGTTGAGAGAACTGTGAGACGCTGTGTTGACTTCTTCTGTGACGGCTTCAGAAAACTTGTTCATTGTTAGCAGAAATGTATCCAATTGTCCGGTGATTATGTGGAAAAGTGAATAGTGGTAGTTTAAGAGCACAGCACATTCTAAGGATTATTTCTGTGTTTGATTTGTTAAAATATTCCCATCCAAACCTGAGTAACGAAGGTGGAGGCATTACTTTTCATTCAACCCTCGTATTGAGCTATGGGTCCACTTAAACTGCCATGGCTCACTAAACTACAGCTCCAGGATCCCACAGCATTGAGTCCTGGCAATTCAAGTGCTGTCAAAGATCTCAAGGGGTCAGTGTATTCATGTCCTTAATGGCTTTCTATTCATTCGTGTCTACTTAAACAAGTTGCTTCTGGTGCATATTGCACCACCTGACATCCGCCGGGAAATAGCAGCCAATAATGAAAGGACCAAGGCAGTGACATCTCCGACCTATCCTCTGTTCGGATATCAGCCAGCACGCCAATGCCTTAAATCAAGAAATGGGTTTCTAAGATCTACAGAGACACACACTGGAACACCTCAGCAAGCGAGAGTCCAAAAGTGGCAGGCAAAAACTCGGAACCTCAATCCACGGCTGATACGCACGCCAACGCCTTAAATCAAGATATAGTCTTCTAAGATCTACAGAGATACTCGCAGGAACACCTCAGCAAGCGAGAGTCCAAAAGAGGCAGGCAAAAACTCGGAACCTCAATCCATGGCTGATACTGAATGAGAGACTCCTGCCCTGGACACACAGAAGACTGGGTGACTTGGAAGGCGCTGAACAGGCTGCGCTCTGGCACCACGAGATGCAGAGCCAACCTTAAGAAATGGGGCCAAAAGGGGAGTCCACGACATGTGAGTGTGGTGAAGAGCAAACCACAGACCACCTATTACAATGCAGCCTGAACCCTGCCACATGCACAATGGAGGACCTCCTTATAGCATCCTATTGCATGGAGCGGCAGGGCAGAAGAGGCTCAAGACCTTGGGAAACTACAACTCCCAGTATCCTATTGCATGGAGGCAGGGCACTGAAAGTGGTGTGGCAGAGAAGGCTCAAGATCTTGGGAAACTACAATTCCCGATATTCTATTGCATGGAAGTAAGGTAGTTAAGTGGTGGGGCAGAGTAGGCTCAAAGACTTTAGAAAACTGTAACTCCCATCATTCTATTGCAAAGAGGCAGGGCAGTTAAAAGTGATGGGGCAGAGAAGGCACAAGACCTTGGGAAATTACAACTCCCTACATACTATTGCATGGAGACAAGGCACTGAAAGTGGTGATGCAGAGAAGGCTCAAGACCTTTGGCAAAGAAGGCTCAAAGCCTTGGGAAACTACAACTCCCAGCGTTCTATTGAATGGAGGCAGGGCACTGAAGGTGGTGTGGCAGAGAAGCTCAATACCTTGGGAAACTACACCTCCCAATATTCTATTGCATGGAAGCAAGGCAGTTAAGTATTGGGGCAGAGGAGGCTCAAGACCTTAGAAAACTGCAACTCCCATGATTATATTGCATGGAGGCTGGGCAGTTAAACGCAGTGGGGCAGAGAAGGCTTAAGATCTTGGAAAACTACAACTCCCAGCAAACTATTGCATGGAGGCAGGAGAATTAAAAAGGGGGCAGAGAAGGCACAAGGCATTGGGAAACTACAACTCCCAGCGTTCTACTACATGGAGGCAAGGGAATTAAAAGTGGTGGGGCAGAAAAGACTCAAGGCCTTGGGAAACTACAACCCCCAGCGTCCTATTGCATGGAGGCAGAGCAATTAAAAGTGGTGGGGCAGAGATGCCTCAAGGCCTTGGTGAACTACAATTCCCAGTGTTCTATTGATTGGGGGCAGAGCATTGAAAGCAGTGGGTCAGAGAAGGCTCAAGAACTGGGGAAACTACAACTCTCAGCATTCTATTGCATGGAGACAGGGCGGTGAAAGTGGTGGGGTAGAGATGGCTCAAGACCATAGGAAACTACAACTCCCAGCATACTATTGCATGGAGGCAGGGGCAATTAAAAGTAGTGGGGCAGAGATGCTCCAAGGCCTTGGGGAACCACAACTCCTAGTATTCTATTGAATGGAGGCAGGACATTGAAAGTGGTGTGTCAGAGATGGCTCAAGACCTTGGAAAACGACAATTCCCAGCTTTCTTTCTCATGAAGGCAGGGCAGTAAGCGTGGCCTCAAACTGCATTCCTTCTATACAAGAGTAGATGTATGTTAGAGAGGGATCCCTTTGCTGCCTGCCTGCCTTTCATTAAGGGGATCTGCTCATCAGGCCAAGAGGCACCCTAGACGGAGCCCCCTCCCTCCCTCGGGGCCTCGAGACTTGAGGAAGAGGGCTTCCTGACCAAGGAGGGTGGAGGGCGGGAGGCGTTGCCCGGTGCGGCTCCTCCCGGGCCCGGCGTCGGGGAAGGAAGCAAGGAAGGAAGGCGCAGTCCAGAGCCGCCCCTTTGGGCTTCCCTTCCAAAGAGCAAGGCGATGCTCCGCCTGGGAAGGGCAGCCGCTCCGCTGCGGGAGCTGCTGGGCCCCTGGAGCCTCCTCCCGGGGAGACCCGCGTCCGCAGGGAGGCCCAAGGAGGTCCTCCTGCGGGTCTGCAAAGAGGAAAACCGCGGTGAGTTGTGAAGAGAAACGAGGGCTTTGCAAAGTGACCTCTGAGCACAGCTGCACGAAGGAAAGGGCACCGACTGGGCAAAGGAAGACGAGTGTTGTTCTTTGGCCCCGTCTGGCCGTCCAGCCACCAATCCCAATGCCGCTCAGCCACTACACCCCCTTAAAAAAGTTTGTCACTCCAGGTAAAGCGGGAAAGAGCGCCCTCTGGTGCCCATTCGGCGCCCTTCCCCGGAATTCCACAATTGCCTGTATGAATCCTTGAGGATGCAACATGGGCAAACTTCAGCCCTCCAGGTGTTTTGGACTTCAGCTCCCACAGTTCTTAACAGCCGGTAAGCTGGCTGGGGTTTCTGGAAGTTGAAGTCCAAAACACCTGGAGGCCCAAAGCTTGGGAACCACGACCGTAGTGCCAAATTGCATCAATTTATTGTCGAAGGCTTTCATGGCCGGAATCACTGGGTTGTTGTAGGTTTTTTCGGGCTATATGGCGTGTTCTAGAGGCATTCTCTCCTGACATTTTGCCTGCATCTAATGTGGACAATTTCAACAGAAAGGAGGAAACCATGAAAATGAACAAATTCTGACTACCAGTATTAAAAAAAAAAACCTCTAAAATTACAACAGCAAAACAACAGAGGGAAACAATCAGGGACACCTAATCACCTCTCAACAAAAGATTGCCTCAGGCACTAACAAACCATGCCAAAAAACTGTCAGGCCATCAAATGCTAATCAAGGTGGTCAGTTGAAACATTCACACCTAGCTCCAACAGACAAGAGTTCTTTGTCCCACCCTGGTTATTCCTCAGATATATAAACCCATTTTCCTAGTTCCAACAGACCTTACTACCTCTGAGGATGCTTGCCATAGATGCAGGTGAAACATCAGGAGAGAATGCCTCTAGAACATGGCCCTATAGTCCGAAAAAACCTGCATCAATTTGACTGTGGAGACACACCTTTGGAGATGGGACACAAGTCCAAACGTGAAATACATGTACATTTCATAGGCACCTTTTTTTACGATACTTTTAATACCTCACGAAGCAAGAGCTGTCTCTCTCTGCAAGCACCTGCACAACTCAAGCCTAAAAATGTAACTGCTGCCAAAACTCCCAGGCTCAGCTAGTTTCCTGGACATGGCCCAGCCAATCAGCTTCGTACTTTGCATTTTCAGTTAACACACTCACCAACTGATTTCTTACATGCCCAAACAACCCTTTTTGTGTCAGGAGCAACTTGAGAAACTGCAAGTCGCTTCTGGTGTGAGAGCATTGGCCATCTGGAAGGACGTTGCCCAGGGGATGTCCGGATGTTTTGATATTTGTGGGAAGCTTTTCCCATGTCCCCACATGGGGAGCTGGAGTGGACAGCTACTCAGGCCTCAAACCAGTTCCAGGATTTTCTATTTAATAATCTGCACAGTGAAACCCTTTCTTCAATGCCAGTTGAAACTACATTAAATACTTAGTGTAGATGGGTCGTTAATGTTGGAGCAGGCAAGCAATCGGTGAGTGTGTGTGTCAACTACAAAATAAGATGCATGAGGTTGATTGGTCGGGCAATGTGGGGGGTGATGGCTGAGCCTGGAACTTTTGGATATTGTTGCATTTTTGTTCAGGCTCAAGCTATGCAGGTGCAGAGAGAAAAGGAGAGAAGCAGGGAGAGTCAGACTGATTTGCTTCTTTGCTGCTTGAAATAAGGTCTCATATGGACACAGAAATGACCATTTTAAATCTCTCTAATCAAAGGACATTTAGTGAGTTGATGCAACTGATCATATTGTATATATGTTTTGAATTACAAAGAGTAAACTACTTGTTTTTTACTGTTCACCTGCGTAGCCTATTTTTCCCCCCTGGCAAGATAGTGTTTGGGCTGATCAAAGGCGAACTACACGTGGTTTATTTTCCATTCTGTCACAATTAACATGGTTTGGTAAACTTTAATCTATGTGGCTTCATGCTATGGAGTCCTGGAAGTTGTACTTTCACAAGGTCTTTAACTTTTTCTACCAAATAGTAATAGTGCCTCTCTAAACTACATCTCCCAGGTTTCCATAACTTCAAGCCATGGCTGTTAAAGTGGCGTCAAACTTAACTCATTCTGCAATGTAAATGCGGGAGGTTTGTAAATTGCCTCCCCAGCAGTTCTGCAGTTTTGATCTTTGCCACATAATATCAGGCTTGTTTGGGTGGAAACTTGGGCAAGTCACACACTCTCAGCCTCAGAGGAAGACAAAGAGAGCAAACATTGCCAGGAAGACTCCAAAATAGATTCACCTTAGTGTTGTTAGAGCATGTAATAAATCAGTTGGTGAGTGTATTAACTGTAAATGCAATGCACAAAGCTGATTGGTTGGGCCATGCCTGGGGAGCTAGCCGAGCCTGGAAATTTTGGCAACAGTCACATTTTTAGGCTTGAGCTGTGCAAGTGCTTGCACAGAGAAACAGTTCTTGCTTTGAATCTCTCTCAAAAGGACATTATGTGAGTCACTTACTTAATTACTTAGGCGATCCCTCGTTGTCCGAGTAGGATAATCCTCCAGGGTGGGTCCATAGGTGACTATGGAGACCTATTCTTGATCTGCATTATTTCCCGCAGGGAGGGCATTGGTTTCCAGGTGGAAGGCGGTCCCGGTCGGGGTTGGCTTGACGCGCCTTCCACTTGGTACGTTTCTCTCTTTAGCCCTCCATTCGTGCCTTTTCAAATTCTGCAGCACTGCTGATCACAGCTGACCTCCAGCTGGAACGCTCACAGGCCAGGGCTTCCCAGTTCTCAGTGTGTGAGTCAGTGCAACCGTTCACATGATTGTATATATGTTGCTCTGCATTACAAAGAGTAAACTACTTATTCTTTACTGATCGTCTGCGTGGCATATTTTCTTTCTCTGGCAAGACAGTGTGTGGACTGATAAAATGTGAGCTACGCATTATTTTCATTACGTCACAAGGGTCGCCCAAAGACGCAAGCATGCAATATTAGTATGTGGGACTACATATTTACATTTCTATTTGTTGTGTTTTTTTTTTTAGGTATTGCAGAAATCTTGATGAACAGGCCACATGCCAAAAATTCACTGGGGAAAGTGTTTGTGGAAGAGGTAAGGGGTAATCTTCCTTTAGTCTTTATTTTTATGGACTGTCATTTGATAAATTACCTGTGTTGAAAGTTTAGCTGCGTCATCTCAAGTACGCTGTGGTTTGAGGTGCATCCATACTGTAGAATTAATGCAGTTTAACACCCCTTTAACTACCTTGGCTCAATGCTATGGAATCCTGGAAGTTAGTTTTCCAAGATGTTTAGCCTTCTCTGCCTAATATTGTGGGTAGAAGCACCAAATTATAACTTTCTGTTTTCAGAGCATTGAGCTACGGCAATTAAAGTGGTATCCAACTGCATTAATTCAAGTGTAGATCAGGCATGGGCAAAGTTCGGCCCCCTCCAGGTGTTTTGGATTCCAACTCCCACAATTCCTAACAGCCAGTAGGCTGTTAGGAATTGGGGGAGTTGGAGTCCAAAACACCTGGAGGGCCAAACTTTGCCCATGCCTAATGTAGATGCACCCTTAATGAAACTTATAGATTCTGAAGTAAAATATACACGACAGGAAAAGATTAAATACTGAATAAGCATTGCATAAAGTTAGGCAGTGTGATATTGGGAATTGTAAAATTGGTCCACTTACTTGCCTCAACATAATAAAATCACTAAATAAAACTATGGAGTCTAGTTTTCTTTCAGTTTCTGTTACATATTTTGTAAATATTTTCCCTCTCCTTATCATGCCAGCTGTTTGAAACCCTTGATGTTCTCCAGTTCGATGACAGTGTTCGCGTGGTAATAATTAGGAGCAATGTCGCAGGCGTATTTTGTGCAGGTAGGTCAAGGTTTCTTCTGACTAAAGGAAACGAGAAGCCAAAAAAGAATAATAATAATAAATAAATAAAATGGATGGATAGATATATATTTTTAATTTTATATATCTCACAAGTTATACATTATTCTACTTGATATTATTATTGTTGTTATTATTTAATACACAACAAGATAAGTACACAGCAAACGAGATCACTCTGCTGGCTTTTGTATTTGATCACACGTCAGACACTTCACAAGTGTCTAGGACTGTGTGATGTATTGGCAAATAATGCGTGCAGATCCGAGTAGGGTGGTGGCCTTTTGCAGCTGACAGATGGTAATTTTGGCAGTGCCGATTGTTTTTAAGTGCAGGCCAAGGTCTTTAGGCACTGCACCCAGTGTGCCAATCGCCACTGGGACCAGCTTTACTGGCTTGTGCCAGAGTCTTTGCCATTATTAAGATTATTAAGATCATCTGGGGAGGCCCTGCTCTCGGTCCCGCCTGCATCACAGGTACATCTGGTGGAGACGAGAGACAGGGCCTTCTCAGTGGTGACCCCTCAGCTCTGGAATGCCCTTCCTACAGAAATTAGATCGGCCCCCTCCCTATTGGCATTTCAGAGGAAAGTGAAGGCCTGGTTGTTCGAGCAGGCATTTGAATAGGCAGTGTAATGAACATAGGAATACGGAACAACGGATGATGATATTGGATCTTGATTTTACTTGAGACGCTAATGAGATGTTATATTGATGTTTAACTGTTTATTATGTTATAATTTTAATTGTTTTTTAACTGTTTTTAATGATGCTGAGCATTGAATTTTGCTGTTGTTAACCGCTTTGAGTCACCTAAGGGTTGAGAAAAGTGGTATATAAATGAAGTAAATAAAATAAACAAATAAATATTATTTTACTGACACAAAACCACAGTATGTCACAGCAAACAAGATCCATATGCTGGATTTCATATCAAAAAATCACAAGTTAAACACTTCCCAAGTGTCTAGGACTGTGCGATTTATTATTATTATTATTATTATTATTATTATTTGAAACACAACAAGATGAGTCCACAGGTGACACTCTGCTGGCTGTTGAATTGGATCACACGTCGGACACTTCCCAAGTGTCTAGGCTGTGTGATGTATCGGCAAATAATGTGTGCAGATCCCAGTAAGGTAGCCTTCTGCAACTGGCAGATGGTAATTTTGTCAGCGCCGATTGTGTTTAAGTGCAGGCCAAGGTCTTTAGGCACTGTACCCAGTGTGCCGATCACCACTGGGACCACCTTGACTAGTTTGTGCCAGAGTCTTTGCAGTTCGATCTTTAAATCCTCATATAGTGTCAGCTTTCCCGTTGTTTCTCTGCAATCTTGCTGTCACCTGGGATTGCGACATCGACGAGCCATACTTTGTTTTTTAACACGATTGTGAGGTCAGGAGTGCTCCAGAACTCTGTTTGTCTGAATTCGGAAGTTCCAGAGGAGTTTGGCGTGTTCATTCTCTGTAACTACTACTACTTCTACTTCTTCTTTTTCTTCTTCTTCTTCGTTTCCTGGAGCTCATCATACCTCATTTTTTATATCTTATATATCTTTTGTGATTTCATGGCAATGAAATCAAGACTTAGTAAGTCAGATACGACTTGAAGGAAGACAGTAACAACAAATTTTTTTTTGGCATGGGGAAAATGGAAAATATTTCTCTTATTCCTTCATAATTGGCTAAAAAGACTTCCAAACCTGATGAATATTTTTAAAATGAGATATTTATAACTCTATTCTATAAACCTCATATTAAACAGCCTCATATTAAGAGTGCTTCTCTTAACACGTGATTGGATTGGAGGCATCTTTTGTAGTTCACAGGGCAATTGGGAGAATATTAAAATCCTGCTGTTAAACAAACAGTATTCCTTTCTGGACTCCCAACCTGTCTTTCCTGTTTAAATTGCAGGTGCTGACTTAAAAGAGCGTGCTTCAATGACTGATGTGGAAACAGACCTTTTCGTCCATAAGCTCAGAAGCCTGATGGATGGCATTGGTAAGTTGTCCGCAACATGTTATATTTCTTTTTAATATAAACAAACAAGGTCAATGTGTTTAATTTTCATGATCCTGCAAAAGAACTGCCAGGAAGGGGAAATCTGATTGTCAGTCTGACCATCGGGACAGCCAATGTGAGCCCTATATCCCCAGGACCGGTATCCACAGTTTTAGTTCTACGCCCCCTCCCCACAACCGAAAATACTGGAAGGGTTTGGTGGGCATTGAGTTTTGGAGTTGTACTTCACGTACCTCCAGAGAGCACTGTGGACTCAAACAATGATGGATCTGAACCAAACTTGGCACGGATACTCAATATGCCCAAATGTGAACAATGATGAGGATTGGGGAAAATAGAGCTGAACATTTCGGAATTGTAGTTGCTGGGATTTATAGTTCACCTACAATCAAAGAGCATTCTGAACTCAACCAACGTTAGAATTAGGCCAAATTTACCACACAAAACTCCCATGACCATGATGGTCTTTGGCAACGCCAATGAGACTTGGACTGGTTCTGAACTGGTCACATAATGCAGTTTGAACCGATCCCTTTCAATCAGCATTTTTAGCCATAAGAAAGCTTTTGGGCAGATTGCCAGAATGCAGGAAACAAACTTCTGTGTAAACTATTTCAGCAAGCTCATTTGCAAGAAGAAGAAGACCTGAAAATCCTGCTTCCCTATAATTTTGTTTCATAATTATAGGGAGTAGGGTTCAGGGGTTGTGTACACACTGCACTTTACCCATCCCTCCAATTAGGAATTCCTCCTTCTGTTTGAAAATCATATATGCCATTTGGGATTGGTCCACATCCTTGCTTGTGTGAATTGATAGTTAAAATGTGGTGATCTAATCTGCTGCTTCTTAAACTGTGGGTCCTGACCCCAAATGGGGTCCCCGTAGCTCAATGTTGGGGTCACGAAAAATAGGACACCATTAAAAGGTTTCTGAGTCCCACCGAGGCACTTACACAAATCTGTTAGTACATCGCACAGAGTTTACAATGGACTCTACAGAAAATGCTTCAGCTGTGCTTCATAAAAAGGAAAACTGATCACTTTAGCAAGCCTTTCAAATGATGTTTTATTATACATATTTCATATACTTATATACCTGGGTTCACAAAATAATTTCTCAAGCAGCAAGGGGTCATGAGTGGAAAATAATAATAATAATAATAATAATAATAATAATAATGTTTTAAGAAGCCTTGCACATCCATAAACTGCCATCCATTAAATTTAAATGGGGCTGCACTCAATGGCTCACTCTTTTAACTTTACAGCTGCACTACCAATGCCTACCATTGCTGCGATTGAAGGCTATGCATTGGGTGGCGGGTTGGAGCTGGCACTGGCTTGCGACCTTCGAGTGGCAGGTACGTTCACCATCATATCCTGTGCTCATGTTACAAGAATAACGAAGAGTTGAAATGAAGACTGTAGAGCTTATGAAATCATAATCTGAGGAAAACAGACAGCTGGAACGATTCTCCTGCAGTTATGGGCTTGATCCAGCCAAAGTTTAGCACTATTTTGATATTGCTTATGTTGTGGATTTTAAATTATATTGTTCTTGTTAATGTTGTGAGCCACTTTACATCTCAATCAAGAGAAAGAAGTAGAATATTGCTGTTGTTGTCATTGTTATTATTTGTGCCAATATAGAACCCTTGTTTGTTTGTTCCTTAAATCAGCATCATCAGCTAAAATGGGCCTCATTGAAACAACTAGAGGACTCTTTCCTGGTGCAGGTAATGCAAATTTATCTTATTTATTTATTTACTTTTTTTTCTACCCCACTCTTCTTACCCCAAAGGGGACTCAGAGCGGCTTACAAGTTTTGGCAAAAATTCAGTGCCACAGTTATACAATAAACACAATGCATCATTAAAATCAATAACACATAAATTACAATTAAAACCAATTAAAACATGTAACCAAATCATCAATCCTGAAACCGTCATTCTAATTATTTCTTATGTCGGGTCTGTGAGGGTCTATTGCACTTTAATTTCAACTCGCCAAAGGTCTGCTTCCACAACCAGGATTCTTTGAGAAAGACCAGGAAGGAGGAGTTCTATCTAATGTCACTGGGGAGGGAGTTCCATAGTCAAGGGACCACCACCGAGAAGGCCTTGTCTCTTGTCTCTACCAATCACATCTGAGAAGGGGATGGGACCTAGAGCAGGGCCTCCTCTGCAGATCTTAATGCTCAAACTGGCTCATAGAGGGAGATACGTTCAAACAGGTAAGATGGACTGGAGCTGTTTATATGGAAAAAATAGTAGCATGTGTGTTCGCTGCTCCCTCTGCTTTCCATCTATAAGGAAATGCTTAGGTTTAAGGGGCTGCTGTTAAGACAAGGTGGGTGATTGAGGGATTTTGGTTATTGTGTGGTTGGTATAGAATTCTGATCTCCACAATAGTGAATTATGATGGCATAAATTAGACTTACATGATTGCATTTCACCAACATGATATCAGCCACTGTTGTATCATTTTAAAAATGTGTAATTATTATTTTCTTTTTTAAAAAAAATATCCTGCACATCTTATACTGATGTTTCAATCCCAAAGTGGTTATAGTGGAATTTCCCAATGATTTCACTGTTGCACATTTTTGTTCCTGGGTTATAAATGTCATTTTCTAATTGGTTTTATCATACAAACATGGGAAAAATTTATTAAATTGCAAAAACTCTATTTTTGCGGGACACCCTGCAGCACATTTTGCTATAGTTTTTCAGTGAATATCTCATCGAGTCTCAACCAATTCAACATAGTTTGTGGCAGCCACAAAAACAAAGTTTCTGGAGTATAACAACTACTTTTAAAGTAAATACCGCACAATTAAACAGGAATAACACTTTCAAACCAAAATACTTTTAAAATTTTTTTGTTGCAGTGTTATTTTTAGGGGATCTTTAATCTGTTAGTTACATCATTCTAAGATGTGCCTGCTAAGAAGAAAATCCCAGTGATTTCAGGTGGCATGCAAGTAGGTGATAAGTTCAGGCTAAGTAAATTTTCACAGCCATTAGAGAAGCCTCACAACCTCTGAGGATGGCTACCATAGATGTGGGTGAAATGTCAGGAGAGAATGCTTCTGGAACATGGCCATACAGTCCGGAAAACCCACAACAACCCATTAGAGAAGCATTTGAAAAATACATTGAGAGCCCGATAGGAACTATAGGAATAGTTCCATGTATTGTATTCAAACATGTAAACCATAGCATGCAGTGAGTTTCTTATCAGGGCTGCCATAATAAGTATGGTTTTCTTTTCCTGTCTAGGTGGAACTCAGCGTCTGCCCCGCTGCATTGGAATAAGCCTGGCTAAAGAACTTATTTTCACTGGTCGGCAGATTGATGGGCAGGAGGCACTCTCCATAGGCCTCGTCAATCATTCAGTTCCACAGAATGATGAAGGGGACGCAGCTTACCAAAGAGCCCTGACTTTGGCCAAAGAGATTGTTCCTCGGGTCAGTGCATATTCTTCACTTTTATTTGAAACAAATATATTTCTGATGTTCTTGGTCTGTACATGTAGTAACTTACATTTTTCTCTCATTTTAAAGGCCCCAATAGCAGTAAGAATGGGTAAAGTGGCCATAAACAAAGGAATTGAGGTAATAATATGTTATGTATGTTTATTTTAAAATATTGTCACAAAGCAGGGACTACTCTATTGATCTTAACTGTTTAGGGAAGTCTTAGTCAAACCCCAACAGCATGCGTTTCTGTGGAAAGTAGATACTAGACAACTTGAAGCAAAGGTTGAAGAATATGTTGGTGCTGAAGTCTTTCACTCTCCTATTCTGCAATTCTATTTTTTCAAACAAGCGATCTACTTCCACCTACATTCCCATCTCACTCATTATAGAATTGAAGCTGACATTTAAAAATACCTTCAAGCAAAAACCAAACTACAGTATATTGTGTTGTATTCGATTCCTAGGAGAAAACTTTATTAAACTCTAGTAGTCAACAAAAGCCTTCAGGCACCTTAAAGACTGGCATCATGATGCCTTGGAACAGAAGCTTTCATGGGTTTCCCTGAATTCCCTCCCTCCGTAGCAGTTAGAGTAAGGCCCCATTGATGATAACAGGTGCCTTTAAGAAACCCAATTACTACACTAAACATATGTGACCCTATTTCCTCTTTCACAGGTGGATATTGCCTCCGGGATGGCTATTGAACGGATGTGCTATGCACGGGTAGGTTAACATTTTGAAAAAATATACATTTAGGTATAGTGCTTGAATATAAAGAATTGTAGCTGTGTAGTCATTTGCGAAGATCAGCAAGAACAGCCACATGCTTTTATAGGTAAACATAAAAGTTTATCCTGGCATTAAGTCTAACTGTGTCTGACTCTGGAGGGGTGATGCTCATCTCCATTTCTAAGCCGAAGAGCTGCCATTGTCCATAGACACCTCCTAGGTCATGTGGCCAGCATAACTGCATGGAGTGCTGTTACCTTCCCACAAAGGCGGTACCTGCTGATCTATTCATATTTGCATAATTTCAAACTGCTAGGTGGCAGAAGCCGGGCCTAACAGTGGGAGCTCACCCTGCTCCCCAGATTCGAACTGCCAGCCTTTCAGTCAGCAATTTCAGCAGCTCAACGGTTTAACCCGCTGCACTACCAGGGAGCCCACATGCTTTAATGGGCTGTACCATTTCTTTTCGACCTCAGAAATGTAGTGGAGTGCTTCCATTTCCTTCACTCCTTTGAACCTTTGAATAATACAGATAAAGAGATCAGTATCTTACCATCAGTGGAACTGTGTTCCACCAAATCTCCTTTGGAAAAGAGAAGGACAGGGAACCCCTTTGTACAGTATGTTAAACATATTGGAGAATCAAAACAAAAGTACTATTAACTATTGCTTGTTGTACTTTAATTCCAGAATATTCCTACCAAAGACCGTCAAGAAGGGATGGCTGCTTTCATAGAGAAGAGAGAACCCAAATTCATTGGAAAGTGATGCCGTCAAATATTTTCCATGTTAGAAGACCTCAAAGAAGGCCGTGCCTTAAGAAATACTTTTCTACGTAAAATTTTGTATTCAGGAAATTTAAAGTTTCATTTGTGTACAGCTTTGAAGTATAAAAACTAGGCAATAATAAAGATATAGAGGACTTTGGATATCTTATCTCAGTGTGAGATATCTGCCTGTTGTTGACCAAATGTCCTAGATAAAAAGATTAAACTAGTACTGTGTCTTTGCTTGCCTGAAAAAATTCTGTTTTGTATATATTGGACCAGAAATGAAGCAACAAGGAATATACCCTTGCTTTCTTTTATTTTCTTCCCCCTTCCTTCTTTCATCACTCCAGCTCAACCCCCGGTGGCACAGGGGGTTAAACCCCTGTGCCGGCAGGACTGGAGACCGACAGGTCACAGGTTCAAATCTGGGGAGAGCACGGGTGAGCACCCTCTGTCAGCGCCAGCTCCCCATGCGGGGACATGAGAGAAGCCTCCCACAAGGATAAAAACATCAAAACACCCTGACGTCCTTGCAGATGGCCAATTCTCTCACACCAGAAGCGACTTGCATTTTCTCAAGTCACTCCTGACATGAAAAAAAAACCCCATTTTTATAATAGAGGATGGTTTTGTTCATTCGGATTACCAAGGAGCAAGAGTTCAACTAGTTCTGGAGATAATAGCCCAAATGTTATGGAGTAGAAGATGACACAGGATCCCAGTGGGAAGGGAAAAATCTTAAATAGGCAGCTAGGGAGTACCTTCTTAGATAGCCCTACACTAATGCAGAGCAGTGGTTCCCAACCCCCCCCCCTTTTTTTTTTTACCAGGGACCACTTTGACCAGGAACCACCCTCCAATATTAGTACCAAAAGGATTATGAATCAGTTTTCGTCAACTTTAGATTTGGTTTGGTTATTTGGTGTGCCTATTCAGAAAATTGCATTGGATAGACCACACCAGCTCTAGTTTCTGATACAGAACATATGCCATCCAGTAGTTGCAATCTGCTCGCCCACAGAAAACTATATGCTTATTTTCGTGATTGGATCTCCCCTATGAACCAGCGTGGGCTCTAAGATCTGCTGGGGAGGCTGTCCTCTTGCTCCCACCACTGTCACAAGCATGATTGGTAGGGATGAGGGAGAGGGCCTTTTCAATGGTGACCCCAGACTTTGGAATGCCCTCCCGAGAGATTAGGCAAGCCCCTACACTGTCCTCCTTCCGTAGGGACCTGAAAACCTGGTTGTTTCAACAGGTTTACGAGAATGTTCAGTCTCTAGGCCCTTCCCTTTGCCGCTAGCTAGGACCCTGTTCTACACTTTATCCACTTCCCCGCCCTATGATACTCTGTTGTACTACCCCTTGGGCCTAGCCCTTTCATAGTTGGCCATGTCCATTCTGTAATTCTGGCCATTGGTATTTTGAACCTGTCCGTTGGATTTAAACTGGATTTTAATTTTTTGTGATTGTTTTAGTAGGACTTTATGTTTTATGATGTTTAATTTTGTTGTATGGTTTTCCTATCTGGCAAATGAATGTTTTGCCTTATATTAGAAACCGCCCTGAGTCCTCTTGGGGGAATATAAATAAAGTTTTCTATTATTATTGTTGTTGTTGTTATTGTTATATTTAATAATCTAGAGCTGACGTGCTAGTAATAATAGTTTGTGGGTAGTCAAGCTTCTCTCCTCCCGACATGCTTGTTGCCTCAACACTATGAGGATTTCGTGAGACTAATTGCTCTCATTGCCACATGGTTTCGAGTTTGTTCTTGTGGACCACTGGAGGCCCATGGACTGCAGGTTGGGAACTACAGATCTAGATAATTTAGGAACACACATACCATCTTTTTAGCTACTGAATCTATATGTCCAATATACTAGATTTTATACATAAACGTATGCTAAAATAGACTTATTAAGAATATTTTTCATAACACTCAGTTGTCCTGCTGCTTAGGTTTTTTAAGGCTTTTGATGAGCATTAGCAGTCTGAGATAATGATGTCAGTGTTGTGAAGTCAAGACTACCATCTTCCAGAGGATGGTGATGCCTAAATTTCTCTGACCACTGGCCATGCTGCCTGGGTCTTAAGTGAATCTTATGTGGGTTGTGGTCCAAAATTATTGAGAGAACTGGACTACGTACTCCTGGCAGAGTCCTTAATTTCAGAAATGTTCAGAAAAAAGTCAGACAATATACTAGAACTAGCAGCCCAAAATCTAAAACAATCAGTATTGTATTTTTGTAATTTAGTTTGGGGTTGATTACCACATATAAAATTAAACACTCATTGCTGATCCAGTAATCTACAAATAACTTTGCATAGTTGTGGATTAAATGAGTAGAACTTCTTTGGGATCTGAAACCAGAAAAGTTCCTACAAGATTTGGGAAAGTCAGACAAAAGCCGACTCTTGTATATGAACAATGCCAACAAAAACACACACATTACACAAGTGTATTGTTTGTATGGTTTATTTCAAACGATGTGGCATGTCTGCTGACCAACTGGTCAATTTATAAGAAGACAAATATGAAGGCTATGGTACCAACGGTCTGTGGCAAAGAAAGAAGCAAAATACCTGCTGAAGGTGGGCATTTCCCCTTTTAACAGTTAGTGAAGACCCAACTAGATAGCACAATCTATCTGCTTCAGGGCCAACTTTTATGAAGTGGTTTGCACAATTTAAACCATTTTGTGGGAAACTTCAGTCTTTTACAGTTGCCCATACTTTCTTCTCCACAAGTAACAAAATGTGGAGAAGGTACTTCTCATAACCAAAACTCCTCTAGAATAGCCATTTCCCTGGGGTGGGTCCAGGATGATTCTCACCCATCTCAATATAACACAATCTATAATTTGTCACCAATACCACTTCACCACTTTCACACTTCACCTACATTATCAATGAAAATTGACAACTAGAGTGAAGTAAGTCTCTTCTATAGCCTTAGTATTATATTGATAATGCTATGGTGATCTTTGTGAAGCCTCCACTCCACCCTTACTACCTGTTAGCGTGATAAAAATGCGCAGCTATTTGTAAGTGCCACCAATAGACATGCCTTTTAATTTTGATACAAAAACTGAAAAGAGCACCTTGAAGCACCTGACCTTATACAAAAATAGTTGATATATACACTCCCAAAACAATGCAATTATGCTAGACTTGGAGATATAATACACAACTGACTAGCAGCCAAAAATCTCCCTTCTTTGACCATGCACATTTAGAAGTGTTGCATGAGTAGTTCATGAAAACGTCTACCTGGCCTCCTAACAGCCTCCAATAGACTCATCCAACATATATTAACTGAAACTGGCATTCACTTGAAACTTTTGGAAGAGGAATTATATCTCATACCAGTTAGATTATGCCAATGTTTATTTTTGCTCAGCAGTTATAAACACTACTGTTTATTCAGCTGTTGATAGAACAAAGCTAATGATGGAAGAGGACCCCATTTTTGGGGATTACTTGCGGGAGAAGAAACAGTTTTAAAGCTTTGTGATGTCCTTGACCTTGAGACTGCCGCTATGAAACTGACTGTCTGCAAATGTCAGGCTTAAGTTTGTCCCGCAAAACTACTGAGTAGTTTTGTTTAGGACCTTATTTCCCCTGAAGCAATTTGTAAACTTCCAGGTGTGTGCAGCATACAAGCATCTTCAGATCTTACAAGAAAGGCCATCTGGGTCAGAAATCGCCAGCACACCTTGTGAACACTACAGGATAAAGGTTCAGTTGTGCCCTCTGTTATCCATTTGCTTTGGTGTGCAGCTCCTTTCGGTGTTTAGATTTTCCATAATATTTCATGTGAGTGTTCACATAAGATAGTATCTCAGTTGTTAGAAACCGGACATCTGGATCACTTTGATCATTTTCTTTGATGTTATATAAATGCTGTAGTCCATTCTCTTCTATTAACATGGCACAGTACCTGGCAGCTGAAGAGAAATAAAAGAGTTTGTTCACTAGAGGATCCAACTTGAATTACAGTGTTTAGAAAACCGGTATCTTCCCCTAACCACACTGAAGCAATCTTCTCAAGTGAAGCTATTAACCTATTAGTTAAAGCAACAGCAAGACGGAATGTGGTGTTTTTGCTGAAAAAATATTGAATTTTGAGTTTTTATAACTGTAGCTTTCATCGAAGAACTGGAGATTAGCTGCCTTCTAAAAGGATATTTCCTGTAGCAAGATATGCTTGACATCCAGCTTAACAGGAAACCATAATATTACAGTTCATTGTTACTGTCTGTTTTCAAGTCATTTGTGGCTTAGCAAACTATGGCTAGTGCCAAACTCAAATCCTGATTTGCAAACCTGTTTTGAATTGGTATTTTAGAAATTCTGTATAGGCAGTAGGGTGATAATCACAGTTTGCAAGCTAAGATCTTACAGAAAACTACATTTAAGTGTAGTTGTGGCCAACTCTGGGAAGTGGTGCTCATCTCCATTTCTAAGCCAAAGAGCCGCTGTTGTCCGCAGACACCTCCAAGGTCATGTGGCCACTAACAGAACCGCACAATGTACAAAGGATAAACATGAAAATTAAATGCTTGCAACTGGGAGGAATGGGAACTTTCACACCAATTAATCTTCTGTCTGAATCATATAGCATGTATTTTCACCTTCTATTGAGATAAACTTAGGCATAAACATCAAAATTAAATGTTTATTAAAAACCAAGTACGTACGGGTTTTGCAACAGATGTGCAGGATGGCCCATGCTGCCCATATCTGTACACCAGGTAAAGCAAAGCAGTCTAGCAATGGGTAGAAAGCTCTGAGGGATCTATGAATTGAAGGAGAGATACGACATGTTTATCAATTATTTCAAAGTAAACATATAGTCAGAGCAAACTGATTTGTTGAGATCCCAACTGACATTACAATAGTAAAGGTAAAGCTTTCCCCTGACATTAAGTCTAGTCATGTCTGACTGAGGGGGTGGGGGTGCTCATCTCCATTTCTAAGCCAAAGAGCCATTTTCTGTAGACGCCTCCAAGGTCGTGTGGCCAGCATGACTGCATGGAGTGCCATTACCTTCCCACAGAAGCGCTACCTATTAATCTACTCACATTTGCATGTTTTTGAACTACTAGGTTGGAAGAAGCTGGGGCTAATAGAACGATCTCACCCCACTCCCCAGAATCGAACCACTGACCTTTCGGTCAGCAAGTTCAGCAGCTCAGCAGTTTAACCCACTACGCCACCGGGGGCCTGACATTATAATAGTGGGTAAGAAGTCTGATAAATTTGTTTTAAAATTATCAAAGAATGTGGAAAACACCGAGAGGTTCAATTGGATGGAATTTGCAGTACAGTACAAGAGATCATATGAGACTAAGAGTATCTTTTTTAATTACAAAAGACTGACTTGTTTATAAAATCAGTGGCTCTCTTTTCATTACAATATAAGAAAAGAAGGCCGTGGATCACATGCTCTCGGCTACTTCAGGCACAAATCCCGCCTTTCAGACCCTTTTTGCTCTAGTTAATCATTGCTTTCAAAGATAGCAAGCATTAGTTTTAATTTGTTTCATTCACCCCATCAATGTTTGTAAGCCCACTTCAAAATCCAGAGGGAAACACTCATTTGGGGAAATGGTGGAAGGAAAATTCATTGAAAGAATTAGCACACATGAATGCAGAAATTGATCATGGTACCTTGACCATGGCAAAGGATCCCCAATACAATCTCTGCACTTATCTTTACAACCAAAACTAAGCAAAAATGCTGATTTTGAGACAACAGAATTAGTATTCTTTGATAAAAGTCTTGTTTAAGAAGTTTGAGTTATTTGTTTCAATCAGAACATAACTTCATTAGAAATCAGCATGAATTGCTTTACACATCTGCATCTTTTTCTTTCCCAGCAACACTTTCTGTAAGGTCTCTCCATTGACAGAATAAAGTATGCAGCTATTGTTCGGTATATAGTTTAACCAATGTTATACCTATAAGCTGGAAGCGCTACCATCTTGCATTCTGGAGTTGGCCACTTCAAGAGGACTGAATGCTGCAAACAAGGAAAGCCAGTGTCAATTTTGAAGGAGCTCTTAAAACTACTCAGAGGAAGTTTGCAACCAAGTTCAGCGTACCAGTTTTTCAATAAGGGATCTTCTCAATGTCTGACTCAATGTCCAGGCTTGTTCACCTCTTGACAGCAAATTGGCAATAATCCCAGCTGAGAAGTAACCAACTTCCATCTCAGCACTGCTCAGCAATCCATTGACATGATCTATGAAGTCCTTCTGCATTAACCTGGGATGTAGCTCTCTCACTTCTGCTACGTTATTCTGATATGACAGAAAACAAAATACAACTGTGAAGAAAGACGGCAGAAAGTCAATGCTTCATTGACTATTATAATGTTTTAGCACAGTGACTTTCATGCTATCTGGTACAGAGAGCTGCCATTTAAAGCTCCCTACCTCAACAAACACACATACAACATGCACATGCCGTATTTTTACCCATTGACAAAAACTGCTTGCTTTTATTTTGGGCACTCATCAGGGCCTGACAGCCGACTTGTTTGTGGGCCAGCAGCATTTCATGAACTACCCCTTTGAGTTGCATCATTCTAAAGCAGGGGTCCTCAAACTAAGGCCCGGGGACCGGATACGGCCCTCCAAGGTCATTTACCCGGCCCTTGCTCAGAGTCAACCTAAGTCTGAAACTACTTGAAAGCACACAACAACAATCTTATCTCATCAGCCCAAAGCAGGTCCACATGTCCCATTGAAATACTAATAAGTTTATATTTGTTAAAATTGTTCTTCACTTTGATTATTGTATTGTTTTTAAGTGTTTTTGCACTACAAATAAGATATGTGCAGTGTGCATGGAAATTCATTCAAGTTTTTTTTCAGATTATAATCCAGCCCTCCAACAGTTTGAGGGACTGTGACCTGGCCCTCTGTTTAAAAAGTTTGAGGACCCCTGTTCTAAAGGATGATGGGCCAATACATTATCTGTTATTGTTTTGACAAATGCCATACACAGGCAGTCTGACTCTTAGATACGAATGGGGATGAGACAACAGGAAGTGCGAGGATATCTACCACAAGGAAATGAATTCACTTCTGTGATATTATCGTGGGACAAAGGTGTCTCCACTGAAGCTTTCTCACAAATCCTTGTTTCTAGAACAAGCCAATTTTTTCAAAATCCTTCTGTCACAGGGACAGACAGAAAGAAAGGTGCAATCTTCTGAAGAGGGGCTCAGACAGCAAAAAAAAAAAAATCACAGGGATGTTAAACCTTATAAACGGTTCTGACCCAGCTTACTTGTCCGAACGTATCTCTCCCTATGAACTATCTAAGAGTTTAAGATTGTCTGGGGAGGCCCTGCTCTTGGTCCTGCCTTTTTCACAGGTGCAACTGTTGGGGACGAAAGACAGGGCCTCCTCAGTGGTGGGACCTGGGTTGTGGAACATCCTCCCCAGGGATATTAGATCAGCCCCCTGCCTCTTGACAGTCCAGAAAAAAGTGAAAATGTGGCTATTTGAACAAGCCTTCAAAATCTTATGCAACAGTCAAACATGAAATTAGATGAAAGTGAACATTGGAACAGCTCAGACAACGATTTTTGGACAATGAAATTAACAATGAAGGCATTCGTTTGGTATGTTTTTAAAGGTTTAACTGAATGTATTTTTAATTCTGTTTAAATGTTGTTTCAATTGTATATTGTTAGGTATCGAATTGCTGCCTCGTTGTAAGCTACTTTGAGTCACCTTTGGGTTTGAGAAAGGCAGGATAGAATTATTGTAAATAAAAAAAATCTATCAAAAACTTTTTAAAAATGGCTAGAGTTACACTTAAAATTGTTCCTGTTCTAGTTCACATATGAATCAAAGAATCTAGACCCCATCTTGTCCATAAGCTGGGGACTGCTTGTATTTCAAACCAGTGAAGAATTCAAGGCACATATTTCCAATCAACGGTTGGAAAATTTTTCCTTTAAAAAAACTCACTTAGGCTGGCTAGGTTTTGTTTTTTATTTTATTTTGTGCTGCCATTTATTTCCCCCACTTTTCGACAGAAAGCAAGAGGCATTATTTTATTCACAAAAGTAGCAGATGTACACAGACAGGAATTAGTCAGTCTTTGAAGCTGCAAGGCCATTACATGCTAATCAAGGTGGCCAATTGCAACATTCACACTTGCCTCAAGCAGTCAAGAGTGCTTTCTCCCACCCTGGACATTATTCCACAGATATATAAACCTCACTTGCCTAGTTTCCAACAGACCTCACAACCTCTGAGGACGCCTACCATAGATGTGGGCAGAACATCAGAAGAGAATGCTTCTACAACATGGCCATACAACCTGCAAAACTCACAGCAACCCAGAACAGACACTTTTTAGAAACTCACACAATAATCCCAACACATTACATTAAATTCTAAACTTACCAGAAGGCCAAGGACTTTGTGCTGTATACAAGAATCAGAAGAAAATGTCTGTGAAGAGAAATGAAAAGAATAAGAATTAAGAGTAAGTATAATTCAATTTACCAACAGGTTAGAAGGACCTAAGCCTACCTCTAAAACTCTCATGAAAAGTTCTAATCCTTTGTTATCAATGAAGTGACGGCAGGTCGTTGGAGATTCATCTGTGAGATTCCAAAGGGCACTCAGCGTAAAATGGAAAGTTGTATCCAATTCAATCTGATTGGTTTTCTGTTCAATTATTTCAAGAAGTTTCTACGAGGAAGGAGGAAAACATAGTCTATTTAAATAATGGCATTCTCACTCCTTAAACATGTTGCAGTACTCTTACATATGGAACGGGCCTATAACTCACCCCAACTACAATGTAGAACTCTGACGTAAGTTGTGCTGCTTGTTCATCAGAAAGCTGAAAACAAAGCAGGCACTTTAAAGTAATCCATGAAAAAGCTGTTCAAAATAAAACCAAACCTGTTCAAATAAAAAAAATCACATACCTTAAGTGCCAGGATAGAGATAATATTAACTGCAATCCTTTGTATATGTTGATTTTCTTGATTACACAACCACTGAACAACAAATTTGGCAGCTGCAAAGCTACAATTTGAAAAAAAAAGTCAGAATAAATATTGTATGATACTGTGAAGGGCAAAGGATACCATATTTCACCACATAACAGTCGCACACCCCCCTTTTGGTCCCAAAATTGCTTTCCTCCCCCTTTCCTAATGTAACAGTCACATTTTTTTAAAAAAAAAACCAGAAACAGAGCCAGCTGGGGGTTTCCCTCGTCTCTCAGAAACCAACAAAGCCAAAGCACATGTTTTCTTCTTCATATAATGGTTGCATCACACTTTTTTTTTTTTGCAAAAAATGATATAAAATTGCAACTGTTATATGGTGAAATACAGTAGTCACTATTTTCACCATCACTGTTTTTAAAGTAACTCAGTACAATCGAGAGAGTATGTTCCTACTTATAGCCCCAAACTAATTATTCTGCCTACAGATATGTAGGAAGATAACAAAGTTGACCATCTCAAGAGCAGTTTAAATATTAAAGTCTTCTGCTATACCTCTCATAGGAAGAAGGTTAAGACTTGTATTTCATGATGGATTTACACATTGTATTTTTACATTTAAGAGGTAGATAAACATAGGACTATGCTACTAGTGGATTCTTATCAGATTAAGTAACTGAACTTACATGGTACTGATTTAAGTGTCACTTGCCTGTTAAATGGAACATCTTGCAAAATCCTGACATTGGATAATGAAAGAAGACAGTTTTTCTGAATCTGGAGAGAGATGGAGAGATAATGCATTAAACATCACAAAAACAATCCTATTTTAGGTATAATTATTTCAAGGGCAAAGATCTCAGGAATACATGCTTTCTATTATGTAGGGAAGTGTCCGGCTTTGTAAGTAAGAGTGACAGCCAGTATATGAAATGACTCATCCAACGTGCATTCCTTAAGCAGCATATTTAAACTATTGTCAAGATAAACTATTTGACAATAAACTCTGTATTGGGGGGAGGGGTGAGCATGCTCCAGAGAGGATTCACTAGCCACTACTTATGGACCAGAAATTTGCAAAGAAAAAAAATCCTAGAGATAATATTTATGACAGTTTATATCATTCTGTGAATGTGAAGAAATCTTACTTTAGTTGTTCAGACAATAATTAAAAGTGTCACTGCTCTATTAAAGATCAAGAAGTGAAACTGTATCAGATCTGTTTTACATATAATTAGGGTTACTGCAAGTAATATACTATTCAAGTTGAAGACTGAAATACTTCAAATATAGGCTGAGTCTCCCTTTCTGGAAATCCAAAATTTTCCAAAAACCTAAACATTTGGTTGCCAGACACCCACTTTTACTTTTTTTTGGGGGGGGGGGGGCAGGGGGAAGGGGCTAGACACATCCACTGCTTAGAGAAGAGACAGAAGGGGTGAAGAGTCTGCTAAGACAAGATCCCTGTAAGAAGGAAACCTCATGGACACATCCGCACCTGCCTTCTGCTCAGCCAGTGGCAGTGTGTGGCAGGGCAGATGTCCTGGAAATGGGTTGTAATGGTGTACATGGGTCATCCCATTTACAGGCATCAACCCAGCCCCGAGAAAATGAAATGACTGTGTAATGTGTTTGGTGACTTAAAGACATCACCCATTTATTTAGATCTTTGGAAATGGATGATAGTGTGTTTTCCTCTTAGAGTAAAAAGCTACTTTTTGAACTATAGGCTTTGTTGTTCTTGGACTGTGACCTTGACTACTGTATTTCGGTTCTGGGCTTGAATTTTGACTGCTGCTTTTGGACTACTGGCTTTGTAGAATTTGTGCTGAAATTGTGGCTTGCGTTTGTTCCTGATGGAACTCTGAAACTCACACTGAATGTTTTGTGTGTGTGTGTGTCCCCTAATACAGCTAGCCTCAACATTTTGAGCTTTTTCTGTTAATATACTGGGGGGGGGGCTTGAGGGGCTTCATCCCCCCCCCCCCCCCCCCGAATCGAAATCCTGGCTATGGGCCTGTATACTGGGACTTGGTTTTGATCTTCTGTTGCTTGTAAAACCTATGCTTGGATAACTGGGACTTGTCAAAACATAACATAAGCCAGCAAAAATGTGTTAAGAGGGAGAATCTGTATAAACTTAATTTACAATGTTCCAAAATTTTGTTTGCTCAGCAAACATTCAGCACTGCTCCAACTGTAAGATCCTTTTATTAGAATGACTGAGTAACTATGACTCACCTGCTGCTGTTCAGGAAATGTTTCCATAGCTTTTAGCAACAACTGGATTACATTGGAGAGCAGACGAACCGGCATGTCTGCTGCTAAGCCTTGTCTAGTTAAGTTGAGGGCACAGGCACTCGCAGTCAACTGTACTGCCAAGTCCAAAGGGTGGTTTCTCATTCCAATAATCACAAGCTGCAATAAGAAAAGCAAGGAAGACAGACTCAGACACAGCACACATAGACAACTAAAATAAAAATAAAAATAAGACCAGGCATATGGGAATAAGCAGTTGTCTGCAGGTTTTATAGATACAAATAGAAACCAATAGAGTTAAACAGAAAGAAAATGTCACATTAGAAAAATAAAAATAATAAATATCAAAATTGGTCACAATTAAGGTGTGACTACACCTTTCAAGTAGGAGCCTCTGGTGGCGCAGTGGGTTAAACTGCTGAGTTTCTGAACTTGCTTACTGAAAGGTCAGCGGTTCGAATCCAGGGAGCAGGGTGAACTCCCACTGTTAGGCCCAGTTTCTGCCAATCTAGCAGTTCAAAAACATGGAAATATGAGTACATCAATAGGTACCGCTTCTACGGGACTCAATGCAGTCATGATGGCCACATGACCTTGGAGGCGTCTATGGAAAACGCCGGCTCTTTGGTTTAGAAATGAGCACCACCCCCCAGAGTTGGACACGACTAGACTTAATGTCGGGGGAACGTTTTACCTTTACTTACTCCTTTCAAGTTATAATACCTCTTACCTTTAGAATTTCAGGTTTTGTAATTCTCAGAAAACATGTCTGAGTAAAAAGATGAAAGAAAGCCTCCTTCACAAAACATGCTCTTTCGCTGTAGCGTTTCAAGGCTTCTGAAATCTGCATTTCATTTTCTCCTCCCGATACCTTTTCACATACAAAGAATTCATATTTTTTTAGCTTTCAAAGGTCAGAATATCTATTCCATGTCTGATACATCTAGTTTAAAATGTGATCCTGATATTCTTACGGCAACATTACCTAGCCATCCTAGGACATAGAAATAACTCCCAAATACATTCAGTGTTTCTCATTATTTAGCTTGCATCCTGTTGGGAAGACAGAACTGGAATATCCCCATACCTTTAGAAGCAACCAGATGACATACTATACTGAATAAGCCAAAGGGCAGTCATATTATCACTCCTTCATACCTCTGATAGTCTTAAAAATATTAGGCTATGTCAAGTCATAAGTATATCCGATTAAGGACATATGCTTAGCCAGAGGCTTCGGACAAAACTGAACATTTTTGTAATCACTCCAAAGCTTTTTGCAATTCTTCCCCACTTGTTTTACTTCCTTAATTACTGCATCACTGCAGTACACACAGACAAGAAGCTCTTTTCTCCTTTGTGCAGACTTTCCTGCCCAGCACTGCTGTGGAAGCAGTGGTATATTTGGTTGCTACACACAATGCAGCAGCATATTTGAAAGGGCAACTAAGAAAAAAAACACAATTTCCTGCTTTGCAGCAGGTTTGGCTTGTTTCATGGCATGCGACTGCATTATAAGCAAGCCAACAAACTGAAAACAGATCACCAACTGAAAAGTCCACCCACTGTAACAGTAGAATATTTTTAAAATTCAAACCTTCAAGGCTCCCTCTCCTGAAAGGAACTCTGTGTATCCAGCTTCAGTTCCTAGCAATCCCACAAAACGCATTCTTGGATGTTGTCTGACAAATGCTTCCACAGCCTCATCTGTAATGTTCCTACTTCCAGAAATATCGAGAGACACAAGATTGGGAAGAATGTCTTTTTGCTCTAGCAAACGACAGGGAATGGTTGATGTGGAATGCTGTTCAACTGAGATATCAAGATGGATCAGATGTTCCAGTTCTCTTATTACAGCTAAGAACGCTGGGGCAGACATTTTCAAGCATTTCAGACTATGCATAGTTAGAGACTTCAGTTGATTCTTGCAAGCAAGGAGGGCAGTTATATTTGTAACAGAAGTGTTGGATATGTCCAAGCTTTCTAATTTTGGCAGAGAAGCAACCTCAGCTAGATCTTCATTGTGGAAAAGGACATTTGTAATGCTCAGAGAGCGAAGACCAGATAACTGACTAAAACACCTTTCATACGGATTTGTAGAGGAAAGAGTTAATGAGTCTAAAACAAGGCACTGAAGGTTGTTCTGGATCCAAGTACTGCTGCCCAGTCCATGCACCACATCCGTAATAGTAACAGCAGCATTCATTCCTGCAGCATCAAGTTCAACTAGTTTATGATGACAGAAGGCCTTCTTAAAGGACTGGGCTGAGATTTTTGCTTTGCGGATACAAGCCTGCTTCAAACGCATTTGGTTTCCCCGGAAGATGCCCACTGTGCCATCATTAAGCAGCTCTATTAAGAAAGGAAAATACAAACAAAATTAATGAAATCAGGTCAATTGATTCCCACAGTATTGTTTCCAAAGCAGTGCAAAGATATTTGATATAAAAGTACAGTGGGTCCTCAGCATTTGTGGGGGATTGGATCAAGGACATCCCTCCCCCTTCGGTAAATCTTTATTAAAAATAGTGTAGGACACACATATGCTAGAAACTTACACATATGAAAGAAATTATTAGCCAAGACTTCATAACACAGAAATATGGCATAAATAGAACAATATGTGCTTTTTAGTGACCCCATGTTCAGAACAATGGTGCCAAATGTTCTGCTACTTCTGGCACAGAAATAATGCTCACCTCGATATGCCATTATCTGTAGCAATCGATCAGCCACTTCTTGAGGAAGCCGTTCAGATTCTTTGAGGCACAATGACCCATCTGGCCTTTCTACACAGAATTTTTCCAAATCTGCAACTAAGGCATTCAAGCAGATGTCAACGAGAGAATATGGCGATGCTTCAGCCTAAACAAAACAGCAGTCATTAGTAAGACGGTGTTTGGAACACTTTACAAGTTACTAAGCCACATTACAAAAAATACTACTCACAAAAAACCTAAGTGCTTACATTTAATACCCATCATTAAATTAGGATTATGCACACACACACATATAATGAGTGTCCCTAAGTGATAATTTTGCTACATTATAAAATCTTCCCATTGAATATGCCTTTGGTCCTCCAGGTGTTTTGGACTTCAACTCTGAGAAATCCCAGCCATCTTACAGGTGTTTGGAATTGTGAGAGCTGAAGTCCAAAACACCTGGAGGTGTCCAGAACACCACTGCGGTTTGACTGCTATGACTGAGTGCTATGCAGCCATGGAACTTGTAGTTTTACATGGTCTTTAGACTCCTCTGCCAAAGAGAGTTGTTGCTTCACCAAAATACAACTCCCACGACATCATAGCCTTGGACCAAGGCAGTTCAAGCGGTGCCAACCCGCATTAATTCTACGCAGAGCACAGTGTGGGGAAAGGGGGGGGGGGCTTTCCTCGACAGGGGACCCTTTCCCCCCTCAAAACACGAGAGGCCCGTGCCTCTGGGGCTGGGTTCTTCCGCCCCAGAAGTGCTCCTCCCAGGGACCGTCCTCTTAGCCCTCCCGCCCGAGCCCCGTCCCTCTTCCCGCTGCCCTCCTCTCTCTCCCGGCCCCGGCCCATCCACCTGCACGGCGGGGCAGTCTCCGCAGAGGGTCAGCGGCGCTCGCTGCCGGTTCTGGATATGCAGGAAGCGCACCATGGCCGAGGACCGGCCTCCAGCTCAGCCTGAGCGGAAAGGGAGCAGGCATAACCGGAAGCGGGGCGGCACGGGCTGAGGAAGAAACAGCGTTGCTTGGTCGCCGCCGCTGAAGAGGAAGTGGATAGAACGCATGCGCAGAGGAGTGGGGAAGGTGGGACTGAAAGGAAGGAAGAGCCGTCAGTAGCGCGCGAGGGAGAGAAGAGGAAGAGAAATCGATGGCCGAGTAATGGATGGCTGAGACTTTCATCAGCCAACGTTGGCCACCCTCTTTAATCCTCTTCTAAAACCCTCCAATTCAACGTCTTTGATAACTAGACTATAGATAGATAGATYGATGGATGGATGGATGGATGAATAGATGGATAGTCTAGTTCAGACATAGGCAAACTTGGGCCCTCCAAGGGTTTTAGACTTCAACTTCCACAATTCCTAACAGATTGGCTGTTAGGAATTGTGGGAATTGAAGTCCAAAACACCTGGATGGCACAAATTTGTCTATGTCTGGTCTAGTGTGTGTGTGTGTGTGTCTTTATATATATATATATATATATATATATATATATATATATATATATATAGTCATATAAGGAGCCCCGGGTGGTGCAGTGGGTTAAAGCACTGAGCTGCTGAGCTTGTTGACCAAAAGGTCGCATGGTTCGAATCCGGGGAGCGGTGTGAGCTTCTGCTGTCAGCAGTTTGAAAACATGCAAATATGAGTAGATCAGTAGGTACCGCTCCAGCGGGAAAGTAACGTCGCTCCATGTAGTCATGCCAGCCACATGACCTTGGAGGTGTCTACGGGCAATGCCGGCTCTTTGGCTTAGAAATGGAGATGAACACCAACCCCCAGAGTCAGACACAACTGGACTTAAAGTCAGGGGAAAATATTTTACCTAGTTATATATAAAAAAGCTAGTATACTTCTGTTTGTAGTTTTATTGCAATATATGTAACTATATATGTGTGTGTTTTAGGATTTTATTTATTTATTTACAGCGCTTATATTCCACCCTTCTCACCCTGAAAAGGGGACTCAGGGCAGATCACAGGACACATACATGGCAAACATTCAGTGCTGTTAAACAGGACAGACAACAGAGATATTGACAGATAGAAGTAAGCCAATTGACTTACGCACTTTATCCACCAGCCCTATCCTTACAATTAATTTGCACCAGTCTGCCCACCCGTGCCTAGTTAACATCATTATTGCAGGTTCATAGTTGGTTGATGTTTGCTTTTATATTTTGCTATAATGCTGGTTTTATTCTGTTTTATGCTGTTGTTTATGTGTTGATGAGTTTAACTATGTTGATTGGGCTTGTCCTCATGTAAGCTGCACCGAGTCCTGGAGGTTGTGCTCAATTCCGGCCATGAGGGGTGCTGTCACTCCATCCTCTATGATGAAGAGCCCTTGGTCACAAACTTCCTCCTATCTTTGATTGCCAGCATTTTCTGGTATTTCCTTTTTATGGTGCCGTAAAATACCTCCCCACTTAAGCGGTGCCTATTTTGTCTACTAACAGCTGTTTTCGAACTGCTTAGGTGGACAGTGAGCTGGGCTGAAAGTTGGATGCTCACCCCAACCCGGGCTTCAAACTGCCAACCTTTCTATTGGTGTGATCTATTGCTGCTAGTGATTAACCAGCTGTGCAAAATCCTGACCCATTATATTGCAATAAAACTACAAACATAGGAAAAAGAAAGAATATATATATATATACATACATGTGTTTGTTTTAAAATTAGAACTATTGGTAAAGAAGATATGGCAGTGAGAAGGTTGACTTTGGGTATCATGAAAGGGCAGCAAATGTGTTAAACATATTATTAAGAAAACAAATAAGTTCTAAGAAACACAGAGAAGTGTTTATGGAAAATCTTGCTTCTTTTCCTAAGATAACATGCCTGGCTTTACACTTTCTGTACATTCTGACTTGCAAAGGGCTTGCAGGAAACTGATTTGATATTTGGCTTAGGCAACAAGCTCAGAGGCAACCTGAATGCTAATCATAAGGCTGCTTCCTTTGAAAATAATCATGAAACCCTGCACAAATTGAACACACAGAGAAATGTGTAATGAAATGAGTTTTGTTATTTGGCTCATAGTGGCCACAGTTATTTGTATATCTTATGATAAACTGTGGATGAAATAAGTAATATTCACTGTTTGCTTAATTTCCATATCAATTGCTAATGCTCATTTAAATAACAAAACAACAAACCCAACTTTTTCATTATATATTGCCACACTATTTTACTTTCATGGCCAACATGTATTTTACTACTGCAGAAACCTGATTAGAACACTCTTAACTACTTTATTTCTTCAATTCCAAGGCCTCTTCGACACTGCTATATAAAAATCCAGATTATCTGCTTTGAACTGGATTATAGGACCGTGTAGACTCATATAATCCACTTCAAATCAGATAATGTGGATTATCTGCTTTGATAATCCACATTAGAAAGGGTCTAAGACACAGTTTTTCCTAAACATCTTTAAAATATGATGTGTCTTAGAATCACAGGGGTGTCTTATTTAATTGTGTTTTTGTTGCCATTGAAATTAGGGAGCATCTTATAATCAATGTCATTAACAATTGAAGAAATGCAATAGTCATATTTAAACATTCCTATACTACTCACAGAATTATGAAGCTAACTATAGAAGAAGTGTTGCAATCATGCAGCCTTCCAGAGGTTGTTGGGAATGCAACTTCCAGCATTTCTCTTCATTGACTAGGGCAGTGGTTCTCAACCTAGGGTCCCCAGATGTTTTTGGCCTACAACTCCCAGAAATCCCAGCCAGTTTACTAGCTGTTAGGATTTCTGGGAGTTGAAGGCCAAAAACATCTGGGGACCCCAGGTTGAGAACCACTGGACTAGGGGCTGCTAAGAGTTGCAGCCTGGCAACATGCTATGAAACATCTCTTTGGAAATAAGAACATTGCTCATGGCATTGTGTGCATCACATCAGCTCTGTTTTATATGAGGCCTTGTGCATAATCGTTATTTCACCATGTCACAGAAAAAATTCACAAGTACACATCAAAGGAAGTTTTTAATCATGGGAAGTTTTATGAAAAACTGGAATACTCCGCACAATGATGTAATTTACACCTGACTTAACAAAGGATGTTGGATGAGATTTTGTATGGTGCTGCCTTGCACATAAAGTTCACTGCACAAATACCAACAAAGTATTTACGAGAAAGAGCAAAGCAATTAATAGTCTGTCATAAATAAGGTGATCAGATATTCTTGTTCTCGTACCTTCCCATAATCTTAGCATCTTCTTTCCACCTTTGCAATCCTTGTAGTGGATAGTTTTCCTACTTGTTTGTTAAATGTATACTTAGTGTAATGACATGGTTTGTTCTTTTTCTTCTCCTTTTCAAAAAATTGCAAGTCCATATCTCCTATGCCTTTGGTTCTCTGGAACAGAAGTCAGGTTTGTTCCTACCAACAGCTTCTCATCATTAGACATCAGGGAATTTAAACTGTTGATCCAGAACTCAGGTACTTCTTGAGGCAGTAAGTGGAACATAGATGAATCTCGTGTCCCCATATGGATTTCTGAAAAGTTCCCAGAGAATCTGTAGATCCCTGGTCACCTTACTCATAACTTGTTCTGTTTTAATATGTGAATACATGACATTTCGGGCTCAAAAGTGCTGACATGACAGGCACAAACAGTTCTACTCAAATACTGAGTTGGTGAACAGATGTACTTAAACACAACTATTCTGAAGGGATGAAGCAAGCAAGAAAAGATTTTCTGTACTTGAACTCACAAATTCCTAGAAGTTTCATTTTGGATGTGCATTTGAATTATACAATCTCCATGTTTTCCCCACAGCAAGAGGTGATCCAATAGACATGACTAGTTTAGGAATTTATCCTAGATCCTCATGAAAACCCTTGACACAGAGACCATTAAATGCAACATTTGCCAGCCATGAGTTGTACTTACTTTCTTCACAACAGCTGGCAAAAAAGATTTAATGGTGATCACTGTAACTGGATGTGTTCCAATTAGAGACGCTTCATAAGGGATTATTAAAGGATAATTGAGACACCTATTCCCTGTTATATACTTTTCTTTCACTTTCAACTGGCTAAGCTTCTGCCTGCATTTTAACAAGGAGGAGGAGGGGGTCGCCCATGCCTCAAAATATGTTTTTCTAAACTATCTAGGATTGAGATAGCAATTCGTTGAACATCTGGATCAGTCTGGCTGTTTTGTTTGATGTTGAATAAGTGATGCAATCCACCTTCTTCAATCAGCATGCTGCAGTACCTGGTGGCTGAAGCAAGAGAGAGAGAGGGAAATTAAATGAAGCAGACTCCTTTGTGTATAGTTTCCTACTTCTGTTACATTTTACACAATGTTTACAATTCAGAATTTGAATTGAAAACACAGTAGTATTTTGAAAATGCAAGTCCCCCTCATCTCTTGCCCGCTGTTCTTTAATTGAAATATAGGTGCAATTAACTGGATTCTCACTTGCCATCTGCAGACCTAAATGTCTGTCTTAGGGCCCTTCCACACAGCCCTATATTCCAGAATATTAAGGCAGAAAATCCCACAATATCTGCTTTGACCTGAGGGCCCTTCCACACAACCCTATATCCCAGAATATCAAGGCAGAAAATCCCACAATATCTGCTTTTAACTGGGTTATCTGACTCCACACTCAGATAATGTTCCAGTGTGCCTTCCCTGAATAAAAGAAACAATGCCCTGCTCTGATTAATTCCCTGCAAAATGTCCTGAGAAGCACTTTTAAGTACCCGTTGGGTTGCTCTCCCTTCACTATTCTTTAAAAAAAAACCCTGCTTAGATACATCCTACCTCTGTTCACACCCAATGTTAATTTTAAAATTTTAATGTATTGCATCTGGTCCGGCCATAGGTTTTAAAATTTTTGTGTGTTATTGCCTATATGTGAGTTATATTAACTGTATTGTTTATTTGCTTACTGCTTTGTTGTTTTATTGATGTGTTGTTGGGCTTGGCCTCATGTAAGCCACCCCGAGTCCCCTTGGGGAGATGGTGGTGGGGTATAAATAAAGATTATTATTATTATTATTATTATTTTCTGCCTTGTTATTTTGGGATATAGGGCTGTGTGGAAGGGCCCTTAGGAAAATAGTGGGAACTATCTCACAGATTCAGAAGATAGAATTAGGACTCAACACCTACTGTATAAGGACCTGAAAGACAAGGAAGTTTACACTGTGGCTATATCTTGATAGTATTTGGGACTGGGGATGCTCCCAGAGAAGCCATTCCTGGCACCACTAAAAGGCACAGTATAATTATTAGATCCCCCCCCCCGCCCACCTTTTAATAAGTTATCCTGTGTCAAGAAAAAGACAAGCACTAGTAGAAAGATATAGGAAGACAGGAAATAGGAAATAACCTTGGCCAGGCATCTGTAAAATTCCACATTTAAGGTAAGGCGGTGACACAATAAAAAGCCTATTTGCAAGCATTCTGAGATACCAAATGTGTATTCTGCAGCCCACACCAATTCCTTCCTCCATACCACATGGATTCCTTTCACTCTCAATCTTCAGTGTGTTTCCTATCTTATTTTTATCTTCTAACTACCACCAACAGAGCCATAATGGCTCCTGGTTGTGGCTCAACAGCCCAAAAAACAAGCTTTCTGTTCTCATATTTGTTTTGCATGTACCTCTGTAGTACTTCTCTAGAGAGACTAGATTATATGCATTTCTTTGATTTTCTGTTCTGGGAGTGACCCAAGTTAAGTGACAGGTCTGCTTTAAGGTAGGACACACTTTCAAGTGATATTATTTATCCATTTATTAATTGTCCTGTACTTTCTTTTCATTACGTAAACTCAAGACAGCAAACAAGCTCTAATGCAAATTTCACAGATCAGTTCTAATACTTTTTTAAAACCATCATGGTTAAAATGCAAAAGAAGGTGTTAAAGTGGGTTGATTTGCATGTTTTAGGTTCTGGGATATATTCTGAAGTACTGGATGGAGTTTTAGATGTGGATCATGGGAAATAGGCTGACATTCCTCCTCACAAGCAAAGCCTACTAGTCCTCAATGTTTCTCTGTTTAGTCTGCCTTGGAGAATCATTATGAGGGTAACATGAAGTAATAGCTTGTTTGCTGTCTTGAGTTTATGTAATTAAAAGCAAAGTACAGGACAGTGAATAAACGGATAAACAATATCACTTGAAAGTGTGCCCTACCTTAAAGCAGACCTGTCACTTATTTGGGTCACTCCCAGAACAGAAAATAAAAAAGAGCTGATCTGTGAAATCAAGATATAATACTTACATTTGCTACAATACTGATATAATTCTTCGTTTTCCTTAGAGAAAGTGATTTTAAAAATCAGAAATATAGCTTACATGACAAGAATTATCAGGAGCTTGTCAGCTGCTCCAGCTATATATTGAAAGGGTTACTTACGGTTTTTACTGCAAACGTGTTGCATGGCCCATACTGCCCACAGCTGTACCCCAGGAGTCATGAAGCAGCCAAGTAAAGGGAAAAAAGGGTTGAAAGACCTGGAAATAAGAGGGGGAAATAGAGGCACAATCATATCGGTAAAACCTGACATGGTATTGTGTATGTTTAGCCAAAAGATATCCAGACAAGAAGAAACCTTGACAGTTTCTGTTTACTACTAATTTGATGTGTAATTCTTAATTTCAAACCAGAGTGTATAAGGAGATCCCATCCTAGGCTGTGGACAGAGTAACTCACATATATGTCAACACATACCGTATATACTCAAGTATAAGCCAAGTTTTTCAGCACATTTTTAGGCTTAAAAAGCCCTCCTTGGCTTATATTCAGGTTGGCTTATACTCAAGTTTATATGGTAATCTTATCAGTATCTATTTTTATTTTTATTTTTGAAATTTACCAGTAGCTGCTGCATTTCCCACCCTTGACTTATACTGGAGTCAATAAGCTTTCCCAGTTTTTTTAGGCGCCTCAGCTTTATTTTTAGAAAAAAAACCTAAAGCCTCCTTTTTACTCTGCTTGCATGGTAGTTTAGTTCATCCTCAGATAATACTATATCAGTGTACCTTTTCCACACAACGTTAATGGCAAGAACATTGACTAAACATCAACTACAGAGCCCCTCATCTCCCAAACTCTGTTAACTCCTGATAAAATATTACTGTGGAGAAATGGCTCCTGTTGTCAGCATTCACTATTCACCAACACCCCTTCATCTCTCACATATGCACAAAATCTTGTCTTCTATATGCTATATTCTGGGGAGTAGCACCTCAAACCTTGCACAATCAAAATGGGTATGTTCCCTAGGGGATGTGGACAACTTCACTTCCTAATAATTTTGCACTTTGGGTGATGTATTATTTTGGGGGATGAAGCATAGCCTTTGGGGATCATATGTACACTAGATGAAAAAAATTGCACATTTATTAATTCAAAAATCTGGTCACATAAAAAAACAAATCTGCTCTAACTTCCAAAACAGCAGTAACCTAATCCTGGTCACATATGAAGAAATTAGTAGTATTTTATGTGACAATGCAAACCGTTAGATTTCAAGAAATAAATAACATTATTTCTTGGTCTTATCTCACAGCAGAAGCACTGAATTCAGTAAACATACCATTCTATGCACTCTCAAGTGAGAGGAAGCCCTATTAACATAATGGGAATTACTTATGAGTAAGCATCAACAGGATTTTACTATAATATTATCATCAGTGACGTGTCTGCTGAGAAGTAAGTCTCGTTGAGTTAAATGGATTTCATTCCCTAATCACTTCATATAGAATCAAAGTTGAAATGTTTGAAGAAATCTTCAAACATTTATAATAGACCACGTAAACCTGAATATTTGGATTGGCAGATGATTAGAAAGAGAAATAGCACTTAACCTTTTTCTCAAACTTTCAAGGTTGTAATAATTACCTGTATGCCACCATTTCACATTCTGGTGTAGGCCAGTTCAAAATGGCAGAGTGCTGTAAGACAAGGGAGGAAATGGAATTACTCTGAAAGTTGACAATGGTGTTGGAATAAACATGATCAGTTGTTTTCAGTCCCAACTGTACCAGCTCTTCTAGGAGTGAGGTTCTCTGGCTGCGACTCAATGTCCAAGCTTGTTCCCCTCGTGATATCAAGTGTGCAATGATCCCAGCCGCAAAGTAACTGACTTCCACTTCAACACTGTGCAACAGCTTACTGATGTGGTCTATGAAGTCTTTCCACATGAGCTCTGAATGGAGCTCGTTCACCTCTGCTATGTTGTTCTGTATAAAGAGGGCATAATTCCATTATGAAATACCATGAATGCCAAATTTTCCTTGTGTTAAAAAAGTTATTTCTACATTAAGCAAAGATTAGCCTGCCTTCTTCTGTAAACAGTCCAGCAATATTCCAGACAGAGTTCAAGAATAACAAGCCTATGAATTACTCAACGGGCTTACGATGTCCACTAGCCTACAAATAGTTTATTGATGGCACTGCTTTCAAGAAATTTAAGCATTAGGAACATACTAGCCAGGCCTCCAAGAGTGTAGCAAGACTTTTATTTCTGGCACTACTTTCAGCCACAAAATAATAGCTGTAAAATCATAACAAAGAGGCTGCCCCTTTCCACTTCTCCCTCACAATGCCAGCAAATTTTGGTGCACATCTACCCTGGGAATTTGAGAAATTCCTCCCACTTTGCCACCTGTGAACAAGGCTACACGTTGAGCAGATTTATGGACAGTTTTAAATTAAACCAACTGCCAATATTCGGGGGATCAAAATTACATATTTCTTCACACAGCAAAAAGCTTTTAGAGTTCACTGGAATACAATGTGGGAATATCAATTTGACTACATGGCTTTACAATGGTATTAGGCAAATTAACAGAAGATGGATCTATCAGTGTTATCCCAATTGTACAAATAAAATAAAAAAATAGCCATTATCATCATCATCTGTCCAAGCTATTAGGCAGCTGGTGAAGCTGTATGAGGCTAGTCAAAATCAACATTAGCAGGGGAGGCAATCGTCTTCACTTCCTGTTTTCTAAAGTCTTACATCTAAATGTTTTGGATTACAATTCACACAATCCCTTATCATTGGTTCTAATGTCTGAAAGTACTTGACATTGTTCTATTTTCAGAAGGCACTAGATCTCTCTGGCAGAAAATGCTAAACACTTCACAAAATTATAAATCCCAGTATTCCATAGGCTGGAACCAAGGCAGTTGAAGGGGACTCAAATTGCAATATTTGCATACAAGACAGGACAGAAAATCTTCCTCATGGCTTAGAGGCACCAGGTTCACTATGACTGATGTTTGACTTGATAAAATCTTGGTTCAGCAGGACTCTAATGCTTCTACAAAATGATTTTAAAACCAATGGGCACTGAGCAGGACAGAGTTTGATTGACTGCAGCCACAATTAGTGAAATGCTATGAAAAGGAATGTATCCCCTATAATATACTGGAGCAAGAGACAGATGATAACAGAGAGAAGAGAAAGTAAAACTGTCTCACATCAATACAATATATATATTTCTATCCATCTTACCAAAAGGCCAAGAACTTTTTGTTGGATAGAAGATTCGGATGGAAAACACTGTAAAGAAAAACAACTTTTTAATTATGTTCATTCAAGATGAGATGTATATTTAGGTTTCATTACGAGTAGATACTCAGAAGAATTCTCAGATAATTGTGAGGAATCTACATATTCAAATATTGTTTAAAAATGCAACCCCAACTCCTAACCCCCCACATAACCTCCAAAATAAGGACTGTGAGCAGAGGAAGTGTGGGAAGCATACAAATGAATACCTATGAGTCTTTCTGGTATGTAACGGGCAGGATTTGGGTTAAACACTGAAGGTAGTTCCATGTAATGGGGCGCTCCACCTACTCTGCTGGCATGGCTGCTTTGGGGGAAGAACAAGCATGGGCATGAGGGCTCTTTCCTTTGCTTGAGTAAATCCAGGAATCTTTTAGGAGACATTTCTTCTCAAGCTTGAGCCATGGGAACTTTGAAGTGATCCAAAAAGCCCAATGCCCCCCTTCCATGATGCCTTAAGAAACAAAGTTGAGCTGAGCCTTTGACTTTGAAATAACTGCATGGAAGCAGGAGGCAGTTTGAGAATCAAGGCAAGTCTAATGCAAGGAACACTTCCTCTGAACCAAATCAGCCCTGCAATCATTTCCCAACTTTGCGGTAGCAGGAGTTGCAACAGGAGAAATGAGGGCATCCTGCTTCCTCACTATTTTAATATAAGGAAAAGTGGTTTCAGTGAGAAGAGAAACCTTCCACTTGCCTGTTTAGATTGCCAGCCTGCAACTTTGACAAGCAGACCGGAGGGTTTGCTGCATGAGAAACAGAAATGCCCCAGTTCTCACCTCCAGGACTTTCATGAAAAGTTCCAGCCCCTGGTTTTCAATAAAGTGCCGACATGTGGTTGGGGACTCATCTGTGAGATTCCAAAGTGCACTCAGTGTAAACTTAAGCGTAGTGTCCACTACACTCTGATTCGTTTTTTGCTTGACGATTTGCAGTAGTTGCTAAAGAAAAGAAAAGACAAGAATTTTTGTTTTCCAAACTGTATATCCATTTCAACTCTTAGCTTTTTGAGGTTCAAGCTGCACAATGGCAGCACGCACATGTCTGTAATCAGCTCTGCTGTAATAATATTCAAAGGAGTACAAGGTCCCTTGTTTTTACATCAAATAGGATGTTGAATAGTGGGACAAAGCTTCCTGCCCTGATCACAGCTTACTGCTGCAGTGGGGGCTCCGCCTTGCAATTTCCATTCTAACTGGAAAAGAAAACTATTAATTTCCAACAGCATTGAATCCAGTAAATGTATAAGGGGCCTATCCAATTTAGGGCCAAGGAATTGCAACAACACATACAGCATTACATTCTCAATCTCTCTGTAGCATCATTTTGAATATATGCTTGGGAGAAGAGTTCTAGAAAGACTATGGGCTAATATGAGCTAAGTGCCATTCTGATTCCGTGCCTTCTCATGCAGAATAGGAGAAATGAAATGTATGAATGTCATAGCCAATATGGGTCCAAGGTCTGGTAGGGAGAAGGGAATGTGGCAAATAGCTTGAATGTAACTGAGTGCTTTCCCCCTTTTGCCTGTATCCATCATAGACAAAAAGCTACAGGTATCTTTAACAACTCTGGTGCTCTATGTAATTTCTTTGAACAGTACAGTCCTATCTTTCTTATAAATGCTTCACACTGCTAGGTCAACACTGTAAAGCATTTCCCCTCTTTTGAGCATTATTATGATTATAATAAATGTTAAAAAACAACAACATACTGACAGGAACTTGAGATCAAAAGCAAAAAAGAGGTAAAACTAAGATAGACCCCCTCTGCTAACAAACATCAGTGCTCACACATGTCTCTGCATCTGAGGAGATGGAGTCGGAACCAGTTATGTGTGTCCGATTCATCAGAATATATTTTTTAAGGTGCAGCATTTTCTTGCACACATCAATAAAAGACGTGTAAAATGCAAACAAAGGAAATATGGAAGTTGACAGTGAACCCATTCACACCACTCCGCTACAGTTCTATGCTTCCACTTTAACTGCTATGGCTGAGTCCTAAGAATCCTTGGTTAGTGGTTTGAGGAGGCATTACAGCTGTCTCGTGGGGAATTTTAAATGCCCCTCCCCCTAAACTATATGTTCCAGGATTTCACAGGAGTGGAGCATAACAATAAAAAGTGGAATCATAACATTATAATAATATATTGTGAAATCTTTCCCATCTCCCACATAAAGTAAGTAATAGCTTCCAAAAGTAGCTTACCCTGACAATGAAGAGCTCTGCACCAAGCTGAGCTGTTTGCTCTGTTGAAAGCTATAAGCAAAAAATAAAACATGGAAATGTTAAGTGACTGTTGGAAAGAGTGGTGATTTAAGCAAGTTACAGACATTGAATTGGTGGAGCTTAGTCCCGCACCTTTGCAGCAAGAATGGAGATGATTGCCACTGCCATTCTCTGCATGTTCTGGTCTTCATGGTTACATAACCACTGCATGACAAGCTTGGCCGCTTCAAACCTGAAAAGCAACAAACAGAAAGCTCACAAAAAGTGGTGCATCAGAAAAAATAAACATAGCATACATTTCAGGACAGCAAAAAGAAAAGTAGATCAATCATCACCTAACACAGATAAATACATAAGCACTGTTTTTTTAAAAAATAAGCTGGCCTCAGGCATTTTTAATGGCTTCTCTTGGTCTTCCCTACCTCTTTATTGCTTATGTTAGCCCACCTTTCTCCCAAAGATGGGCCTCATGTTGGCACACAGTAATATTAAATAAAATAATATAATTAAAGAACACAACAAGATCAGCTACTAACATAAAGTTGAGTTAAAGACTCGGTTTAAAGCAACCATAACTATAATTTATGGTATGTTATATTTCAAAAGTTTGGGCAAGGAGTGTCACAAAGTCTGTCATCACTGGCCAGACTTCATTGTTTTGATTTATTATGTTCAGCAGAGAATGTTATGAGTGCTAATTGATTGGTGGGACCAGGAAAGAAATGACAGCAGTTTGTGAATAATTAAATCTTAGGTTCACATTGGGTTGCTGTAAAAATTTGGGTTCTGAGAGGTAAAGGGTGCTCATATTCCTCAAAAGTGTGTGGATGAGGACCCTTTTTAATAGTTCCTAGTAGTCTAACCTTCTTCTACAAAGCAAACAGACCAACCTGCACTGAATTCTTGCATACATCATCTCTCTCTTATGCTACACTAGCATGCCTGTGGACAGGAGTAGTTATCACAATGGAACTCTGGTCTTTTTTTTTTATTTGTTTAAGGGTGCGCACACATGTGTTTACACACATGTATATTTTGCCAATGCTTATGATAAAGTTGGGACTAATGTTCCATGTAGCAAGATTTTTTTGCTTTCCCACAATACTGTCCCACTCCAGGAATAACCAGTCATAATTTCACTCTCATTAACCTTTCTGATACCTTTTACTGTACAGGATTTGGAATTCATTTTAACATTTCTTTAGTAATGACAATAGGATGTACAATGGGCCTGTTTACTGGGTATAATTAAATGCGGCACTAAAAGAGAACTTTTAAAAAACAAATTCAACTTTCATATATTGTTCAATCTTTTTTTCCTTGTTGTCAGCAATTGGGACGAAGCACAGCTTGTGGAGACTAGAGGTAGGTAGAAAGCAAGGGCAGGAAAACAGAAAACTACATTATCATGGGAGGACAGCAAGAAAATACTCAAGGCTGCAATTGCTAAAACTATAATCAACTCTTTATTTGCTTCCAAGGCTTGTTCATCAGAACATGCAACAAAAAAGTCATGAAGTGTTTACACTAACAAGGAAATTTGCATGATACAAAGACTGATTTTAAATGTTAACATTACGTAGGTATGCATTAATGATTAAGCAATGTGGAACGTAATTCTAGGTAGCATATAATTATTTCTTGCCAGAGCAGAAGGTAGTGGGTGGATTTTCTATCCACTTTGGCACTATTTATTGAATATGGACATTTTCTCAGACCAAGTCAGAGATCTGTGAGAGCAGTGGTTTCCAACCTTTGGACTCCAGATGTTTTGGACTTCCCACAATTTCTAACAGCTGGTAAACTGGCTGGAAGTTCTGGGAGTTGAAGTCCAAAACATCTGGAGGACCAAAGGTTGAGAACTACTGAGCTAGGGCTATAGCCCATGAACAAGGCCACTTTTGTTAATGTCAAAATACCCAGCATCCAGATCTAAAATGAGATAAATTAACAGACACTTCTGAATACAAACAAAATCAGCACCAGTAATTTATAACTGGGGAGGCATACTGCTAAATCTCAAACTTTTGCATGAATGTAGATCTAGCAAATGGCACCTGTATTTCATGAATAAAATTTATTTAGGGCATTTGTATCCCGTCCTTCTCAACCTCCACAGAAGGACTGAGGATGGCTACCAACCGGCACAGTACAGTGCCCACACACAACAAAGCAGAATATAAAAACACGTGTTACAATAAAATAGCTAAAACAGATATATATACATTAAAAACAATTCGCTGATTTCAGTCGGCATCCTAAAAGCAGTCCATTATAGCCCATTAAACAATATCTACACCAGCAAATGCCTGATCCCACAACCAGGATTTCAGTTTCTTCCAGAAGGTCAGGAGTGTTGGGGCAAATGCAGTCAGGTTAGGTTTTGCTCCTAAAGTCTATTCAGAATTTTTAATTCTCTCAGGAGTAATAAGGGGTTTGCAAATTGCTAAGCAGCAATGTTTAGCCATTTCAGCAGCCTAAAACTCATACTCTTCCTATATGGAACTCTGGAGGTAAAACCAACCTGTTAAATGGAACGTCCTGAAGTATTCTGTCACTGCACAATGACAAGAGACAGTTCTTTTGCAGCTGTAAAAGAGCAAAGTGATGCTCATAATAAATAATTTCCCAAGTAGCATTTCTGAGCTTCATTTCCCAGTGTCATTAATCTAACAAATTCTTATCCAGTCAAAAACAATCTTTTTATTTTATTATCTCACTCGCAAATATATTTGTTTGGAAAATATGAAAGAAAATGTAGTGTAGTGAAAGTATTCACAGGCCTTCATAAGATGTTAAAATAATTCATACACACACACACATGAAATGTTGTACTCCTTCAAAATAAGAGAATGCACATAAACTAAAGTGAAGGCCAGGCTTGTTCTCAAAATGCTCAAGCCATCCCTCAGCATTACATTATAATGCAACCAGTGAGATGATGGAAGCAGAAATGGGATTGTGTAATATTGTTAAAATTACAGCAGTCTAAAATGCTGAAACATCACCAACACAACGATTAATGCAATTAATGGGCTATACTAATAGCAACAAGCATTCTGTCCACATTCAAAACAACAAGTAACATGTTATAGGGTGGGAAGACTCAAACATTTGACTCCCAAAATGTCTGAGAAGACATTGCTCATTCCTATTTAATACAGTTAATTTTTTTGAAGTCCACTAGTACAACGTTATACATTCTACCTCTTCTAAGTAGTCCAATTTCATAAGAGATGTTACATTTTGAAATCTATAATGTGTGTGAATTCTGTGTTCAGAAATCCCCCCCCCTCCCCTCCAACCTTGGAAAAAAGTCATCACAGTTGACTTACCTGTTGGTGATTAGGGAAATGCTCCATAGCCTTAAGGAGCAAGTGAGTAACATCTGCCAGAAGCCTTACAGGCATGCCTGTAGCTAAATCCTGTTTGGTCAAGTTAAACACACAGGCACTCGCTGCTAATTGCACTGGCAAGTTCAGAGGGTGATTTCTCATCCCAATAACTACAAGCTGAGAACAAACAAACAGACCAAATAAAAATTTCTAGTACATTAAAAGGTATGGAATTAGCTATGACATCTAATTTTTAAATGTAATTTTAATTGTATTTTAACTTTTATACGCGTGACACAAATATTTAATTGTTTAATTTGTATAGTCATATGTATATGTAGAATTTGTTTCCAAAAGGTACCAAATCCATCTGAAGAGATTTTACAGGAATCGAAAAAACCCGAGCTATAAAATGCAATTTTCGTTTGATATAAAATACAATTTCCCAAGCCCTGTACTGAAATTACTTGAACCATTTATTTTTAAATTTTTTATAGTGTCATGTCATTGTTAGCTACCTTGAGTCTCTATGGGAACAAAGGCGGGATAAAAATAGTTTAAAAAGCAACCTATCCATTGCAAGGTTCTTTAAAATAATTGATAAAGCACCCAAACAATGACATTTACTTTAAAGAACCCAAGAGAGGGAACAACACCTCAAATGTTCCTCCTCCTAGTGAAGGCTGCATTAGTCAGATGATCTACTCCCTTTGTCCCCCTCTTCTTAATTTGAGAGGTTATAGTGGTGGGGTCAGGAACGTGCCAGTTTGCTAGGAGAATTTTATCTCTGCTGCTGAAAGCACAAGTAGTCATATATGGAGGATGGCAGAGAATTGGCTTCCCACAATTAATGCTGCTTGGTAAAGATTCACATTCAAAGAGCTCTGTCCATAATTAAGGCCTCATTAGAAAAGGCACCTATGGAATGTATTCTTGTTTCAAACCTCAAGCCATGGGCTTCCAAACTATGTATATGGCAGATTTATCAGGGGTGTCACTCATTTTTTGTCTTTCCAGTTGATATGATTCATACAAGTGATCGTTCCTTTTCTCCCCACAAATTTCTGATTATTATTATTATCCATAGTTATTCTCTTTCCCCTAATCTTCCTCAAACAAATCAAGGTATGCACAGTTTACCACAATTTAATCTGAACTTTTCTGTAGACAACACTTCGTCAGGTCCCATTCTCAAAGCTAAAGATACCTATCAGTGCTAAGTAGCTCTACCTTTAGGATTTCTGGTTTTGTTTTTTCCATTATATGCGTGTGACTGAAAAGATGAAAGAGTGCCTCTCGCACAAAGAACGCCCGCTCACTGTAACGCTTCAGAGCTTCGCAAATCTGAATTTCATTAGCTTCTCCAGATACCTGTAACATAAAAACATAATGTAGTGCAATTTGCAATTGTGATAGAAGGAAATATAGGTAATATAAATATCCCAAATTTATTTGTGGTTGATTAAACATAAAAGATAATGCTGGAAGCTGTATACACCAAACTGTTGTTGGTGTTTACTAGTTCATTATCAATCATTCTCATTTCATTGGGCACTGCTTAAGCTAAGCAGTCCATTCAGAAGTCCATTGGGTTCAATGGAAACACTAAACGGAAATAAGATGTGGTAGATAGTTTTTTCTACATGAGACATTACAATTTAGCTTGTGCTATTACTTAAAAAAAACATGTTACTGATCTACATTCATAACACCTTCAGTAAATCTTTATTAAGAAACTAAAACTGAATCTACATCCACAAAACAATTAATCTCCAGTGTGAATTATCCTACCCTAGTTTATAGCAATTGCTCTATAGTGCCTTTCACTCTACAGAGCCTCTTCTAATAAATAACTCTAGTTAACAAATTCTTGCTTTCGGTTTTTGTATGTGTTTAGCAACCCAGCTGATGAGTGCATTTCAAACATATTAGGGCCTGTACAAAGGCAGAGCAAGTGTAATAAAACCAATTTCCAGACTGCTTGTTGACCAACAGATTGCCAGAGGGATAATATACTGAAAAGCAGAGAAGTACAATAATGATTCAGAACTATGCCACTTGTTTCTAGGCAGACAATTATTGTCCTCTTTTTCAGGTGAAAGAAATCAATCAGCACCCACATACTGTACATTTTGTCAGGAATTATGGATGGTGGGAATCACTGCAGAAGAGCTTTCCAGAAATCTATATAAAAAAAGTTGTCATTGCTACAGTGTTGGGTCTTTGAAGAATAAGGAACTTGTATCTTGGAAAGGTAAGAAACATATGGGGCTACAAAAGAAAAGATAAGCAGTGGGTTTTTGGCTGGCCTATCACCAGCTGTATATACAGGGGCAAAAAACAGCACACAATTTGTGAACACCTGCGTTTACACATAAGTTTCTCTCTGAAAAGGTGCCTCAGAGGATCCACTAAGTCAGGGGTGTTAATTCATTTTCATCAAAGGCCACATCAGCCTTATGGTTGCTTTCAAAGAGAAGCTAAGTCCATGGATAGAGAATCTGTGGCTACAGAGGGCAAACTACTATTTTTTTACATAGTTGTCGGCACTCTTTAGTTTTTACCCAGTTTGTGCCCCCAGATGTTACTGAACAATAACTCCCATCACTTTTGATTATCTGCCATGTGTACTGGGGATAATGGGAATTGCAAAGTAACAGCAATAGTGGCTTTGAGGTTGGAAAAAGATTAAAGGACATTTTGAAGCCAGACATCATATCCTCAAGCCTTGATTTTAAATTCAAGCTCCACTATCCTGACTGAGCAGAGCAAAATGCAGCCTTCTGTATGTTACTGTATCACAAACTCCCATCAGCTTTAGTCATGATGTCTAATAATGAGAAACACAGGAGTTGTAGTCTAGCATCTGGAGGGCCACATAAAATGACATGGAGGACTGGATTCAGCCTGTGGGCCTTGAGTTTGACACATGTAGTAAATACTCTGAGAACTCTTGGGGTTGTAAAAAAAACCCCTCAAAGCGTAAGACACCACACTAAAGCTTTGAACAGGAATTGTTTAAAAAGAAAAATAATGAGGAAAATAATAAACATTCACCAGTGCTCAATACTTTATGCTATTTCACAAGATGTTCTCTTTCCCGTTGCCCCAATAAATGCAGAGGGAAGACTGAAAAGCAGTCAGGGAGATGTTCCTTGGTAGAATCTTTGAAAAGAAGACTCAGAAAAATGAAAAGGTTTCATATGTGCCTACATATATATAATTGTATTGCATATTTGTAACTCTGTCATAAAACCCCACCGAAGAAGACCAACCATCATCTGGAAACTATCTATAGAAAGTTTGTATGAGGAAGAAGCAGTTGTCTACATCATTGCTTCTTACCTGTGGGTCCTCAGAACAAACTCAATGTTGGGCCCCAAAAAAATTTGGCAACTCTAAAGGTTTTCTGAACATTTACATGAATCTGTTCTACAGCGTTTGCAGTAGATTCTGCAGATGTTTCAGCAGTACTTCATAAACAGAAAAATCAATATTATTTGTGTTTTATTTGCTTAAGTGTTTTAATTGTTTTGGTTAATGCAATATATAAATATGTGAGAGGAAGTCATAGGGAGGAGGGATCGAGCTTGTTTTCTGCTGCCCTGGAGACTAGGATGCGGAACAATGGCTTCAAACTACAAGAAAGGAGATTCCACCTGAACATTAGGAAGAACTTCCTGACTGTGAGAGCCGTTCAGCAGTGGAACTCTCTGCCCCGGAGTGTGGTGGAGGCTCCTTCTTAGGAAGCTTTTAAACAGAGGGTGGATGGCCATCGGTCAGGGGTGCTTTGAATGCAATTTTTCTGCTTCTTGACAGGGGGTTGGACTGGATGGCCCATGAGGTCTCTCCCAACTCTATGATTTTATGACTCTATATTTTATTGTTATGTTTTTAAGCAGCATTGAATTTTGTCATAGTTGTAAGCCACCTTGAGTCCCCTGTGGAGTGAGAAAGGTGGGGTATAAATGAAGCAAATAAATAATCAATAATATTTAGCAAGCCTTGCAGATGCTGATTTATTATCAGTAAATATTTAATTTCATACCTATATACCAGGGGTCACGTAAGCATTTATCAGGCCAAAAGTGGTCATGAGTGGAAAAGTTTAAGAATCCCTGGTCTACATTAACCATTTTATAGAACATCTCAGTGGAAAGTACTAAGGCAAAGCAGAATGTGGCTAATAAATTCAGAAAAATAGCAAGAAACTGAGAAACAGGAAGAGTTATATCTTTACTTTTAAGCAATACATTCTGGAAGCAGTGGGATAGAAAATCAATACCAACCTTCAAGTTTCCGTCTCCAGTAAGGAATAACGAGAAGCCAGCATCAGTGGCTAAAAGCCCCACAAACTGCATTGAGGGTCGCTGTTTAACAAATGTTTCTACAGCCTCATCAGTAACATGTTTCCTTCCTGAGATGTCCAAAGATATAAGATTGGGCAATATGTCTTTCTGTTCTAACAAACGAAGTGCAATGTCAGATGTGAACTGCTTGTCATCTGAAATATCAAGATGATTCAGGAACTTTAACTCTCTGATGACATCCAAAATCTGAGTAGTGGTCATTTTCAAGCATTTCAGGTGGTGCATGGTAAGAGACTTGAGGCGATCCTTGCAGGCAAGAAGTGCAGTTATGTCCGTGACAGAGGTGTTCGATATATCCAAGCTCTCTAATCTCGGAAGTGAAGCCACGTCAGCTAGATCTTCATTGTAAAAGAGAACATTGGTAATGCTCAAAGCGCGAAGACCAGTCAGCTGACTAAAGCACCGTTCATAAGGATCTTCCAATGAAAGAGTTAATGAATTCAGCACAAGGCATTGAAGATTCTGCTGGATCCATTTATTGCTGCCAAGTCCACTGATGATATCTGTGATGGTAATGTCTGCATTTACCCCGGTAGCATCGAGCTCCACCAGCTTGTGGTGGCAGAAGGCTTTCCCAAAAGCCACGGCAGAAATCTTGGCTTTGCGGATACAAGCTCTTTTCAAGCGCATCTGGTTGCCTCGAAAAATGCCCACAGTTGCTTCATTTAGCAGTCCTGTGCACGGGTGGGAGTGAGTGAGAGTGTGAAAATGAAAAGGATGCAAAAACAGAGAAAAGGAAGTAAGAAACTAGTAACAAATATTAAAGGTTCTGCAGGCTGAGGGCTTCTAGGAATTGGAGTCCAAAGGTTTTCCCAGTTGCGGGGAGTATGTCACAGCTAAGTAATTCCTACCAGGTCTAAGACCAGGGCTACAGCAGAAGAAAAGGGTAGGCCTCAAAGAGGAGAAAGGGGTCAGTTACACCCCTAGTTTTCCTTTTTGAGGCATTTTAAATTGTCTCTAATTTAATTCTGTTTTAATCTCCAACCTTGTTTGTGTTTGCATTGTATATTTTGTTCAATATAACCACACGCTACCTTGATGCCTCAGTTGTAGAAAATGGTGTGACAAGTCCAATAAATACAGTAATAAATAAATTTGAGGCTTCCCTCTTTTTATCTCCTGTAGGTAAACAGACATGCAGCAGAATGTGGGAAACTCCTAAAATAAACCTTTTGTGCTGGCTGTAGGATTTTGGGAGCTGTAGTCCAACAAAGTAACTTTTACAAACTCCAGTATGTAGTACTGCAAAGGTTCCAAACTGTGCCAGGTAGCATTATACTCAACTTGTGACATACAGGACTTAGAAAGGCACTAGGACTGAAGTAAAGGACAATTGCCATCTTGTCCCAGGGTTCCCATAGTTTCCATCAAATCCAAATCCTGAAAGAAGCTTGATAGCAGGTAAGAGGACATAGTCATAGCTTGACATACGCATCTATACAATCCTGCATGCAGATTTCAAATAGCACAGAATAATTTACAGTCTAGTGAAGTAATGATCCATACTTCTGTTTCACTTTCCCACTACCAATTAGCTATTGACTGCTTGCACCACGTTGTTAGCGCCAGAACACTAGATGAAAAATCACATTACAATAGGATCTCCATATCTATGATTTCATTTATCCATGTCCAACAAAAAAAGTAATCTTTAGGTGTTTTCTAGGTCCCCTAGTGTGATTCTGACATGCTCAGGACAAAAGTCCTTCATTTCAACTGAAGTCTAGGAATGTATCCCCAGCAGATATAGAAGGCATAGTGTAATAAAATGTCTTATATGGGTTAATCAAGCAGTAGCTTAAACAGTTATTTTTCCTAACATTGCACTTCATTGTTTTTAGGACTTCCAGTTACTGAATCCCAAATAATAGTTTTACCATGAAATGCCATTGTCCGCAGCAATCGATCGGCCACTTCTTGTGGGAATATCCCAGGCTCTTGCAAACATAATGTCCCATCCTGTCTCTCTGCACAGAACTTCTCTAGGTCAGAAGTTAGGTAATTCAAGCAGATGTCAAGCAAAGAATATGGTGAAGCCTCTTCCTATCAAAGAGCAGAAAAAGCCAGGTGTTAAACAGTTGTTTTTTAAAAACACACAAGCACAATTACTTGTCACAAGTGCCATTCATTACTGCATATTATTTTTAATAGGGGGAAAGCTCCCATCACTGTCACATGAATTTGGAGTAATAAAAAAACCACACCTGTAGAGATACTTTCAGAAAATAAAGTTGTTATTACACTTCCTTGGTATACACATGCTACTTTCTGCTATTATACTTATAAATATGTAAAGTTAGTAACATTCTGCTTTCTTACTTTCTAAAAAAAACCAAAGGAGATACCTTTAGCAACTTTCCCCCCACAAAAATCAGAATTCTACAGAGTGCTGACCCATGTCACAAGATCAATCTAAATTGAACTACACAAAAGATATTTTTGATTAATGGGACAATACAGTTATCCTTCAATATTTCAACTGTAATGCTAGCAAAATTACTGGAAGTGTAGTTTTTTACTTTAAGATATGGTTATACAATCCATTTATTTCTTCCATTTCTGGACTACTTCTCATAAGTTGCTGAAGTAAGTTTAATGAAAATGAATAAAATAAGGCAATAAAATGATAACCGTGGGTTTTAATGTTTTTTGTTGCCATGTTGCTTGCCACTTTGAGTCCCAATCTGGGGTAAAAGCAGGATGGAAATAAATTAATAATAATAATAATAATAATAATAATAATAAACAAACCACTACATTTATCAATAATGTATTCTGATACGCATTGACAAAATCATTAATAACATGGGGGATGTATGTTTACCCAAACCAGTACCTGCTATCACTGCTTCTAGCTAAGATATGGAAACTGATATAAGGCAAAAATGAGAGCAACACAAGCTTTCATTGCTATGTACATTCTTAAAATGTACTTAGCTATATTTTCTAAGATAGAAGAAAGACCTCTTATAGCTACAATAAGATACTCAGTACATAAAATGGCATTTAAAGAGACTGTTTAAAGAAGCAATAAAATATTGTGCCGTCAGCACAATCCTGACTTTTTAGCAGGAATAATATATTCCATAAAGTTGGTAAGAGCTTCTTAGAGCAGGACAATTGAAGTTGTTCAGAACTGATAATACCTTTCAATATAGATTCAGCTACATATTTTTCAAACTGCTTCATCTAGAAAGTTTGAACTTTCATATAAAAGTGACAAATAGCAAGTTTCTGAAAATGGTGTATTTTGCTAAAATGCATATATAAGATACTGTGATATGGAAAAATTATTCTACTTCCTTGGTTAAATATGGTTACATGATTCATTTAATCTTTTTTATTTATTTACTCAACATTTGTCTAAAATACAGGGAAAATCCTTCCAATAAGTACAGGGAAACAATATTAGAATAACCTAAATCACATAACAAATTTAAGCACTGAAAGTAGTTATAGTTGGCTCTGCATATTTGCAGGTTTGATGTGCAGATGTGATTTAAATGTTCTGTCTAGAAATCTCTAGGTTCTCCAATGCAACTTTATAGTCAAGTTGACTATGGAATCACATTGAGGACCTAGATATTCCTACATAGAAGACCTCTAGGACCACGGTTTTGTGCAGGAAAACCTAGATTCTTAGAGGAGTGTCCTCTAAGGTTTTAAAAAAACACAGCATTTTTATTTGTGTTTTCACTTTTCTTGCCCATAAGTGTAGTACCAGTCATACAAGGCTAATATTAATAAACAAACTCAAGCATAGGCCAAAGTAGAATGTTCAAGTGTTTAAGGCCTACTTAAAGATTTGTAATGACAAAGCTTGGTGGGTGACAAATGGATCCAGTCAACCTTCACTGCTCCATGCTATTATAGCAGTGTACTCCAGATAAAATGCATCACATATAATCACCACGATAATCGTGAGCTGAAGCTTCAGACTGCCTTCACTTTAATATGAAAGATAATCCAGCTTATTCCTACGTTCCCCCTCATATCTGACTTTTGCAATTATTTAGCTTTTACTTGCTTAAGGGAATAATGCAAACTTGGTGACTCATTCTCAGGGGGAAAAAAAAAGCAGGCTCCGTAGGCTAATACATACTCCCCCAGCCAATTTTAAAAATAGTTGTGACAACCCCTTTGCAAACTAAGAGGAATAATTTCATGCCAGTGCACCAATTCACCTTAGCAGCTATTCTCTTTTATTGTGCTTTTATATATTTTGTGTTCTTTTGATTCACCCCATGCAAGTTTCTTAATAAACTCTGAAGAGTTCTAATACAAAATACCTTCAATCTTTACCTCCCTCCAAAAAGTCAAAGGCATAGCATATAGTGCTCCCATTACAGTAAGTCCTTTGTATGCATGGATTCTGCAGCATCCATGGCTTGAAAACTTCTTTTAAAAAATCAAAAAAATAAGCTTGATTTTGCAGTTTTATATAAGAGATAACATTTTGCTATGCTATTATTTATAACAGGACTTGAAAATCCACAGATTTTGGTATCCAGGGAGGCTCTCAAACCAAATCTTAGCAGATTCTAAAATCTGTGGATGCTCAATTGAAAGCTCTCAGCTATATGCAGACAAAACAATATAATTTAATGCATATTTAGAGCTTTACTGTTACTTCAGAAAATGAATTTTTAAAATAAAAATGAAAATATAAAATAGAGAAAGAAGGACCTCTTATAGCTACAATAAGCACCTCAGAGTAACAGCTTAATGCATTTTATCAGAGTTATTGATCAACCCAGGCTGCTCCAAAGCAATCTGTGGTCTGGAGATTGCACCCACAGGTCACATAGCTGACAGCAAAAGGACTCTGGGGTTAGATGACTAGTACCAGGAATGTCACCTTAGTTAATTAAACAGCAACCTTGAGTTGGCATGGCAAGGTGGGTCAAAGGTTCTAGTAATCAGTAAAAAAAATTCAATCTGTTGGGATTAAGTGTCCTTTGCAACAAAACTGGCATATTATTGCATTAACAATCTGACAATCAGTCATTATTACGTACTACCACCCACAAATATTCCCATCCCACTTCTTAATAATATATCTGGAAATGGACTAAATATCATTTTGGTCAGGGGGAAAAAAGATTTCACACTCACAGTATTTCACTTTTGGATTTTTCAGTAATCCTTGAATGTTAAAGCAATTTCCTCCTACAATGCATGGTTCAAATCTGAATTTATTAAAGCAATAGAGTGAAGCAATTTTCTCCCTGGTCTCAAACCAAGACTTTTTTTTAGAATGATAAAGTCACTTTCACTTCTCAGAACAGTTACAGCACACTTCTTTGTTAAAATTGGGTACAAATCACATCACTAATTAACTATATATCATTGCTTTTATATATAATACCAACTGATGCACCAATTGATGCAAAGAAAATATAGCAGATCAACATACAGTCACCTTTTTTTTTTAGCAAGTCAACTATAATAAAATGGCCTATGGGCACTACTAAAGTATTTTCAAGTTCACAAGAATCCTTATTAACATGTTTCAAAAGATCTGTAAGCATGGGATAGTGTTATTTGTGTTTAGGCTCTACACTGCTACATTGTTACGTTTCCCACCAAAAAAAGGCAAAGCAAAATGTGGTTTCAAATGCAGCTCCACTGTGCCAGCTAACCAGTTATTAGGAATTGTGGGAGCTGAAGTCCAAAACATCTATGGGAGCACAGTTTGAGAATATCTGTTGCTCGGTTTTCTTGTTTAAATTTTTGAAATGCAATGTATTTTAATTGTGCTATATTTTATTCTGTTTTTGTTGGGCTTGGTCCCCATGTAAGCCGCCCTGAGTTCCTTCGGGGAGATGGTGGGATATAAGAATAAAATTGTTATTATTATTATTATTATTATTATTATTATTATTATTATTACCCATGTCCGCATATATTGAAAAGTCTCTATTTTAAACAAAAAGGTGACTGAAATGTGTTGAAGAATAACAGATGTAGTTTAAGTATTTTTAATGTCAAAACTGCAGTTGGATGACAACTGTTAATTATTATCTCTCAAAAGACAGTGTGCAGTAGGAACACAAGCTCATGAATATTTAGGATTTACATTTATTTAGAGTTATTTCTGTCCCTTCAGAACAAACTGGAGGTCCCCAAATTCTCTGTTGTATAAAGCTTTAAAAAAAAACATAACAGCCTTGTTCTCCTTTGCATCTTGTTACCTATTAAGAAGAGCCACTTCAAAATAGTGGTTTGGGTATTAGACTAAGCGTACACCTACACTGTAGAAATAATTCAGTGGCAACTGCAGTTGTGTCAAATTGCATGAATTCTACGGTATGGATGCACTGGTTGTGATTTGCCTAAGGTGGCAGGCAGAATAGGGATTAGAGCTCTCATCTCTTGGAGGCCTAGGGTTCATCTACACTGTAGAATTATTGCAGTTTGACATCACTTTAACTGCCATGGCTTAATGCTATGGAATTCTGGAAGTTTTAATTTAACAAGGCCTTTAACTGTCTCTGCCAACAAGTGCTGGTGCCTCCCCAAAGTAACAATCCCAGGACTTCATAGCACTCAGCCATGGCAGTTAAAGTGATGGCAAACTGCATTAACTCTACGATGTAGATGCAACCTAGGCCTCCAAGAGATGAGATATCTAATCCCTGTTCTGCACTGAAAATCTAAGGCAAATCACAACCAGTGCATCTATATTATAGAATTAATGCAGTTTGTCATCACTTTAGGTGCCATGGCTTAAAGTTTTGAAATCATGGGAGGAATGAGCACTTTTTGGCAAAGAAGACTAAAGACCATGTAAAACAAAAACTTCCATAATTCCACAGAATTGAGACATGGCAGTTAAAGTGGTGTCAAACTGCATTAATTAAATAGTGTATGTGCACCATATAAGTGCTGCACACAACAGCGCCAGATTCTGGCATGCCAGGACTGCCATGCTGAGGCCACTGTGAAATGAGACATGATTATGACTTTAAACTGCAACTGAAATGTGTAACAGCTTTCAAAATGAGAAAATCCTATCATATACATTATCAGCACAATGCTATCATGGTCATTTCCCAAGCAACATGGTCATATTAAGCAGCAAGCTGTTTTCAGACATTATGTGTCCTTGCACTATGGCTGTCACCATGGAGCTTTTCTTGCACCTGTTCACTGCACAAAGCCAGTCTTACCTTTCTATCTCTCTCACACACATGCAGAGGCAATTTTCTCACTACACAGAGCTGCCTGGTAACCAAGGTCACTGCAACTATCCTTACCACTTTTTGCTAAATTCAGCCAACCCATTTTGCCAAAAAAAACACCTCTGACAAACTGTCCTTTAATACAAATTAGCCACCAAACTGTATTCACAACCAGAATAGAAGATATTTTTAAGGCATATTTATGAAATAAATTATTATTTTAATCCATATTAGTAATGTGGAAGTGGAAGGCAGATGTCTGCTGATGCAGGTTGAAATCCCTTATCCAAATCTTCCAATATTGTCCACATGGGTGGCTGAGAGAGTGACAATGTTGCTTTCTGATAGTTTAATGTATAACTTTGTTTCATGCACAAAATTATTACAAAAACTTATAAAGCTTGCTGGAACATGGAAGAAAAAATAAATTATAGAGAAACTGACAAAAGGGAAGCAGGAAATGCTCTTTTAAATTAAAGTAAATATACAATCTGCGTATTTTAGAGTTAGACAGGTCTCTTGGTGAGAGAAATTATTGTGTTTGCAAATGCTATGCTATGCAAATGTTGTTCAAGTATGTTTGTGTATGTATAGGTATTGTTAATTTCTGTGTGTCTTTAAAAATCTGAATTAAAAATGAAAGAAATATTATAAATATATTGTATATAAAATGCACATGAAACATAATTAATTTCATGTTTCAATTTAAGGTCCCAACTCCAAGACATCTGTGTGTGTGTGTGTCTGCATGCATATACATGCATTCCAAAATCAAGGAAAAATCCAAACTACTTTTTATCACAAGCATTTCAGATAAGGGATACCCAATCTGAATCTCAATGGAGACATAAAAGGGGCATACTTTCTTCTTGAACATGTGATGTGTGATATTTCTCCATTGTAGTATTTCTCCAATGGTTCATTTCAACCTTTTTTTATAGTTTTCACTCACACCAGTCTAGATTGATGTCTATAGATGCCACTGGCACAACCTGGGGATCACAACCGGACACAGTGAAGACATCTGCCCTTGCGCTTTGCTACTCTGCTGTTGAATATGTATGCCCAGTGTGGAATACATCTCACCACATAAGCACAGTGGATGCCGCATTATCACAGGATGTTTACGCCCTACACTGCTGGAGAAATTATACTGTTTAGCCAGTATTGCACCATGTGATATCTGTTGGGAAGTAGCGGCCAGTAATGAAAAGACCAAGGTATTGATATCTCCAGCCCATCCTCTGTACGGATATCAGCCAGCAAGCCAACACCTTAAATCAAGATATTGCTTCCTAAAATCTACAGAGAGACTCGCAGGAATATCCCAGCAAAAGCGAGTCCAAAAGTAGCAGGTTAAAACCCTGAACTTCAATCAGTGGCTGATACCGGATGAGAAACTCCCTCCTGGGAACACAGAAGACTAGTTGACTTGGAAGGCACTGAACAAATGCACATGGAAGACCTTCTTACAGCAACACCAGAGGCACCCAAAGTGGCCAGCTTCTGGTCAAAGGATATTTAGTGTAATGTTAAGTGTTTACCTTTGTTTGTGGGGTTTTTTTTAACATTATAACTGTGGTCTCGATTTGCTTCTGACACGATAAATAAATAACTATAGAAGCAAGACAAAAATTGTTATAAATAATTGTATACAAAATTATAGGGCGCACAGGAAATAAATGAATGTCATGTGCTGATTTAAGGTCCCATCTCCAAGATCTTATTGTGTATTCGAAAATTCAAAAATTAGTAAATCCTAAACATGTCTGACATTAAGCATTTTAGGTAAGGGATTCTCAACCTATATCTCAATGGAAAGATAAGTAAGGCATTTTTTTACACTGGGAAATCCTTTTTCTCCTTTTCTCTCCTCCTTTCCCTACATTTCCCCCTGAGTGTCTATTCTAATAGTTCCTTACAAGTTCTTCTGCTTTAGATTTTACTCACAACCTGGATCGCAGACAACAAAATTCTTACAAATATTGTGTATTAGATTACCTCCAGATCATGTTTTAAAGGCACATTTGAAAGATAGATGAATTGCATGTTTCCAAGATGTGCAATTTTGAATTTACATACCTGTACAGGCAGTTCCCAAACTACAAACAAGTAGATTTGTTCTTAAAATGAATTTGTATGTAAGTTGGAAGAGGTACATGTTTAAGTGTAACTCCAGCCAATATATATATATTCTTTAGCTTTGGATAGCATAGCAAAGGGCAGGCCTGTAGCCAGGGGTAGTGGTGGTTAAGGGTTATTAACCCCCCCCCCCCCCCCAAATGTGTCTGGTTAAAAAAACTGGTTTACTCATGAATTGGTTAACCAGTTAAAGTTCATTAGTAAACCAGTTTCTTTTAACCTGGCACATTTTTTGGGGGGGGGGGTTGAATCCTTAACACTCCCCCCCCCTTTGGCTACAGGCCTGGGGAAGGGTTAATTATTATATGTGATTATTATTATTTACATTGTTTTTCCTTGTTGTAAGCCGCTGTGAGTTCCATTGGGGAGAGGGGGATGGGATACGAATAAATCTTTATTATTATTATTATTATTATTATTATTACCTCTGTGGTATTTGTTTTGCTGTCTGCGCCCCAGTTCAGAAGATGTCACCATGATTTTTGTCCCTGTGATTATTGGATTTTGAAACATTTGGCTTGTTGTGGAAACAAGGACTGATGATAATGTTTCAATGTAGACATTTCTTTACTATGATAGCAAATCTTCCAGGATAGATTTCCCTTCTGAGGGATGGATTTCTCTCACTTCCTGTTGCCTCACCCCCGTTCTTAACTATGAGTCATTTGTAAGTCAGATATTTGTAACTTGAGCACTGCCTGTATTCCCAAATCCAATAGTATCAAATCCAGCCAGGTCTACTCCTAGGTATTTCGGAGAAAGGACATAGTCAACCTGGACTTCAATGGGATCATAAAATCATAAAGTTGGAAGAGATCTCGTGGGCCATTCAGTCCACCCCTCTACCAAGAAGCAGGAAAATCGCATTCAAAGCACCCCCAACAGATGGCCATCCAGCCTCTGCTTAAAAGCCTCCGCCACACTCTGAGAGAGCCATGAGTGCCATGCTTTCCTCTTGAGGATGCTGTGTGAGGCAAATTGTTGTTTCTCCTCAAAGTTATCAAATCCTGAACAGGCCTGGTACCAAACATTTCTGGGCCCTTCCACACAGCCATATAACCCAGAATATCAAGGCAGTAAACTTCACAATATCTGCTTTAAACTGGATTATCTGAATCCACACTGCTATATACCCCAGTTCAAAGTAGAAAATGTGAGATTGTATAAAGCTGTGTGGAAGAATCCCACATTATCTGCTTTGAACTGAGAGTGGACTCTGATAACCCTGCTCAAAGCAGATATTGTGGTTTTTTCTGCTTTGATGTCCTGGGTTTTATGGCTGTGAGGAAGGGCCCTCAGATAAGGGATGCTCAATGGCGAACTATGCTCTCTTCTTCAACATGTGACGTGGGGTGTATTCCTTCCCTGGGAAATCCTTCCTCCTCCTCCTCAAAGTTATCCCATCCCAACACAGGCCTGGTCCCAAACCATTCAGATCAGGGCTGTAGCCAGGAAGGGACAAGATGCTCCTCCTTGAACATGCTGTGTGAGGCATTTCTTCCCACTGGGAATGCCTTTTTCCTTCTCTGATCCCAATGGTGCAAGATTATCTGAGGAGGAAGGAAGGTTCCCGATTCCACCCGCTGTTCTTTCGATCTCTCCCCCCCCCCCTGCATCTCCATGGGGATGGCTGTTCCAAGATCCTCCTTCCTTCTTTCCTCTCCCTCCGCAGCCACTCACCATTGCTGCACCGAGGAGCCCTCGCCCTTCTTCTCTTCTCCTTCTCCTTCTTCCTTCTGAGGCTGCTGCTGCTGCTTCTGGGGGCGGGCCCCGACCACCATCCAAGAAACAAGCCACCCCCTCCGCAGCCCAGCTGTCACCCTCGACCTGGAAGTGAATCCGCCCGGCCCAAGCCGGCCTCAAGGGAAGCCCGACCAAGCAGATACCTAAACTGAGAGGAGAGAGAGAGCCTCCCTTAAAGGGGACGCAGCCCTGTGCCTCACTCTAGACCAGGCATGAGGGGCAAACTTGGGCCCTTCAGGGGTTTGGGACTTCAACTCCCACCATTCCCAACAGCCTCAGGCCCTTTCCTTTGCCCCCTCAGTCTCGGGCCCCTACTTTTTCCCTCGCAGCCTCAGGCCCCTTCCTTTTCCCCCTCAGCTTCTGGCCCCTTCCCTCCTAACAACCTCAGGCCCCTTCTTTTTCCCTCCCAGCCTCATTGTGTCAATGGTATGGTTGCTGATGACACGATAAATAACCTCAGGCCCCTTCCTTTCCCCACTCAGCCTCAGGCCCCTTCCTTTTCCCCCTCAGATTCAGGCCCCTTCCTTTTCCTCCTTAGCTTCAGGCCCCTTCCTTTTCCCCCTCAGCCTCAGGCCCCTTCCTTTTCCTCCTTAGCTTCAGACCTCTTCCTTTTCCCCCTCAGCCTCAGGCCCCTTCCTTTCCCCCCTCAAATTCAGGCCCCTTCCTTCCTAACAGCCTCAGGCCCCTTCCTTTTCCCCCTCAGCCTCAGGCCCCTTCCTTTTCCTCCTCAGCTTCAGACCTCTTCCTTTTCCCCCTCAGCCTCAGGCCCCTTCCTTTTCCTCCTTAGCTTCAGGCCCCTTCCTTTTCCCCCTCAGCCTCAGGCCCCTTCCTTTTCCTCCTCAGATTCAGACCTCTTCCTTTTCCCCCTCAGCCTCAGGCCCCTTCCTTTTCCTCCTCAGCTTCAGACCTCTTCCTTTTCCCCCTCAGTCTCAGGCCCCTTCCTTTTCCTCCTTAGCTTCAGGCCCCTTCCTTTTCCCCCTCAGATTCAGGCCCCTTCCTTTTCCTCCTTAGCTTCAGGCCCCTTCCTTTTCCCCCTCAGCCTCAGGCCCCTTCCTTTTCCTCCTTAGCTTCAGACCTCTTCCTTTTCCCCCTCAGCCTCAGGCCCCTTCCTTTTCCTCCTCAGCTTCAGACCTCTTCCTTTTCCCCCTCAGCCTCAGGCCCCTTCCTTTTCCTCCTTAGCTTCAGACCTCTTCCTTTTCCCCCTCAGCCTCAGGCCCCTTCCTTTTCCTCCTCAGCTTCAGACCTCTTCCTTTTCCCCCTCAGTCTCAGGCCCCTTCCTTTCCCCCCCCCCTCAGCCTCAGTCCCCTTCCCTTTCCCCCTCAGCTTCAGGCCCCTTCCTTCCTAACAGCTTCAGGCCCCTTCCTTTTCCCCCTCAGTTTCAGGCCCCTTCCTAACAACCTCAGCCCCCTTCCTTTCCCCCCTCAGCTTAAGACCCCTTCCTTTCTAATAACCTCAGGCCCCTTCCTTTTCCCTTTCAGCTGCTTAAGCGGAGTAGGGGGGAAAGGAAGGGGTTCTGAATGGTGCAAGTAGAAGTCCAAAACACCTGGAGGTCTCAAGTTTGCCCATGCCTGCTCTACAGAATGAGTGCAGTGTTGATGTTAATTTTTTGTGGAGAGGTGGCTACCAAGGTAGCAGAAATGGTCAACATTTTCTAATGTTCCGAATGAAGCAGAGCGTGTTTGAAGATGAGGACATACGTAGGGAGACCAAGATGCCTGTTTATAAAGCCATTGTCCTCCCAACCCTGTTAATACGCCTGTAAAACATAAACCTCGACAGAAGTCACACTCAACTACTGCAACGATTCCATCAGTGTTGCCTCCGAAAAATCCTGCAAATCTCTTAGGAAGACAGGCGGACAAATGTCAGCGTGCTGGAAGAAACAAAGACCACCAGCAGTTTTATCATATCTTATAATATTTATTTACTGTATTGTTGAAAGCTTTCATGGCTGGAATCACTGGGTTGTTGTAGGTATTTTTGGGCTATATGGCCATGTTCTAGAGGCATTCTCTCCTGACGTTTCGCCTGCATCTATGCCAAGCATTATCAGAGGTAGCGAGGTCTGTTGGAACTAGGAAAATTGGATTTATATATCTGTGGAATGATCAGGGTGGGAGAAATAACTCTTGTCTGTTGGAGCTAGGTGTGAATGTTTCAACTGACCACCTTGATTAGCATTTGATGGCCTGCCAGTTTGTTGGTGTGGCTTGTTAGTGCCTGGGGGAATATTTTGTTGAGAGGTGATTAGCTGTCCCTGATTGTTTCCTCTTTGTTGTTTTGCTGTTGTAATTTTAGAGTTTTTTAATACTGGTAGCCAGATTTTGATCATTTTCACGGTTTCCTCCTTTCTGCTGAAATTGTTCACATGGTTATGGATTTAAATGCCTTCTCTGTGTAGTCTGACATGGTGGTTGTTAGAATGGTCCAGCATTTCTGTGTTCTCAAATAATATGCTGTGTCCAGATTGGTTCATCAGGTGCTCTGCTATAGCTGACTTCTCTGGTTGAAGTCCTTTCATGTTCCTTGATTCGTGTTTGAGCGCTGCATTTGGTGGTCCCTACTTGTCCACAGCTGTATGGTATACGGTAGACTCCTGCAGAAGTGAGAGGATCCCTCTTGTCCTTTGCTGAATGTAGCATTTGTTGAATTTTCTTGGTGGATCTGTAGATAGTTTGTATGTTGTGTTTCTTCGTCAGCTTCCCTGTGCGGTCAGTGGTTCCCTTGATGTATGGCAAAAATACTTTTCCTCTGAGTGGATCTTTGTCTTTACTTTCATGGCTTGTTCTCGGTCTTGCAGCTCTTCTGATGTCTGAGGTGGTGTATCCATTGGCCTGTAGAGCCCAGTTGAGGTGGTTCAGTTCATCTTGAAGGAGGTGGGGTTCGCAGATTCTTTTTGCATAGTCTGCTAAGGCTTTAATGGTTCTTCTTTTTTGACTTGGATGATGGTTGGAGTTTTTCTGTAGATATCTATCTGTGTGTGTGGGTTTTCTGTAAACTGTGTGACCCAATTGTTGATCTGGTTTGCGGAAGACTAGGACATCTAGAAAAGGCAGTTTTCCTTCATTTTTTTCCATGGTGAATTGGATGTTTGGGTAGATGCTGTTAAGATGTATTCACTATATTGTTATAAGTAACCACTGTATTGTTATAAGTGGCCACTGTATTGTTATAAGTGTCTTGATACTGTATTGTTATAAGTGTCTTTTTAAACTTACCACATAGAATACAAACAAGTCTTATCAAGCCTTGTTGTTTGGTTTGGTATTGTGATATGGCCTAAGACAGGGGCCCTCAAACTTTTTAAACAGAGGGCCAGGTCAGTCCCTCAAACTGTTGGAGGGCCGGATTATACTTTGAAAAAAATAATGAATGAATTCCTATGCACACTGCACATATCTTATTTGTAGTGCAAAAAACACTTAAAAACAATACAGTAATTAAAATGAGGAATACTTTTAACAAATATAAACTTATTACTATTTCAATGGGAAGTGTGGGCCTGCTTTTGGCTGATCACAGATCCCACAGATCCCAGGCTTTTGCAAGATGGCGCCATGTCAGATAAAAGGCTGTCAGAATCAAACTGGAATAGTTGTGCAGTGTGGATGCACTCTATGTCTCAAAGGTGTTACAAGAACCCTTTGCATATTGTTATGTCAGATTAACACAGCCATGTCTATGAATTCCAATCATACTACGAGGGTTCTAAATCAAAGAGGAAAGCTTTCAGCCTCATTTGAACTCCAGTACTTTGAAATATACTCTCTCAGTCACTCAGACCTCATCTAGGCTGCCAAATAATGTAGTTTCAGAATGCATAATAATAATAAATAAAATCTAATAAAATATATTAACTTCAAAGAGAACCAAAGTGGTGAAGCTGTATGTGTGTTGATTTATGGGAACCAGGGTTATAATCCCTGATCAGTCACAGAAACCTACTGGGTGGCCTTGGCCAGGTCTCACTCTCTCAGCCTCAAAGGAAGGTAGACACCCTTCTGAACTAAACCTTGCCAAGGAAATTTTGTGATAAGTTGCACTTAGATCAAAAACAACTTGAAGTCACACAGCAACAATAACACTATGTAATGATATCGAGCTCTTTGGGGGGGGTTTCCCCAGCGAAGGAGTCCCCCCGAGGACCGCTCAAAAGGGCCCTTAAACCTTTGGTGAGGCCAGCGAAGCCAATCCCAAAATATTACAATTAATGCCTCATCAAAGTGGAAGAAGTTTTCAGCAACCGAAGTTTATTTGTGATTCAGCTGAGATCAGATGCATTGCAGGAATCATTCCACCGCAAGCATAATTTTACAGAATTTTCAAGCATTTTTATAGTACACAGACAAAGGGAAACAGTTTCAAAACTCCCGCCCGCCCTCTGTCGGCCGGCTCCGTGCTGATTGGCTGGCCGCGGAACAGCTGGGAGGAGGCTTGGCAGCACGCCTCGCCTCCGGACCAATCAGCGGGCTCCGCTGCCTCTGGGAGGCCAATCAGTGCCTTCCTAGCGCCTCTGAGGATGGACCAATCGGCAGCTAGGAGGCGGGACGAAGCCTAACAAAGACTGAGGAAATGACAAGCTTAAGGGCATCCGCCAGCTGGAATGTGAGGCTTTGTCCTCACTTGGCGGGGTGTCAGATAGGGGGACAATGAGTTTCCTGGTCTGTTGATGGGATTTGGGAGGAAATATGAAAAGGCTTTTTTCGATATCGGACCTCAAAGGGGGATCAACAATACCTGGTTGATTAAATCAGTCTTTGTTTCCGAGTTTCTGCTGACCCCCTCCCCTCGCTGGTCTGCTCCGATGGCTAGGGTCGGGGGGATCAACAGTACGGTCCATGCAAATGAAACAATCGGGAAGGGTCTTGGGGAGAACAAAGGAGCTTCCTCCCCAAGGCAAGACAGTAATCTTCAGGTCACATCTTTTGTGGGGCAAAGGTTGGCAGGAAAGGCAGGGTGGGGAACATACTACATTTCATACAATATCTCCTTACACACATTTCATAAGGGGAAAACCCCATCCCCATCCCAGGAAAATTTATTACAATATTTGATCTTTATTAAGGTTCAAACTGGAAATCCCATGCTCTTAGGAAGGGCGTGTGGAAGCAGAGGTTGCTAGCAGTTCAAATCAAGCATTGATAGAAAGTTCATGGCCAGGGTTGTGGCAAACAGTCCAGTCCACTCAGCAGAGAGTCATGGATTCAGGCTGGAATCAGCAGATGGGTGCTGAGTTGATCAATAACAGAATCCATCGCTCAGCCCTTGGGGAACTACAACTCTCACAAAAGGGCAGAAGTCCCCAAGATCCAGCCATTTCCCAAAAAGCCTCGTGGGGTCCTTGTTGTTGTCAGTGCCTTGGCAATGTGGCCAAGACTTAACCCTTGTTGTGTAGTCTGGTGCCCTTGCCCTTTGCAGAACTATAAGTCCTTATCCCTTAATTATGAGGGGGGGGGGGTCGGTGTCTGACATCAGTAACACGATTTTTGTTCCTGGGTTATAAATGTCATTTCCTAATTGGTTCTATCATAAAAACATGGGAAAAATTTATTAAACTGCAAAAACTGCTGGACATCCTGCAGAACATTTTGCTATAGCGTTTCAATTAATATCTCACCGAGTCTCAAGCAATTCAACATAGTTTGTGGCAGCCACAAAAATGAAGCTTCTGGAGTTCAACAACTACTTTCAATGTAAGTTCCACACAATTAAACAGGAAATAGCACGAGGTACAGAATTATTTTCAAATTTTGTTACATAGTGTGATCTACAAAACAGAGAGTTTAATAATAGAGGGTAATAGAAATGAAAGTACAACCCGTAAAAGTGAAAAGCCTTGAAGAACATAAACATTTTAATAACTTTCCTACTTCACAGTATTTTTACTGTTTTCCTTAAGCTGTTCGTGGTATTTATTATTTTATTTATTTATATTTAAATACGGAATTATTTATTTTCTGCCTTTCTCCAGATTAAGGTGCAAGATAATAAAAATGCAAAGGATGTTATGCAATCCTGGGAATTGTAGCTTTGTGGGCTATATTATTTACTATTCCCTGTCAGAGAGTTCCATAATAACAACAGCCTACAAATCCCAGGATTCCATAGGATGGAGCCATGGCTGTTAAAGTGGAGTCAAACTAATATAATTGTGTAGCCTCAAAAATAGCATTCCTGCGCCTTTAATGAACAGCTGGGTCGAAGAGAGGCAGCCGGGATTTCTTCTTAGGATGAGTAGTTGAGCTACTGACGTCACTGCCTACATCACTAATTACACTGCAACCCACCCCGCCAGTTCAGCTTCAGCGGAAGTGACGTTTGATTGTGTCCGTCGTCGATTCCCTTCCGCCCGTCGCAAGAGGGGAAGGCTTTTTCTGGGGCGCTTTCACCTTGTAGGAAGAGCCTCAAGGGGGAGATGCTCTTTTTTGGCGGGACATGGCAGGGCTGATCAATTTCGAGGATGAGGAGGAGGTGAAGGGCTACCTGGAGAACTTGGGCGTCGAGTACAGCTTCCAGTGCTACAAGGAGAAGGATCCTGACGGTGAGAAGGAAGGCTTGCAATGTGGGAATGTCTGTTTGTGTCCACACTGTGGAATTAATGCCGTTTGACACCATTTTAACTGCCATGGATCAATGCTATGGAATCCTGATTGTTGTCCTTTGGTGAGGCACTGACCTACTTTGGAAGAGAAAGCCAAAGACATTGTAAAACCCATGATTGTGTGACTTTGAACCATGGCAATTAATCTGCATTAATTTTAGTCCTATTGAAAGCAGGAAATTTTACTTCTGAGGAGGCATAAGTACAATTTCGCCTAATTCAGTAGGATTTATGACCAAGCTCCAAATTGACTTCTAATGTATGATTGGCATTTGTAGATCTGGCAGGGCTATTTTGAATATTTGGATAGCACCGTGTTCTGATATTAAAAGTTCAAATTAACAAATTAATGCTCCTTATTTTGGCATCGGTGTACTGTGAAGAAAATATGTCATGATCTAGGGAAGTCATAGGACCTCGTCACACTAGAGAATGAATCGACTTTAAATCTGGTTGCTTGCCTCCTGCAGAATTCTGGGGTTTGTAGTTTAGGAAAGAGCCTTTAACAGCCTCACTAAACTACAAACCCCAGAATTCAGCAGGAGGCAGAAACTGGATTTAAAGTGGATTCATTCACTAGTGTGATGAAATAGATAGTCCTGCTCCTGTGTTCTGCTTTGATCAGACCTCACCTGGAAGACTGTGCCCACTTCTGGGCATCGCAGTTCGAGGGGGATATTGACAAGCTGGAAGGTGTCCAGAGGAGGGCAACTGAAATGATCCAAAGTCTGAAAGCCAGGCCCTATGAAGAATGGCTTAAGGAGATGGGTATGTTTAGCTTGGAGAAAAGAAGCCAGGGAGGGGACATGATACCTATGTTTAAGTAAATGAAAAGATGTCCCATTGAGGAGGGACATCCTCAATGAGCTAGTTTTGGTGAGCTAGTTTTTTTAGTCCTCTGGAGACTAGGACACAATGGAGCTATGGATTCAAATTGCAGGAAAAAAAGATCCCATCTAAATATTAGGAAGAACTTCCTGATAGTAAGAGCTGTTTGGCAGTGAAATATGCTGCTTCCTCGCAGGGTAGTGGTGCCTTCTCTGGAGATTTTTAAGCAGAGTCTAGGAACCCTCCCACACAGCCATATAACCCAAAATATCAATACAGGTCATCCACAATACCTGCTTTGAACTGGGTTACCTGAGTCCACACTGCCATATAAACAAGTTCAATGTGGATTTTATACAGCTGTGTGGAAGGGGCCAGGGTGGCCATCTGTCGGGAGTGTTTTGACTGTGTGTTTCTGTATGGCAGGGGATTGAACTTGTGGTCTCTTCCAACTCTGTGATTCTACCTATTTGAATCATTGCTGAATCTACAAGGGCCTTTGTAGAAGTCAATAAAGAAATGAACTTATTTTCTTGTCTAAAGGATAGGGTACAAAAAGGCATTCTTTTCCTTCTAGTCTGCAGCATTTTTTTTACTGTGCAGTGATATCTTTCTAAAAATAACTTCACCCATCATCTGTATTTTTCTGCCTAGAATCCAATGCCTTTCCCTCCAGCCTTATAATATTGTCTTGTTTTCATGTGCCTTCAAGTCATTTCCAACTTATAGCAACTTTAAGGTGATCCTCTGACTTTTCTGGGTCTGAGTGTGTGTGACTTGCCAAGTCACTCAGTGGATTTCGATATCCAAATACAAAATCGATCTCTGCTCTTGCGTCATAATCCAATGCTGAAATCATTGGCTCTATAGTAAAATAATTAGGACTAGCTTTGTGAACAAATAGTGGTTGCAAACTTAAAGAAATTTCAGTTGAGACCTTCCAGTAGATATATTGAAGGCTGGGATTTCATTTTAGTCATAGGTCAAATTGTTGGACAATTCAATCTTCCTCTTTGACTGTATTGCCTACTTTCAGATTATCATATATTGTTTTCATAAGCCAAGATAAACCCCTTCCTTAGTAGCGCAGTACACCAGGAAATCTCATTATATATGAACTGGGGAGCTATATTTCCTAGTTTTGCTGCCAGCTGGGATACTGAATCATGGCTTTAAATTTGTTGAGTATTTTTTCTTGTTCTTAAGGTGTTAGCTATAATTTCTTTTTTTTCCCAATGAAATTGAAAGCTGTGGTTAGAGGCATGTTGGCTATGGTAATCTACGCTCTTGTTATATCTGGAATAGACTACTGCAATGTGCTCTACGTGGGGCTGCCTTTGAAAACTGTTCGGAAGCTTCAAGTACTCCAACTGGTGGCAGCCAGGTTGCTCACTGAAGCCACATACAGGGAGCATACAACCCCCCATTATGTCAGCTCCACTGGCTGCCAGTCTGCTACTAAGCACAATTCAAAGTGCTGGCTTTGGCCTATAAAGCTCTAAATGGCTCCACTTCAACTTACCTGTCCAAATGTATCTCTCTATGAACCTGTTAAGAGAGTTAAGATCTGCAGAGGAGGCCCTGCTGTTGGTCCCACCCCTATCGCAAGCACAAATGGTGGGAACGAGAGACAAGGCCTTCTTTGTGATGGCCCCTTGATTGTGAAACTCCCTCCCCAGTGATATCAGACTGGCCCCCTCGCTCGTGGTGTTCAGGAAAAAAGTGAAGACCTGGCTTTGCAGTCAGGCATTTGGGTAGTGCAATATAGAATCAGCACAATGTAGCATGCAAATGACATCCTTACGACTGGGTATTATGTTTTAATAGTTTTATGATATTTATGTATTTTAACTGTTTAGTTCACTGATGTATTATATTGTATTTTATGTTATTGAACATGTGGCATCGAATATTGCCTTTATGTACGCTGCTCTGAGTTCCCTGTAAGGGTGAGAAGAGTGGGATAGAAATAGATCAAATAAATAAATATTGATTTATCTTAAAGGATGAGTGAAGATCCTATGTGTCTAGGCAAAAAGCTCGTTCATATCATTCTGAAATATAATACTGAGGCAGTATATATCAGTGGTTTCCAAAATTGAACTTACTCAAATTATAATATCAGACTCATCTATAACTCAGACAGCGAATCCCATTACTTCTATAACTCAGAAGTCACCCCCACTCCTTATGCTTTTCTCTACACTGAGAGGCAAAGGATGTCAGGAACAATATAAACTGCTGTCCTAACTGATGAAAACAAAACCAAAAAAGTAAGCTGATCTTGCAAGTTAAACACAATGGGTGAAGCATAACCAAGATTCTTTATCACCAATGCTTTATTGTAAAACCACAGGTTGTCACCGTCTGGCAGAATACCTAGAGGGAGTGAAGAAAAACTTTGAGGGAGCTGCTAAAGTGCTAAAGCAGAATTGTGAAACTAATTCACACAGTGAAAGCTGCTACAAACTTGGAGCTTACTATGTGACTGGAAAAGGTAAGGAAGAGCTTCTCTATATGTCTACTATCTCTGAAAGTAAGAAAAAAGACAGTTCAGATAGTATAGATGGAGGCATATGTATGGATAAATGTGAAACTAGTGTAGCAGTTAAAATAATAAACTATAAACCATGAAATCCACAGTTCATATACTCTCCAGGATATAAAAAAAAATTAAATGTCACTTCACTATAGCCTTCTTGACTGTAATGTGGAAAAATAAAACTGAGTAAATGTACAGGTATTACTTAGAAATGTGAAACATTTCAAGCATTTTGAGAATGCTCTGTGTAAATCAAAGTTGGGCAGACTTCATTCTGTCAGGATTTGTTTGCATGTTGTTGTTTTTAAATTAGAACACCAGGATTCACCAATTGGGGATTGGCGCATAACATTTAAAATGAAACTGTTCTGAAACCAGGAATTTGTTCTGAGTAACAGAAATGAATGAAGATTATAGGTTTCTTCATAGATAAATCCAATTGTTGTCTGCAAACAGTCATTGTTTCATCATTATTTAGGAAATTAGAAATGTTTATTCTACTGCAAATTGCCCAAAGAATCAGTAGGCACACATTTATTTATACCCCTAGTGTAAATAATATATCAGTATTTTCCTTGCAGGTGGCCTCCCTTTAGACCTGAAAACTGCATACAATTGCTTTTTGAAATCTTGTGAGAAAGGAGGAAAGAGATCCAGAGATGCTTGTCACAATGCTGGATTGCTGGTACATGATGGACGGGTGAATGATGATGAGAAGCCCAATGAACCTCTTGCCAGGGACTATTACAGTAAAGCTTGTGATGCAGGTTTTGCACCCAGCTGTTTTAACCTTAGTACAATATATCTTCAAGGAGTCCCTGGGATAGCAAAAGACATGAACCAGGCCCTGAAGTATTCTCTTAAAGCATGCGATTTGGGCCACGTATGGGCATGTGCTAATGCTAGCCGAATGTATAAACTGGGAGATGGAGTTGAGAAGAATGATGCCAAGGCAGAAACCCTAAAGAATAGAGCAAAAGACTTGCACAGAGAACAACAGATACCTGGAAGATCTTTAACATTTGGAGAGTAAGCCAAGTCCAGCGATCTACAACATTCACAAGAAGTAGATGTTATTAAGTGGTGCAAAAAAAAAATTGGTCTACAGATCCGCTTCATTGTACACACTGAAGATGTATTTGTGAGAACAAGTTTTTTAATAGCCTGTACAAATGATTTTGTAACAAGATAAAAGCCATATACATTTTGGGGTGTTGATTTTGGGGGAGCAAATTTAATTAATCTAAAATATGAAGTGTAAAAGTCATATTTCAAGCCAGACCAAAAATGATTGTTCACATTAGAATGTGTTTTTTTCAATGTGTTGAACAACCAAATCCAGAAAATGTATGCAAAGCAATGAAACCTATTTTCTCAGTAGAGCAATTCCCTTTTGCAGCACAGCCCTCTATTTACTTCCAGCAAGCAGAGAAGTAGGGAGGGGAAGGAGGCAAGGAGAAAGAAAATGCTGCTGTCGTATAGACTTCTAACCGCAGAGGTGGGACTCATGCTGCCTTCTAGCTTTGTCATCATTGCCTACTAGGTAGAACTGCTGAGAGTTAGTTCAACAACACCTAGGAGGTCAGATGTTTTCAAACCCCTCTTAACAGGGATGTTGAAATCAATGGAACTTAACTTTTGAATAGGCTTGCACAGAATCATGCATATAAGATCCTGCTGTATGCAAATACTTGTAATTGCTGTACAGTATCGTTACATGCAATGAATTAAAATGATTTTCTGATTATACAAATACTCAAATGTTGTGTTAGTTTTGTGCCTTTTCTGATTAACATTGTCTGCTAAACTTAGTTCACAAAGGAGATGGACAGGCCATGCCCTGAGACTTACAAAGACACACCAAAGGGAGAAGTGGGTTGGCAGTGGGTTGTGTGAATGTGCTACTACAATTAGCACTGCAGTCAGTCCAGTGTGTGTTCTCTTCAATTCTGAGGCCAAACAGTGGGGAAATGTTTGACTTTTCCATCTAAGTCTGACGCATTTTTCCACTGTTTGACTACAGAATTGTAAGTAAAAGGAACAGTAAGTAAAAATTTACATTTTAAAACATGCTTTGAGTATTCCACTACTTGTTTTTTTAGATGTTACTACAATCTAGTAATTATGTTTATTCATAAACGGTTCATTGCTCACATGGATAACATCAGTAAGAGAAATCGTGATTAATCTAGAGATGGCCAAATTAAAGCAACTTAGATTATCGTAACTTATTTTTAGCTCCAGGGCCCTCTTTCAGGGGGTCAAGCCAGACACAAGCAAGATTTGGGTCATTCAAAGATAGCTGGCATCTTTGGGCAATCATTTATGCATGCACAAACACCCAAAAGTGAGCATACCTGTTCATAAAATAGTAATTTACATTCAGATGACAGCATTTAGAAATCATTTCAATAGGAATGCGTCTCATCTCACCATATTTGGAGAATATTGTGATGAGATAAGCTGCATAACTTCTAATTCAGCCATTGAAGGGGAGCACCAAGGTCCCTCTTCCCTCCATCTGGTTATTTATTCTTGAATTGGACTTGGGCTGGACAACCTTTCAGACCAGAGGAGGGCGCCTTTTGGACGTGATGTTTCTTGATTTGGGATTACTTCCTTTGACATCACTCTTTTGCCATCTTGCAGGAAAATGAGATGTCTTTATCACTAGTCATAAACAGCAATGACTTTTGCCAGGTCCAGCTGGTGCTTTCCCGTGCTGGCTGAGAAGACTTCATTCATTTTCTCTTTTTCATATAGGGAAGAGACAAAGTCTTTCTCAAATGGATACAAGAAGACATTTCCAGTATATCTGTACCCCTAAAATCAAGAATGTCTTCATACAGAGACCTGTCTCCTTATTGCCCTTCAAACAAAGGACTGCCTTCTGTAAAGCAGAAAATATGGCCACTGTATTTGTGATCATGAAAACTACTTTGAACCCTAGCAGCAATTTCATGAAGCAACTTTCCTCTTTATGCACTGTTTCTCTGTATGCAATGTTCATCCAGAAAAAAGTATCCTATCAGACCTCAGCTTTGTGCAAAGCACTTCAGTTTGTATTCTTGTTCTGAATAATATCCTGCTTGCTTTCTTTGTAAGCTCTTTATGAATTGTATTTGTACGTATCTTTAAACATCAGCTTCAATAGCTGAGTCAGTGATCCCTAGGGTAGGAAAGCTAACAATACGTGTAATATGCATCTTCTCAGATGTAATTCTTGCTGAGTTCATTGTGTCTTTATCCTGTGTAAAAGATGTCAGTCTTGATCAATTACTTTGAAATGTACTGTTGAGGTTTGATTGAATTTTATGAGCTCTTTCAGAATAGTGTTGAAGGACTGCTTTTACTTTTTAGCAGTCACTAGGGGGCACTAATGTTTTAAAGTTCACATATTAAGTAGTTTATTCTGGTGTGATTGCTACAGGAGGCCCTTGTGAAATAGTTTATTTCTCTTAGGGATTTTAACTTGAAATTTGAAAAAACAGACCAATTTTCAGCATCATATAACTGCTAGGGCAGTGTACAATTCATTAATTTGGAGTAAAAAAAATTAGCAGTTTTAAACACAGGTTTATTATCATACACATTTATTATAAAAGGTAAATGTTTCCCCTGACATTAAATTAGTCATGGCCAACTCTGAGGTGTGGTGCTCCATTTCTAAGCCAAAGAGCTGGCATTGTCCGTAGACACCTCCAAGGTTATGTGGCCGGTATGACGGCATGGAGCACTGTTACCATCCCGCCGGAGCAGTCTTTTGATCTCACATTTGCATGTTTTCAAACTGCTAGGTTGACAGAATCTGGGGCTAACAGTGGGTGCTCACCCCACTGCCTGGATTTAAACTGCCGACCTTTCAGTCAGCGAGTTCTGCTGCTCAGTGGTTTAACCCACTGCGCCACCGGGGGATCCATATATTTATTATATGTATTACTCAATAATGATAATATTTCTCCCAAGGGCAGAGCATCAAACATACATAGTCAGAGATGATGAGAAAAGCATGATACATATATATATATCTACACCTATATAAACCTAAACATCCCATTAGCCACCATCTACCTGAGCAACCTCAAGCAAGGCTCAGGAGCTTAGTCTGGTAAATCAAAGAGCAAGGTCCTCAACTCCTTACAGAAAGAGAACACATATTTCTCCAGCTGGAGACCCAATGGAAGACTGTCCTATAGGTGCAGATCTTGAAGGACTGGCAGCTCACATTGAGAAACCAACAACAATCGTTTACCTATAGATATTAAATTCCTAGACGATGCATGCCATGCTAGTCAAGCTGCCAAGTACTGTGAGATCTTAGAGTGCAGAGCCCTAAATGCAAGAACCAAAAGTTTAAAATGGGCTGTTGCCCAAACTGGTTGTCAGTGAAGGAATCTAGTGTGGAAGAAACGTGAATATTTAAAACAAGTTGGACAGCACTGTTCTGAAGTGAAGCCATTTTAACTCTATAAGACGGAGAAAATGAAAAATTATCCATGAATTTATCCATTTAACTCCTGGACTAATGGCAAGGAAGGTGGAGATCCATCCACTGAATTAACACTTGAGGTCATCTTCTGATTAAAGAAGGAAGCAGAGAGATCCCTCATCAGCCAGGCACTGGACACAATAACGTGTTGAAGATATAGCATCTACACTGAGAGAAGTAATAGTTCCGCTCCTCAACTGGAATACTGTGCCTAGTTTAGGACAACACATTTCATGTGAGATATTGACAAGCTGGAACATGCCCAGAGAAGGATGACCAAAATGATAAAAGATCTGTAAGCCAAGAACACCTTATCGAACTGAGTATGTTTAGCTTGTAGAAAAGATGGTTAAAAGGAGACCTGATAGCCATGTTAAAATATCTGAAAGGTTGTCTCATTGAGGAGGGGGCAAGCTTGTTTTCTGCTACTGTAGAGAACAGGAAATGGAGCAATGAATTCAATTAACAGGAAAAAATGATGAAATATGCTGTTCCTGAGTGGCAGGAGATTGAACTGGATGGCCCAGGTGGTCTCTTGCAACTCAATCATTCTATGAAAGGCGGCAAATAATTGAAACAGCATGTAGACTTGAGCTTGAACTTTTTCCTACACATAGAATTGTCACAATTCATCTACATGAGAATAATCAATTGTACAAGGAATCCTCAAGCTTTGATGCAATACTTCTGTTAGGTTCTGTCTTTAATGGCTTTCTAACCAAAAGAGAATAAATAGTTCATTCTATATGCAGCTCTGCATGCAGCCAAGCTCTTAGGGCAAGATGACTGAATGAGTTCTTGATGGTGCCACAAATTCTAGAGCAGCTTTTGTTACAATGTTAAATTGATTAGCTAGAGCGTCTAGATTTAATGCATCCTCTATGTGCCGTTTTTCACTGCTGTCACAGGGAAAAGGAACATAATCATACTTTGAACCTTTTAGTGTACTTTCCCCTCTCACCTTGGACTTGATTTTTAGTATCGGAATACAAGTGAGTCTATCCTCAGTCTTAGAGATTCCTTGGTCTGATCACTACATCCTGAACACCCCAATAGAGATTCCACCACCACAGTGTCCGGAGACTGAACAAATTGCCGCGCGGCCAAGGAAGCTGATGGATCCTACTAGACTTTCGAGTGCCCTTAAAGAACTGGATTACACTGCTGATTCTCTAAGTGAACAAGTGGAAAACTGGAACAAAAATCTATCAACTGCCTTAGACATAGTTGCCCCTAAATGGGCTCTTCGCCCCCGCCAGAATAGATCTCCATGGTTCACGGATACATTATGTCAGATGAAACTTGAGCGGAAGAGATTAGAACATAATTGGCGCAAGAAACCCGATGAAACATCGAAGTCAGCTTTTGAAATATATCGAAAATCGGGGGCGGAGTTAACCATGGCCGGTTGAACAGACGTCTTTCCTCCAGCTCTTGTGGAAATATAAGCAAATAAGCAGTGAAAATGGATGGATAATTGTCCTTTCTGGATCAAAAAGGAGGCGAAAGTCTGGAGCATGTGAAAAGCCCAAGAAGGTAATTTATTACCAATTAATTGCTTTGATTTATGAGCTTTGGCAGAAGATAGGGCGGCTGCCGAAGCTGCCTGATAGTGAAAGTTGCTTGGAAGCTGCTGAAGCTGCTGAAGCTGAAGCTGAAAGTGAAACCAACTTGCTAATTATAACTGCGCACTGACTTGGAGAAGATAAACAGTTTGCAATTTAAATACAATATTAAAATACTAGAAATATTGGATTTAGTGACTTAATGATCCGGGAAGGCAAAATAAAGATTAGAGGCAGATTCCTCCTTTGAAGAAGGATCGAGCTAGTCTCGTCATATTAAAGGCAAACCCTCTTGGCATTGCAAGGTATATTTGAGTGGGACTTTCTTGTACTGTGTGCTGTGTAGAACGGGAAAACTAAGTAATTAAAAAATTGATGAAAGCAGGAGGAGTAAAGCTGAGGTTGAATGAGAAGGAAGAAACAAAGTCAGGATACCCCAAAGCCAAATCCTCTTTGGTTGCGTTCCAAGCCTTCAGACAGATCGCTTTCAAGATTAGAAAGACTGGAAAGGGCTCCACAGCCCCCCGAGAAAATGAGCACTGTCAGGAGAAGTCCTCCCCTCCCCCCATAAAGGGAAAGCAGCTAAAACGAACACCCCCCCAAACCCCCCCTCAAATGGAAGGGGGGGCAAAAGGGGGAGGAACTATTTCTACCTCGCTGCCATGTTTAACAGCAGAGCCAAAAGAAAGCAGGATGAGC